ATCCATCCATCCATCCATCCATCCATCCATCCATCCATCCATCCATCCATCCATCCATCCATCCATCCATCCATCCATCCATCCATCCATCCATCCATCCATCCATCCATCCATCCATCCATCCATCCATCCATCCATCCATCCATCCATCCATCCATCCATCCATCCATCCTGTATCCACCCAGCCATCCTTCCAATATCCATTTTTCTAGATCAGATATGCTCTCCTTCAAATTAGGTTGTTGTGGTGTAGATTATGCTGCTGTGGGAACAATTCTCATCAAAACAGCATTTCAAATTAAAACCCGAAATTAAAAGTTTATTTGATCTAAAACAAAGCAAAGAATGACCAATAGGGAGGGTGAGGTAACATCCCCTCATCTTCACTACCATCAACAACGCGTATTGAATAATGGAGGACTGTTTGCTTATCACAACAAATGAGGGAATAAAGGCGGAGAAGGAGGTGGCGGTGAAGGGGATGAGAGCGGCGAGATTGAAATGGAAAGGGCAATAATTGCGCATCGTTGGATGAAGAGAGTTTGGGGGGGGGGGGTGTAGGTGGAAGAGAAGGACCGACGACTAGCTTGCCTTCATGAATGGACACAGAAATCGTAGAAGATCAAAATGAGGCACAAAAAGTCTAGGAGATTATCAACAGAGAGGACGGAGAATCGCGTGTTATAAAGGAAGGTCTTTGATTTCTTCTCCCTTTTTGTTGTTTACTATAAAGGGTGGTGGGTGGAGGAGGATAGGGGTTGATCTCGGTAAATAAAACAATAACGGCGACTCCTCTTCAAAGCTAGTAGATTTTTGGCAAGGAATAGTTGAAAATAAAATATTTTAATATAAGGGAAAGTTGTCCTAACAGCCACGTTATAGAATGCGATAATTACAACGCCTACTAGGAGCAAATATATCCTCTCTCCACTGGAAACAGTCGCTGTATGTATAATGAGCCGGTTCAAACCAGACCGCATTTTCATGAGGCAACGAAAGTGACGAATAACAAATTTATAGTCACTTAAGCTACTACCCAGAGGACAGGGTATGCTAAACGTTCTGTGGAAGGTGTGGGGTGGGGGGAATGAAGCAGGTTTTCACAAAAAAGGTCAAAGATGAAAATATGGCAACTCTTATGAAGGCGAGGAAGGTGAACAAAGGAGGAGAAAACCGATGAAATTTCGCCTCCTCTTGGTGGTTCCAGTGATGGTGATGATGATAACTTAGTGGAAGAGATTCTACCATTTAACTTGGCAACGGATTCATGTTTTTGTCTACCACCTCCTGACAACTCGTCTCACACATGATCTCTGCGTGGAGCAGCAGTAACATCCACATCGCTGGATGTTCCGAGAGGCTATCCGCCTAGAGACGGGGTTAGGGACGGAGGTAAGGATGATTTGCACGGCAATACTGTCATTACCGCAGGCGCTGTCTTCATCCATGCAGACTTACCATCGGGGGAGGCAGATGATTTTGAGGTACGAAATGCGTCGGAAATATTCCGAGAGGCAAAATACAGTAAAGATGCTCTGTCAAGGAAAAGCCACTGCAGCGTGGACATCTTGAAAATGTGCATTTCTGCACCTAGAAGGAGAAGTTGACACGGTGGAGGCTTTGGAGGTGACCACAAATCTACTGCAACATCAGGCGAAATCTAAGTCAGAGTGCTTGGAAGGCATGTCCGAGGTTACCATCTCGCTTATCTCACTCTTTCAGAACCATTTCTGAAGAATGATTGCAAGCTCCTATGGGAAAGGAACAACCTTCCATCATAAGTTGGATATTGTGGACAGCACAAAATTGCCTTCGTTGACGGGTTTGAAACTGATTACGGAGTGGACTTTGAACATCCAATTAGCTACAGATATGACCACAAAGCTTGTGGCCGAAATGGTGGCCAACTAAGAGTTCAAGATTGTGCAGTTGTTACGGCAAAGAAGATCAATAATTTGGAATAATCTTGTCCCACCTAATAAAAGCTGTACAAGAATAGGTGAGATTAAATTTATTTGCTTTTTTTTCTTTTTAACTTCAACTTCATTTTATGGGAATGAGGCGTCATTTACATAAGGGTGAATTTTAAATTACATATTAATCAGGAATTGATGTGAATAATTAATGAGGAGCCTGGCTGCGCATTTACACGCCTGTACATGGCGATAGCGTTTCTTCCTCTCGCTCTGTCTCCCTCCGTCTTAGTGGGTGGTGTCTCTTTTCACTGTCACTTGAGCGCTTCAATGTCAGTCCAAATCAAAGAAATTTCAACTTTAGCGAGGCCCATTAGTGATGTATAACCAAAAAGGTATTGAAGCTCCCCCCACTTTCGTTACTCATCCCCATTTGTTGTGTTTTGCAAGGAGGCAGGCACAGAGTGGATGGAACTCAGAGATAGGTTGAGAAGTACTTAAAAATGAAAAAAAAGGATTGTCAAGGCGATTGACATTTGAGGTGATCTCGTTGCAGGGCTATATTTAGCCAGATCACAAAGATGACAAAATTGTGGATCAAACATCTCTTCTTTCAAAAACAATCCACTTATTATAGTCGTTCCGGCCTTATGGACGGTTTTGTGATAATTGGCACGGGAAGACGATACTTGAGGGTTGACCCAGATGTCGACAATGGCGGCAGAGGCAAGCGAACCCACCTAATTCTTCGATGTCATAGAAGGAAGGAATCGGTTGTGGATAGTTGGGTCTACAAAGAATCCCTACTGAAGGGTCATCGAGACAATCACTCCAACCTCGTATTCCGTAAAGAGACACTTTGCAACTCAGGCTAGAGGGACACAGCTTCCGTTGAGGTCCTAACCAAAATAATCCAAAGAAACAGTGACGTCTTTATGGTGGAGATCCGTATGACTGTTGGAGACATATTTCAAGTCTCTCCACACGCGATTTTGGTCAATCAAGGGAATCGGAGGAGAATGTGAGCTTTGGAGTGCTTTAAAATATTTGAAAGAAGGCGTGAGAAAAGGGTAATCATTCAAAAAACGGAGTTAGGAACGTTTTCTGAGGCTGAGGATATCCTTTGTAGGTGGCTGATGCTGTGGAGACCCACCGGAGAAGTGATTAGACACACTGCACATCAGGCGGATCACAAGTATCGGAACACTGCCTTCTGGACCGTGAAGAGTGATGGAACGAGGGCAGGAAAGAAACGAGTCAAATGACAAGGAAGGCTTATTAGAGAAGTTCAAAACTTTATTTCTATTCCAGGTATTAGGCCGACTTTCAAAGGCAAGGGAATGCATTGCGGAGCCCGATTTAAACGCTTCTCAAGTTCAACTTCTCAGTATAACTTGTTAGCAGAAGAGGCTCAACAAAATCAGCAAGTTAAGGTGGCATTTTTGTTTTGATGCGAAATAACTTTATGAGCTCGATTCCTACCTTTGGATTGAGATGGCCAACACTAAAGAATGATCACAAAAGGCGTTGAAGTGACAAATGACAAGTCAGTCCACCCGCTACTACTATAACCTCCTGTCGGCTCAATTCCTGTCCAGACCAGCCTAGTCCAGACGACCCCGATACAGCTAGCAGCCATGGCAGTAATGACAGACATGGTGTGGGCGTTGTGATTAATAAGGTGGCCCGGCAACCGAGCCATAAAACCTTAACCTGTGGACAGCACGCCACGGCGATGAGAAATTCCTCCAGACAGCAGTGAAACATTTAGCTGACAAGTCAAACACGTGCAAAGACGGCCCAAAACACACCTGCCTGTCCAACAGTCTGCGCTGTGAACATTCAGGCAGCGCATGCAACACCTACAAGACCCCAATCGCATAACCACCTAGCGTGAGATGAAACTGCACAAGAATCAGGCGATGAAGGTAAAACAACCTTCCACAAGTATCCATAGATGTAAAAATTCATTTCACGTACACCGGATGCCAACATCAATGATGGGATGAGGCTGTCAGGCTGCCCTGAGATGGTTTATCCACGCTGGCAGAATAGAAAAAAACCAACTCGATATAAGCGTGTAAATGTGGTAACCGAGAAATATGTTGAAAGGTAAATGCACCTTCCTTCACTTCATTGGCATTTGAAGCTCTCCTGGATGAAAGACACCTTCGTCAGAAAGTAACACAATACATCACCCGCCTCTCAATAGGCAACAGGAAAAAAACTATAACAAATAAATAAGGAATTTCTTCTTGCTAAATTAATACTTTTTCCTTTTTTTACAAAATGAAAAGCCGCACACAAGTTCCTCCCATAACGAACAAGAGAATAGGAGTAGCAGTAATAGTTCAAACCGAAATGCACAAAAATGAGAACTTGCACGCATCAATCAGTCAAGAAGGTCAAAGTCAAATTCTAGGAGAAGACCAGGTGCTGTCAATGGATCTTCTGCACACTGTATCACCAATTTGGAGTCAGAGGTACTGTCAAAAAACCATGAGCAGGAGATATTATGGACAAGACCATCTAGAAGAGGGATCAACGCAGAGTCCAATCCATTCACGTAACCTGGATCGGAAATAAGGGGACCAGGAGAGGAGCTGGCTTCCCCCTCCGCATTACTGACTACTTTCCACCAATTCGAGTTCTTTGGGGAGGGAATAAGGCTTTTAGTACGTCTGTGGCCGCTTCCAGGGCTAGAATTGCTGCCAATAAAAAAATTGAAAGTATTTGGAGGTTGAAGTAGAATTCGAAGGGAGATTGATCGGTGATTTGCCTTTCGAAGTTGTCTGGAGTATGGAAAGAGCGCCTGAAATGAGATGAATAATTCAGTGAAAGAATCCGATAAGCCTAGACCCAAATTAAATCGTACATCCTTTTTCCTCAATTTTAAATCTGATAAAACCGACGATGAAAAGATATGACACATTGAAATCACATTAGATTTTTCGAGTTTAAGACCAATAAATAGCTTAAAAGCCTCTACCGAGATTGTGGGATCAAAAATATCGGCAAATCATATCGTCTCTTCCCCACTTTTTTTTCACAAAACTTTAGGAATCAATTAGGCAATGCCTATTCACGAACCAGAGATAGTTGCCAAACTTAGGATCTACGGATTTCCTTTTACCACAGCGTACGCGATCCATAAGTGGAGGGTCGAATGCTTTCACGGTCGTTTGACTCTCCAATCCGGCATGATGCCGTTTCCTGGGTTGGATGCGTTCGCGAATGACATTGAGTGGGTCACCAAACAGACTGTGCAAATTCGTACCAGACCAAAAAAGCTTAATAGCCTGGGGCATAAAGAGGATAGAGGTGTTTACTACAACAAATGGGATTTACGTGGGGCCAAATTAGAAATTTAGTGTAACCAGAACCCAAAAAATACTTTTTGAATAGAAAACGAGCACACTGACACCAAAACATAGTTCTCATCACTAAGCTGGGCTGTCCAGGACGCAAAGTTTGATCATCTTCAATACTCCGATTTGAGAGTTGACAAAAGGTCGCAGAGGGGACCTTATCGTCACCCTGAGCGGCCCATGGCGATGGGGATGCAAGAGAGCCTCAGCAGTGCCAAGAGAAACCGAAACCGATAGCTCTGACGAACAAATTATCAGATTGATAGGAACAACACAGCCAAATTTGAGTTCATAAATAGTCTACCGCAATCCAAGTATTTTTTTAAGATAAGGTACTCACTGCCAAAATCTTGGGGAAAAATGCACTACAACGACTCGAACAATCCAACTGCAACACGAATCGATGCAACTACACATATCATAAAACACTCGCGTCACGCATTTGTGACGGCAAGAGGAGGGAAGAAACTTTGGATGTCGGATAAATGTGACACCAGTAACAGACACATCCGATAATATAAACACTGAAAGAATTACACATTTCTGTCAACACCGCACCACACCGCTTGAGGGAGGTTTCAACACAGCTGCAAATAGACCTGCATTGACCTAGAAACATCGGGAGTTGGATAAAAGGGAACCTTGAGCATTTCCTTCTTACTCCTGCTATCCATGTAGCCAAAAGGGGAAGGTTATAAAGATAACAGAGTTTGTTAAAAAAATTAAACAATTCAGGTAGTCGTAAAACAAAGATCGCTGAAAGAAGTGACCTGTCAGGAGCGTTTAAGTCAAACCGTGACTTTTAATCCACTTTTATAAGCAGTTAAAAGGAGAGGCAAATATTGCCGTGGTAACAGTGAACACTGCAAACTGGTTTACAGTCATTGACAACTTCCAGGACTTAGTTCACCCATAAATGATAGCACTACAGCTTTCCGCATCGATGACGAGGTGGGGTGGGATGAGGCAGTTTGTCGTAGAATGTTTCAGCCGCAATGACAAATTTCTTTACGACAAAGGACTTTGCAGGTATTAATCATACACAGGGGTGGGTGTATGAATAATAGGCACGGAGGACTGCGTTGAAATAATGACGGAAACATTTTCCACGCCTTAAAATGGGTTCCCTGCATACCTGTAAAAGCCCAACACTTCCAGACTTTAGATGAACATTTACCGACACCTGATGGTCAAGTCAGTGCATAAATGCGAAACATTAGATGTTATCAGAGATAGTGTTCAGGCATTTATGACAACTTTAAAAAGTGGAACGGATTCTTTAATTTATCACGCAGTTCTCAAAAGCATCTACCCTTAATTGGCGATGTTAAATAGCATCTTGAACATCCACAGCACATTGATGCGTGAGGAAAGAAGGCTTGGATTATGCTTGGAAAAAGATTTGCGAGATAAAGTACACAAGGATAAAACTGAAAGAAGAACATGTGACTTCTATCAAGGGTGTGAGATGAAGTTGTCCATGGAGTGCTATTTTGGATAAACAATTCGCGATACTTTTTGATCAAGGCTGGACATTAGTACCTCAGCCTACAAAAAGCATTCCATTGATAAAACTGGAGAGCTAAGACAAGGATTTAGTAGAAAAATGTTCAAATAATTGCTAATTTGTTACCCAAAATCGCTTATCCATAGCTGATTCATAAAATCTATTCTCAGTATGTATTGATCATAACAAGGCTTCGATGCATGGGTTTAAAAATAAACAAATAAAATTGAAAATGCTTTCTTTACTTCATTGATAAATCTATTTCAATGGGTCAGGAAGTAGTTAACACCAAATAGAGGATGGCAGATCACCTAGCCATTTTAGATGACAACGTCCCGACCGCCGACCCCCCAGGAAAAAACGAAAGGAAAAGCGAAAATAACAGCACCACACCAGCGATGACCATTTGTCAATTTGTCAAGAAACGCATAAATAATTTGACAGCCCAACGCAAACACATGCATGTTAATCTGTCCGCCCGTTAATTGATGCGGCGACGGTGAGGCGCGAGTGTGACGAGGTGAGGGAGTGAGTTTGGGTGCTCGAGCGTTTCGCAGGATTGTTGACAGGGCGTTGGAATAAATTAAAGTGACGCCATTCCTGTTATTGTCATTCCTCCCTTTTGGTTATGTCAATAAAGGAGAAAACAAGAGAAGGACGTCATACCGCAGGACTTATTTTTAGCGCATATTTACACAACGGATGTGATCAAACAAACCACCACTCGAGGGGCGAGTAGCTGGAAGTTGAGGCCTTTGGACTTTCTAGGAGGGAAAAGTATACTTTCCTTCTCCATATGTGTGTGTGTGTGCTCAGCCAGTATCTGGAAAGCACCTTCCGCATGGAAAAATTTGGCAGGACAAGACAATCGCTTTCACTTTGGCAGACTGCTGTGGTGCTGACGGTGAGTTGGGAATAGAACCACGGAGACCAAGGTCCTCACCATCGTAGAGACGTAATTAGGACCGTCTTTGGTGTGCAGATGGGTATCTCCCAAAATAAGAAGGGGGCTACCCAGCATGTGGAAGTTTGACATCAAGGAGCCAGCGTCACAGCAAGAAGGTCTCGCCCTTTTATTCCACAGGTTCTGATAGAACTTCTTAGATTATATTCTCCGTCAGCTTCCACCTCTTCTCCCCATGCTGAAGTGCAAATTGAGGTTCTAAGTACTCAAATTTCCCTCATCTTTGAGCTTCCACATCTACCTTCTCCTCATCGGTACGGCCGACATAAAAACTTCAACTGGGGCGTCAGAATGAGCAGTCTAGAAGATGAGTAAATTTGTGGACAGTTCAATATCAGCTCGAGCGTCCACCAAAATGACCCCGAAAAGTTCAAGCCGCTTACGCCTTGAGGCACTGCAGATTGCCGCCAGTGAAAGCTATCTCACAATAGACGACCCGAATCACACGAATAGGCACAAGAGATACCCATTTCTCTGACGTGGTCAATCAAACTCACCCAGAGGTGATTGGCATCTCCCCACTCAGTTTATTACCACCTGTCATCGACACACATGCAATAAAAAATAATAAAGACACAGTAAATGTCGACCCTCACCATTTCATTGCATTTGAGAGGAATGAGTAAAAGCAGTCTCAATCTCTCTCCCTCCTTATTTTTCCACCAAGCTCAGAAAGGTTCACAGTTTTGTTTGGAATTAAATTAATTAACGAGAACCTTGTGTTTATTTGTATTTGGCGGTATATTTAATGCTGCTGCCACTGCCTCTGCAATTGAGGCTGCAGCAGAAGCAGCAACGCTGGATGCTCCTACTTTTTTTGCCAAAATCTAAAACTTTCACTTAATTAATTAAATTAAAATAGATTTAAGTAGCGCAAGATGTGCATTCGCCTAATTAAAACAATCCACAATCGCTCCACACACACACACACAAGCAAACTCGAATTCGGTTGATTTAAACTGGGGGATTTTGAAAAACTCACCCCCCCCTCCCCACATAATGCACATCAGGTCTGGAGCACAAAGATTATGGGTCTTCAGAAGAGACGCCGTTCTCATTGTTACTGCCTACCTGCTCTCTTGATTAAGTCAACAAAAGATAAAACACGTCGCATGGCAGGGCCTTCTTGGTTCCTTTTTCGATCTTATCAAGTAAACTTAACCTCATTGTTCCCCTTGTAATCCAACGAGTGGAGATTTACAATTGGGAAGAAACGTATGCGAGGAAGGTTCAAGATGAATAAAGCCTGCCGTTTTCCATGCTTACAATTTCTCTCCATGTGTGAATGTTCGTGTTCAATTAGTACCTGGAAAGCACCGCCCACATGGAAAGAGTTGTCAGAACAGGAGAGTCCGCTTCACTTCGGTATCGATGTTGGTATCCAGTAGACGTAAGGCAGACGAAAGTGTTGAGTTCATCGTTTTCACAGACAGACGTGGCCATCTCTCGAGCACGCATGTCACACAACAGACGTTCCACGCGATGGCTGCGTTATCACAGAGGCGAATGATTACTATAGTGTAGATGGTAAGCAAGTAACAAAACCACCACTATTAAGGCCATCACTGACACACTGGTGGAAGTCTTCGAAATATTTCCAATTCCAGGTTTCTACAACCTGGAAACGCAAAAACCTTCAGGAATCGTAAATGAAAGTCTACGGATAAATGGATCAGCTCAATGGAAAAAACCGGATCTGCGAGCACCCTCAAGAGAAGGATCCAATCATGCTGATGGATAGAGGCATGAGGAAGCACGAGCAATGCATGGTGACCAAAGCAACAGGGACATTTCAATGATGAAAGATAGACTTCATTAAGACATCGCTGAAATGATATTGCAGAAGTCAAAATTGTCTCAAAACACTAAAGAGATATACAACTTTTAACGATGCTAATTTCGATTCTTTCACCATCGTCACTGCTTTCTTCGTCTCCGCCGTTATCATGCATGGGAACCCAGAGTCATATCTGTTACGGTCGTATCATTTACTCAGAGTTCGAGAGCTCACGTCTTCAGAGCGTATCATGCTTGACGTCAACTACATTAAAGAGAATCAGAGACAAATCCTCCTTGGGAACTCTGCTGAGTTTTCAAAAAGAGGCATTTTTTTCCAACAATCCACCTATGATCATAGGTTTTTCTTGGACCCAGCACATGAGAAGCACTTTATGTCGAATACATCGGAGTCCTTTCTTTCAAAAGTTCTGATAACTTTTAATCTTCTGAAAGAGTATTCTAAATCGTAGCTTAAAACGGAAGATGCCGAAAAGGAGGTTATTGGTGGCATCAATAATGGCCTTTCAAATTTTAACATACCATTGATAACCCCAAGCGATCCCCTCATTGCTCCATTTCACGCTTCCAAGGCATGTACCATTCCATCTCAACGAGGTCATACTTACTTTTCAATTGTCGAAGGTAGAACAAAGGGTACAACTCAGATCTCCTTACCTCAATAAAGCTCGGCGTGTAAGGACTTTTTCATTTACTTAGAGAACATTTATAAACTTATCAATCAGTCGAAAGAAAGTGTTGTTCCTTCAAGGCAACGGAGGATCTCATAGCGCACCTCTGTTTGGAAAAGGAGAGGGGAGGGATGAAGAGAGATATTACCTTCAATCGATGATTGACACCTTTACTTGGCACTAGACAATCTCAAAATCACATGCTAAATGGAATAGACAGTTGAAAAATAAAACTGAAATGCTAGAAACAGATGTAGGTGGAGATAAGTTTTGTTTTTTTTTGGCTTCCAGAGTCAAAAAGTGCAACAATATAGATCGTTTGTCTCGTTGAGAAGGAATTGTGTATTCTAGGAGGCCCTCAAAAGCTACTAACACATCTATTATCGCGTGAAAAATCGGATACCATGGAGAGATAGGGAAAAAGAGAGTAAAACAAGGGAGAATCCTAACGCGACCTTCTGGAGTCTGGTTTGAGACACATTTTGGTCGGAATCATGTTTTCTTTCGTCTATAATGATTTCTGCCAAAGTGATGAATGAATTCTGCAGATCTGAGAACATTTTCACATGGAGGAAGTGACCGACACACCAAATCCCGTGCATCCGAACAAAGTAATTTCCTCACAGCACAATTTATTGAGCATTTCAGACAACTCCGTGTTGATTTGAGCATCGTCCTCAGTTATCTACCGACACACCTGCCAATAAGTGAATGGGGAGGATGTATGAATAAAATAATTTGGCATTCAACTGCATATGTGAAATCTGCTTTCTTGGTAGCTTCTATGATCCCTTGCCAAAGTGCTTCGTCACCTAGGCTATACATGATTGAAAGCTGCTCTTGACGCGTTAGTCATCAAGTAGCGGCGCCAATTTCCCCATTGTTTTCCACCTTTGGATCACTCATCAGCAGAATCAAAGTTTACAATTCAAATCACTTGTAGTTGGTGTGTTTGGCAACCCCACAGGAAGCCAAATGAGGTTCTACAGCTTCAAAGCAGAGCTAAACTCTGTGAGCTGGACAATTCCGAATAACATATATGTAGAGTTCAAGCAACATTTGATGATAGGAGGATCGAAGGTATAGAAGTGGCACAGAGCACAAGGTAGGCAGGCTACCACGCCGATGGACAGATACGTATGAATTTTACAAGCCTCCACAATTTACAAGAAGTCATCCAAAAGGGACAGGTTGCGTGTCTATTGCAAAAGCACAATGTCCAGTTTGACAGCATCGGATCTAAAGAACTCTGCAAATTATTCCACGGCGTGCCTCTAGCCTCAGCTTTAGGACAGCCATGAAGGGTAAATGTCAGGGCAAGATCGACAAATTCTAAAATTGCTTTAGGTCCCAGAAGACCGTCCACCCGTCCGTCCTCTCAACAGAAGTGATAATTATGGGTAAGCGAGGAGAGGATGGCAATTATTGACGGTCATTAAACTAATTAATTGGAGTTAATTAAAGGAATTAATCATTCCCAATAGGGGGACTGTCTCGTGAGTGCCTCCAAATCATTTGGCTTATTGCAATGCTAATGGTGGTAGTGGTGTCTGCACTGTGGCCGTTTTATTTTCGCTAATTAACTCAATTCATTAGGGAAAAAGGAACATATCTGTTCTAATTGTGCCTCTCAAAAAGGTACTAGCTCTCCAGTCCCAACGATTTCAGGAGTCGTCACTTCTTGGCCGCCTTTCTGCACCTATAAAGCTACACTCTAAAATAGCAAAGGTCTTGATATCCTTCAGTGCGTGTAGGTCCCTGGCGGCAGAGAGATACCGGGTATCACAAAAGGGGGCTTATCAAAGCCACATCCAAATGCAGCGATACCAAATCTGGTACATGAATATACAGTATCTCCCCACGTTCTCCATCAACTTTCAGTGACAAAGATGCGAGGTTAAGAGAGACTCACATTTACGGATGTAGCGGCAACCGCGTTGAAGACCGCAAAAAGGTCCAACACTTCACCCGATCTATTGTCTACCGCGTAAACCGGACGGGAAGCCAGGTTGTGAAGCCGTGTCCAGGCAATACGAGGACCAACATCCACAACCACATCGTCATTTCCATCATCCGATAACCCCTGACGCATCAACCAGTGTCGCAATTGTTGCTCTCGTGGAATTACGAAGGTGCACCGTGGTTCCACTAATCGACCATCGACCCAGGAACACTAGAAGACAAGCGCGAGTTAAGTAGAGAGAACCTACGTGAAGGGATGTAAAGTGAATTAGAGCGGGCTCATCAATCCAATTCACTGTGATGATCCCTCCGTTAAAGGATGAAGTTGTTGAAAGACCCTGAGCGGTTTCGATACGAAGTTGAAGAGGAGAGGCGTTACGCATATGGGTGAGGAGGGCTTTAAACTGTTCGGTGGTGAGCCGTGCGACACAACCGTCTTCTACCACGGAGAGACTTGAGTTACAGCCTCCGACACCTTCTATTAGAACGAAGGAGGCCCCCACCACCTGAAGTGTAGTTATATAAAAAGTAGACAAATAATACCGCTACTATTGCCATTTATGTAGAAATATGAGCTCAAACAGTATAAGCTTTTATGGGGGAAAGGGGGGATTGTTCTTGCTTCTAGAGCAAATTAAAAGCCTCTATAACTTTGTGTAGTATCGTAAACATCTCTTCGCAACCGTGGTGGCAGCAAATTTGATGTCCGAGATGCTGTGCATACGTCACGCCAATATGGTTGGATTCGGACTTTTCTATTCACTAAGGGGTGATTCTGCACAAAACACATTTACCTTCACCCGAAGCACCCAGGCCAAATGCAAAATTACAGGAAGTCTTTAAAAGCACACAACTCCACTTCGGCATTTTGATAGTTACTTCTGAACTGTTAAGAAAGCAGATAAGCAATAAAAATGGGATGGGACAACCGAATTGTACTAGTCTGCATCAAACTGCCCCATGTGATTCAGGCCCTTAGAGTGAGTGGAAAGTCACTTTACTGCACTACACATGAAAGGCTAAATAAGTATTTACAAAGACAGTAATAAAATAAAGGCATGAGCCATTAAATGGATGAACCACACACACCAGTGCATACAGTAAAAAAGGATGTTAATAAAGTTGAAGAATGAGAAAAAAAGACAATCAATAGGTAGACGCATCATAACTAAGTAAAATCCACGATAATTTCATGATTCACATCGCTATGGAGTGCCACATCACATTGGCTAAATAAAAGAGATTACACGTGATAAAGGGCAAATTATCCAAATCACAAATCCTGGTTATTTCAAACCGCGCATATCAGTTGCTCACCGTTTTGCTAGGATCTGCAGAATCATGAGGCGTGAGTTCAGTGGTTAGCCCAGCAGCAGAATCACTGACAGCGAGGTGGCAGTCAGCGGTCGGACAGAAATTGCCGGTAAGGCCGAAAAGTAGGCTTTCCTCGTGCCCAACGGATCGCAGTGCGCGCCGAACGTGTTCGTGCGCGGAACGGCGCAACTGAAAGACAGGAAAAAAGCTTACTTAGGAATGGCACCTAGTCGACCGGTACATCTGACTTTCTGTACTACTTTCTGATGGGTATGATCGAAAACGCCTTCAGTAGTAACTCCAGCGCTGTATCGGTGGCAACACAGTAGCCTATGATCGAAATCATACACTACTCACTAAGAATAATACCGCTTGCGACCATGCTTTAAGAAAGGCTTACATCTCAACGGGTTGGTTGATTGAACCGGTGAAAGATCGTAAAATAGATGGATAAGACGTGATGAGATCCGCTGCTAACACCATTAGTAATCTAGAGACATCAAACCCCGATTTTTTACAAGTACCGGGATAGCATTTCACTAAGAAAGAAGGTCTCCAGGAAATGAGTTTATCCTGCATTTTTGTTTTGGGGCAAATTTGACAAGAGCTACGTTGATACCACGAGCACCTCACTCAAGCCTCGCCACTCCGACCCAACCTATTTTCTCAGTAACTAATCCTCAAACCCGAACCTAACCACTTTTTCTGATAAAATTAGACTTTTAACCTACTTTTTTGCAAGGAAAAATTAGCGAAAGGTCAACGAAGAGCAGAAAAAAACGGATGAAAGCCGAGTAGAAGGAAAACAATACCGCCTACTCAATGGGATTTCAGTAAAAAAGTGTTCAAACTCACCAGCAATTGGAGTCGTAGTTCTCCCCTTCCACCCAGACCCGAAACGAGGATGTTCAACTCAGGCACGTGGAAACAACACACAGCACCACTACCACTACCTCCATCACATAGAGAAAGCACACTACTGGCAGCAGCATCATTGTTGGAGAAAGCTGGTGATCGATCGCGGTCGGAGATGAGAGGAAAGGCGTCGTTACAGGCCCGACTCAAGGTGAGAAGGAGCCGCAGGGGATGCCGAGTGGCCCATGTAACCTCGTTGGGGTGACGAAGGATGAGAGCTATGAGAAAAGGAGGGGTGGGGAGGAGGCAAAGGAGATCTGTGAGGCTCTCGGCATGTGGTGGACTGGCATGGACGTAAAGGAAATCACAGCACGCGCCATCGAACCATGTTGAAGATGACAATTGCTGCTGTCTCTGTTGTTGGCCAGTAAATGGATTGGGAAGCAGGAGACAGAAGCCCTCGTCAAGAGGAGGGACGAAGGCGGTGTTATTAGTAGTAGTGGGTCTCATGGGAGCTAAAATAAAGGTGGTATGAGGGATGCAGAGTAGGAAGTACCGGATATCCACATGTAATGAGTGAAACAAGGATTGAGTGATCAGTCACTCACTTCGAAAATCCGAACACCAAGGGGAAAACGCGAGATCGTAGAGGAGAAAATACTGCACCAGTGCATCAATTGGTGGAATTGTTTCACCCTCTCGTTGTCGAAGTAGAAGACAGACTTCTTCTTGCCCTACAGTGTAGAGACCGTGAGAAATGAAACTCCAGATGTCACCACTGACAATGCTGACGAGAACGTGAAGATTCCGGGTCACGGCAAAGGTAACCATGCCTCCATCGGTGGCTAGAAGATCTCTCACACGATCGTCTGAAGGCTGAGATTCGAGAACTAGCTCTAAATGGGAATGGAACGTATTGTAACAGAACGAAGCTATACATACATAGCTAAGTCCAGCGTCACACATACGTAACGCGTGTTTGTCGGTTTATGGCAGCTACTAGTCGTACTGCATTGTACCCCAAACAGAATGGATGAATCGTTACCATACTAGAGCAGAGAAATACTTGGATTATAATGACCAGTTTTTTTTCGGGAAATCCCAAATGCCAAAGCTTCAAACATGTGTTAGCCAGATCTAATGGATTTCAGTCACTATCACGGTGGTATGGCGTTTTACCCTCTTGTGAATTACTACGAGAGGATTTCAGGGCAGAAAAAGTTACGATTCCGCCAGCATTTGAAAGAACGCTATCGTGACAGGTAGCAAATCTGTTCCAACACCACCACAACTCCCAGTCAGTGCACAGTTCCTGTCTGGGCCAGTCCGTTCCAGTCCAGACAACTTCAATCGAGGTGGTAACCAAAGTGCTAGTGATTAACACGGCCCATATACAACACGGTACATGTAGTGGTTATCAAAGTCTCCTGTCAAATAAGCCGTAAAACCCCAAATGGCATATGTGTACTCGGAGGGAAGCTTTTGAGCACTACACATCACGACGATGGGACGCTCATCCACACAGCAGACATTTGGCTGACAGGCCAAAGAAGTCCAAAGACGGTCCCAAATGCATGCATTCATCTGCCCACCCGCCTGTCTGTCTGCCATTAACGACCCCGGCAGTGTTAGCTTCATTGTCAGTTCCCATATCACCAGCCATCCGGTGATGTTAACATTCAGGGAGTGCATACAACACCAACAGAATTCTGGTCGCATAACCACCCGACGTGTGAAAGTAATAAACGCAAAAAAAGCTTCACAAGAATTTGTGATTGCGAAAAGTTGGCATACGCATGCTGGGTACCAGCAGACACCAGTTGAACGTACGGAATAAATGCATTAGCAAGGAAGTATGTGAAGATTAAATGCAGTTTCCACTTTTTCACCTCATACGCAATCTTTTCTTGGTTAGAATTCGAAATGCCATTTTGATTTAACCATTTTCCACAGAGAGGTGTTAATTTAGTCTTCAGAGATGACTCATGGAGCCACAGTTACTTTCCAGTTCGACAGCGTACCAGGAGTGGTTGCAATAACCAAGGGTGGCCAAGAGGACTTCGATGACGCTGATGGAATGAGGCAGTCGTCCTTCAGCCTGCTGACAACGAGTGATGGAGGCAAGGGACGTCTTTGGGGAATGGTTTGGGGTGCGACTGACTCCGCCTCGGCGAGCGATTCTAGTGGTGGAACTTGGGTCTGGGATGCAGACATTGCAGCGGGGGCTTCAAGGTAGAAAGAAAGGGAATCGCCATCTTGAATGGAGCAAATCCACCCAATTACTTACAGCTTATAATGTTGATTTAGGTGTTTAAAGCCGATCCATCAAAATGATGGGTTGTTGGCGGAGCAAACGCAACTTATAAAAGTAATTTAAGTGGTTTTCGCAGGACCATCAAAGTTATGAAGCATGCTATTCGATGGAACACGAACTCAGAGTATTAAACAAAATAAACAATCAAGTAAGAGTAACCTTAGGGGCCGATTTCCGAGATAAGTGCCGTTAGAACCGTTTTAGTAGTAGAGATGATTTACCGCGGTAGAGTTGAAATAACTAAGAAATTGATGAGGGACCAGCATTCCATTATGAGCCCGGTATTGTGGAGGGAAGGGATGTGAGTGTGTATGTGCGATCAAGGCACAAATTCACCGCTGTCGGTGCGTGTGCACAGTAAGGGTAGAAAGTTCACGCCCTTGTAGTCAGCATCAATGAGACATTCTGGCATTACAGGCACAGAGCACTGTACAAGTCCAGCGAAGACTGAAGGAAATTCTACAGTTGATTCACGGATACTGGTGAAGCTGCGTATTGGGAGTGTTGGATATACCAATCCTCAATCGACTAGTTTGGTAATACTTTTGTGTCAGACAGGCGCCTAAACAATTGCTAACAGAGACGCACACACACGAGCGCATAGGCATTGATTTACAACACAATCTGCTGTCGTGAGGATGCTTTCAACTGTCATTCACAATTCCCCGCGGTTACGCCATTCAAGCCAAAACAGCCGACATAAAAGGCTAGACACCCACCAAACATACAAAGAAGCCACCACAAGCTCAAAGGTCTATATCAGGTGACCAAAAAATGGTATTTCATTAATTGTGCATGCCTTATTAAATACAGATATGGATCGGTCTACTGGCGCAGCGCTCCTTATTCTCCTCTCCCTCTCTCAACTGATTCACACCTACTTTGGACCATCATCTTACGTTTTAGCAGAATAGATTAACTCGGCTTCAAAGCTGCAGGAGTTTCTTGTGTAGCAAAAAAAGGGCGGTTGCTTTGCTTGTAGCCTACCACGGACAAAACCATTCACCATGAATTTCTTGCTGAAGGCTAGACTGTGCAATCACACTCGAAACAGAATAGACGGTCAGCAAACAAAAGAGACCAAACCGGATGTGGAAAGAAAATTAAATCTCAGAAATCATTCTTATCGAATAGAAAATCTGTCAAAATGAACTATTTGAAGTAGGAGATAGAGTAAGGCTCAAGTTTGACAAAAACTTCCAAACCCGCTAGCAAACATTTCAAGAGAACGAAGAAAATACTTAAAGCGCTCACTACAGGGATTAAATAGTAAAATCAACTACTACAGCCCAGCCTTTTTGCGGCCCTAACATATAAGATTCACTGTCATTTCAAAAAACCGAGAAAAAAGTATTTCTCTTCAGACTAGGAAAATCCCACCTCAACAGTTTTAAGCTCAACTGATGCCGGACTCATTTTAACTAATCAACGCGAGGAGAGGTTGTAATACAAGGCCAACAAACGTAAACAGCCTGTTTGGCCTTACACGACTCCACGGTGATGGTAGGAGGTGAACAAGCCTGAGCAGGTGGGCTCCCGAACATTTGGTGGAAGCACTGAATACACACTCGATGAAGACGAGCTTTGTTGCTACCGTCACTGGTGGCAATCGAACCAGAAACTAGTCGAAGAAGGCTGCCCTCGGGGGAGGAGTAGGCGGAGGAATGTGAGAAGGAGGGAGGGAGGGGGACTCGATGGGGCGTGCAAGTGGCACAGAGTAGGCGACCACAAGTGCGACAGTGATGACGCCGTCGCATCATCGTAAAACGCGAGTTGCAAGCCACGCACACCGTCGAGCTGGTGTCAGCAGCCCATTCGGGGGGGTTGAGAGAGGGGGGAATCGATTGGGGCCGTACTGATGATGATGTCGACGGTAACGACGGCGACGTCCGGTGTCTCTCGTTTGATACGGCTATTGCGCTCTCGTCTCCGTTTTCATCTAAGGGCAAGTCACAAAGACCAAATAATTTTCCTCCATTCGACTTGACCTCCTGATTCGTACGACTTATAAGGCTTTTAGGGATAAATCACATTTGAAAAGTGAATCAGGTGCTACTGAATAACTACTTCTTCCTTTTTTGTATGAAAGACAATAATCCAGGAGGGGAGTGGGGTACCACTGAAATGACGACAGTGATGTCGGAAGGATAAAAACAAAGTACGGCTGCACGAGATGACATATGACATGTGCTCGCTATAGAGCATTACCAAACCAGGCGAAAATTGACAAGTAAATCCTAACAAGTATGACGATTGTTGCGAAATTGAATGTCCTCGGGCTCCTGTTTTGCGAGTGGCCTTACTACACAGATGGCGGAAGAGCACAGAGAATGATCAAGCGAGTTGGGCCTTGATGAGGTGCGCGAGTGAAAGCTTACTTATTACCTAATGCGCAGATGCTACTAGACGCGTAAATCACCCCAAATTCGCGAGTTGACATACGCGGAAGGGCGCCAGGCACCTCCACAGTCGTGCCAACGGTCGAAGTGCTGCTTTGAACGACTGACGACAAATAGAGTGCAGTATTTTGAGGATCTACCGGTGCTCTAGGCGGCTCCCCGAGACTTTCCATTGTGAATGGGAAGAGGTTATGGAAAAAGCCTAAAAAAGAAAACCAACTAATAACAAGTTCTGGAATCCTTCATCAAAAACGATTTTACCTAAGTCAGTTTACAACTTCTGAATGAAAATGGAGATGACTAAGTGTCTATGATTTGAGAAGCGACGTTTTGAGGCAATTTAGAAAGCAGCAAGACTTAAAGTGGTCACCAGTTCAGGAAAACCTGCAACACATAAAAGCCAGATATTCATTGCCAAATAAAATGTGGAAAGCATTTAGGCCAAGCCAGCACCTTTTCTCCCTTCTGCTACATTTGTTCCCTTATCGAATCATTTAGCCAACACTTCGGCGCCTTAAAGATGGAAAATTTTGTTCGCGTGGCTCAACCGGCCGCGACCAGTCAGCTACGCCTCGTCATTAGTGATGTTACTCTGGACAGGAGCACTACCTCCCTGAAATCGCAAATATTCGTAAATTACTTTTCGGGGAGATTTGTCCATACTTTGTGCAATTTTTTTACGCAGCAGATAGCTTTTCACCTGAAATCGGACAGTAGTCCTACCCGTCGGCTAAGTTTTTAGAGAAATTAATGCAATGCTGTAGGGTGTCGAGACGTTTACATTACCTAAGGTATGTGTTGACGATGCCATCACCACACCGTATTATCTGAAGGCCTTCGTTCGTAAAAGACTTCAGAATTGGCCTCCTTCGTATGTCCACATTAGCCATCATCTGAATCGAACTGACTCAAGAGATTTGCGCTAGCTAGGATACCCTCAAGATACATCACTGCATATAATGCTACCACCGTGGTCGTAAATGCAAGTTCTGCCACTAAGCTAATGCAGGTGGCTCAAAGCACTAACGATATGAAGAAAGAAGTGGCAGAAGAAATTGGCGAATACATTCATATCAAAATATGTGCGAATGAGTCGCAGCAAGATTTGAAGAGATGACTGTTCCATGAAAGTGGAATGCTATAGAACACCGGATTCTCAAGGATGGCTTCATTGCAATTATAAACTCTTTGATTAACTTAAATCTATCAAAGTAGGCGCGATGTCACAATTTTTCAACCAGTAAAAAAAATCAAACCAATTTGCAAACACTGGACTGAATATATGGATTTACGAGGTCATATGTTCACAGTGCGCTGTGGTATAGTTCTTTTTTATTAATAAATCTTATACTTTATGCATGTTCATACCTATCTCCCTTTTCTGGATTGTAAAAAATTGCTACAATTATGATAACGAGCCGTGTTGAGAACCGAGGTCCAGGCGCTTACACTTAAGCCTAGGCATTCATTTTACTTAACCATAGGGTACTATAACAACCAACTCATATACAGTCTCTTCCGTTTCCGCAAATTGCCCTCAGAGCCCCTTTTTCAGTTATTATGATCGTGGCGCTCTGTAACCGCCACATCAAAATAACCACTTTCGAACTTGATAGTACACTGGGGGAGAAATTGACCCCACGCTGAAAACACACGGACGAAGGTAAAATCGTGTTCCAGATGCACACTCTCGGCTCGGAGTGAGAGAACGCTGTACCTCCATGACTGGTTCAGTTTAAGTACAAAGTTAGCAGTCATTACTTTCCACTCTGCGTGCCAAGTGATCGAATCGCCTGGTAAGTAGTCATATGATATGACTAGACACTGATAATTGCTACCACATTTCCCAACATTAGCACTAATAACAGAAGCACAAAAACGCGCCAACTCTTTGAGTCTGTACGATATGTTTCTCGACAATCTGATTCATACAACGCTAACCGGTTTCCACATGTAACATAAACTGGAGAATGAGCCAAAAAAGTTGGATGAAGCTACAATAACAATAAAAATAATTAGTACTCCACAATCTTAGCAGCGATCGAAAAGTTTGGTAAAGCACCCACAACATTTAAACGAAAAAGTGAAACCGATTTCTCACCACATCGCCTTATGGCATCCTAATCATTCCACAATTGTATCTGCTTGTATGACCTAGGTTAGCTGATAAACTTACAACGAGTAGGATTTTTACAAACACGAATGAACGCTCAGGTTGTATCAACTAATACAAAGAAGGCCGAAACGTTAATCAGCATAGTGAAATTAAAAACGGAAAAAAGGATAGCAAGTACCTTCATTGACGTTTACGACTTCAGCAGGAGGCGAACTATCACAAACCGTCTCCGAGACGGTTCCCTGGACGATTTCGGTTTCAGTTCCAGAAATCCGAAGATCTTTCGGGACTGAACTTCTAGGGCAATGTGAAGACTCCTTCGGTTGATTCATAGAAGAGTTCGGATCGATTGAAAGGATATGGGAAAAGGTAGCATCTTCGAGGGTAAAAGTCCGCCGTTCAAGGTCGACTGAGGTGCCAAGTTCTGCAGTGTTAGAATCTTCAACAGGGATATTTAGGTTCATTAGATTCGCGTGAGAGTACTCCTTGGGTTGTGGTGCTATTTTGCGATTAGCAGATCTAGATTTCTTAAAAGGAGCCTCACATTTCCCCGTGGGTTCAACTGGAATTTTTTGACCCAACGAACCCAGTTTTCTTGAAATTACTTTGATAGAATTTGGTTCATCTAATGGTTTGGAATGGACGAAGTTAACATCGATGAGAGAATAATTACCGTCAGCATTTGGTTTTGCTTGGTTGACAGTAACGCATTGCTTAACGGATCTTTTAGAGGCTAAAAAGAGTTAAAAACAAATCAGATAACTGTTTTTCATGGAGGTTAAAGAGGAAAAAAAAGGAAGGACAGGGAACTAAACACATGGGAAAGCAAAACAGGTCAAAGGGTTTATTAAACTATGAGACAGTTAGTACCTAGTAGACGAAGTCTTGCGCAAAATAAAATGGTGAATAGCAATAGCTAAGTAACAACCGCTACTCAGTTTTGGAATCCAGAAATAAGATAAATTTACAAGAGAAAACTTGCACAATCGGTTGAAGTGGGAACAGATATTTCCAAGAACACAGGCAACTTGATTAATTTAGAATAGACCGATAACCTGATTCCAGTTTTTGGAAATCATCAAGCAGCTTATCGAGATCCACGAGACGACTCATCGGACAAGGCCGATCCAGGCTCTCTAAGCATCCAACTTCGACAACCCGAATGAGGCGCACTTTTTTAAAGCGGAAAGGCCCACCTGATGCTGTAAGATAAATTGACCGTCATAACGAGTAACATTTCAATAATGATCTTCAAATCATAAAGTGGGCTGCGAGTCGCTTCAGTATTTGGATCGAGTTATATTTAAAACGTAAACTCACTTGAGGAGTGTTAATTCTCAGTCATCAGTGAGTTGGTGGATTGGGCCATAATCCCTATCACTAGTGTTTGTGGTTTTTAATTAACAGCAATACCTGATATATTCAAAATACTTATGTACATTCTTTTCGCACTTTGCATTTGGTAGAAATAATTTCAGAGACAATGTTAGCAGTTTTAAATGACCAAAAATTACCAAAAGATGTGTGCAGGGTAGCATTAGGCGACTCAAAGGATACCCAACTTTGCTTTCTAACACCCAGCCAATCAGCTGATCATGCGTCTGGACACTAGCAGCGAGATTTAGCGCGTTGTATTGCTTTTTGCGTAAGGGACTCTTATTTTTCTGCATTGCGCTGAAATTCTTCTCTCGAAATTTGATCTTTTATAATATTACAAAGGATTCTTGTATTTTACATCTGCTTTTCACTTTGTTATGAATGGTACTTTTTCCTCGACTTTGTGATAATGGGCATATTTGCGTTTGTGCCTGTAAACAAGGGGGATGCTATGACATCTTGAAAACTTACTCGCTAATGGCGTTATTTTTATTCATTGTTGTGGGTTTTTAATTCTTAACTTATCTGCCTGAGAGCTTGAGTGAGTTTTAGCTGTCATATGGCGTTGCTATACACTTCCAAATTAAGGACGGTGGGCGTCATAGCATATTCTTACATGAAACCAGTTATTCCACTAATTCTAATCCTGCTGATTCTTCTGCACATTCTTTTCACGCAGCCTACAAAGAAAGGCAGTTTGCCTAATCCGAGTTCCACTTCATTTTAGACTTCTTAGCCCAACATGAAGGCGGCCACATCGGCAACAAAGTACTTCCAAAAAACGGTGTCTGGTACAAAAAAGTACGTTGTGGCCCCAGACTTTCACCAAAAAATGCTCCAACTAAAACAGTCTACTCCCTCATCCACTTCGGACATCGAAATGCCTTCAAGATTCGCTCTCCGCCGACACGAATACTATCTTACCCTCCCTACCTTAACTCTTCCTGAACCACTAGATCTAGCTGCCACGGATTGTCTACGAGAATACAGCCTCTTCTCCATCAAGCATCTTAGCCAACTGTCTAGTCGTTTGGTTAACTACCTCCACGATAGGGAACTCCTTTTTGAGGTTTGGTCACTTTCCTCACTTTGAATTTTTCTTCATTAGGAAGAAATAATTGAGAGGATGAAGCGATCTTGTAAAGAGCGTACTCAAAATGATGAAGGTAATTCAGGAAAGGCGGATGCAGGAATTGACTTCGCTCTCCAGTATCACACCGGAACTCCGTTTGTTGGCGCCGAACGTAGTGAACGAGAGGTCAGGAGGGCTCATCTTTCCGCTTGGAAGTCTTTGGAGTAATTTCGCTTATTCGCTTACTGGTTTTCTTAGGTATACGGAGAAAAATAGCTTGCTCTATTTGGTTGGACGTCTGGCGCCAAACTTTGCTGTCGCCTGCCGAATTCTCTATGAGCTCCGTAAACGATGTCCCCTCTTTGTACCTTACACATTTTTTGACTTCGCGTCGGGACTAGGAACGTACACTTGGTGAGATTTGTTGGTTAACCGATCAATCACAGTGCGTTTGTAACGCTAACGCTTTCTTTCACATTCAGGGCGGTTAATACCGTGTGGCCAGCGGGTTGCGTTCGTGAGCATCATCTAGTGGAGGCATCAGGACCAATGATGGGGCTCTCTGAGTTCCTTCTAACTAAAAGAGGGCAAGGTGTCACACCAAATACCACTGTCTTTCCTGGTGTGCGGCATCGCCGATTTATGCCCTCTTCTGCAGTAAGACGGCGATCTTTACCTTCTTTCCTATTAATTTGTGCCTCAGTTCTGGAACGTGTTTACTTTTAACCAGAACATTCCCATGTTTATGCCGTCTCTAAAGAATTCATTCCTTTGTCACATTGATTCTCTGCTCACTTTGCCGTGACATTGTGGGGTTTTATTTGAATATTCAGGTGACATTGCATTCGATTCCCCCTTTAACTAGGCTCATTGGCTGCGATTAATGTTTTTTTTTACCATCCAGAAGGACTAGCAGTCGTTATTCCCTCTATGTATTTTTAGGCAAATGCTCCAGCTATTGACCGATATCAGTAGCAAATATGTTAGCTTTAATGTCTTGGTAAAGCAAGGTTATGCGTTCCCTAAATTAGTTACAATAATTCAAATACTAGTTTTTCTTAAAAAATTCCTATTTCACGGCGCCTAATTGAGTCGACGAGCTACTTCTTCTCATTTTTACTGGCTTATTTGTAAACTGGACCGAAAACCAAGTAACAGCTTCATGTTATGTCATATTACGTCGGTGTTTGCACCGAGTGTGCAAAATTCACCCTCGTCGGCACTTATGCCCATTGTGGGGACAAAGTTCCCTTCCGCAGTCATCATTAATGCGTGTGTCGAAGTGGTGGATGCAGAGCACTGCGGACTCGTAGTCAGCTGCGGTCCTACGAGGAACTAAAAGAGACTTTGAAACAGAAACCAAGTGCAACGATTGTTTGTAACAAACCCTAGAAGTTGACTATTCCATGGCACCACAACAACCCACCAGTTAAATCGTTTCCCTAAACACATCGCAACCTTTTGTTCGTAGGTTTCAGGTGTTAATGCCTTTCAACTTGTATCTTGATCCCTAACTAGAAGTATTTCATTTTTACTAGGTGACCGGTGATTTGGTAATGTCGGGCTATGCTCTGCTAGAAATGGCTGGGGAGCACGATCGTCGAAGGATTGTGGAGAATCTCTGGTCTCGTACTACCGGTTTCCTCGTTCTCATCGAAGAGGGTACCAAGGGGGGTCATACTGCTCTGCTTGAGGCTCGAGATTGGTTGGTATGCTAGTCCTTTCTCTCCCTTCCGATTCTATAGTTTCCTATTAGAACTAGGTGGTATTTATCTTCTCACGTATGCGAGAATTGTCTAGCTACCGGCACACGGACGCACTTGTCGCCTACTGATATGAGCAGCACTGTCATCTCTGTCTCTTTTTGTGTAAAATTAGAGGTCCCGGTTTGATTTGAATACATGTAGGGTATGCGGGAACTTTCCTCGTGATCTTTTGTGTCTATGTGAATTTTAACGTTAAGTGAATTAAAAATTACGAGGCTTTCGTGCAGGCATACGAATATCTGTATAAGTGTGGCGTTGGTTTTGTTGTGTAGTACTTGAGTTACTCATGGAGGCGACAGAAGACGCGTAAATTTAAGAAGTGCTGCAGAATTAGCAGCACGGGTGCCACTACCAGGGGGTGTCGATTTTGTGGAAAGATTAAAGAGGCTCCTTTGGCTTTATAATGGCTCGGTTGAAAGCTTGAATTTAAAGCATTTACCAGTCGGTGAATTTGTTTTTTTTTTTAGCCTTGTGATGAAGATTCAGTTATGTAGGGCAGGAGATATTGCCTATTCCTTATTCCCCTCCCTTCATTTCACTTGATTTGAAAGACTACTGGAGACCGAATCGCACCGTCTCCATCTTTGGGTAGAATAGGTTTCAATAATTCGTCCCCTTTTTCTCTTCCAGATTCAAAACGGTGGTGCGGATATGCACATTTTCGCTCCAGTGAGTTATTATTTCTTTCCTCTTCAAAGTATTGACTGCCAAGAAAACCTTTTTCTCTCCCATATTTTCCTTTCTGTCCAGTGTCCGCACAAATTTGCCTGTAGCAGAGCTGGTATGGGTTGTAAATCCAGCGTAAAGTACTACCAGTTCGGCCTGACTCGAGTAAGTAACTATAACTGCTGGTTCTATTTCTTTCCTCAACAATGTGTGTGCCAGCCTTTACTTTTCTCGCATCTTATGTGTGACCTGAGGTGTACTGTTGCCACTACCGTTTCATATCGGATCACTTTAAAGGTAATTCGACTTTTCTTCGGCACTGGCACGATGGATGCTAATAAGAAGGCTTCGGGTTCATTCATTGTGCTCCACCCTCTCCATTGGTAATTTGAGATAATCATGAGAGCTTCTAGTTTCTCTTGAAGCTTCGTTTAACAATTTCTCTCCGACGAATTTCATCTTGAGAATTGATCTTAGGGACCTCAAAAGCCAATCACCAACATTGACTTCCATGTCGATAGCTCCATCTTTTTGGCATGACAAAGACTCACGTGTCGTAACCAATGGTCGGACGTTTGCGGATGCACGGAGCAAATTTGGAGTTGTTTTGAATTGTCGGGCTTATTTCTTCATTCCTCTTGTTTGTAGCTGTTGCTCAATGGACGTCCTATTACAATCGTTTTCGATGTTTTTAGTCCGCTTATAAATGACCCTACAAGAGAGGACTTTACTTGTCGTGGAGATGACATCTTGCGTTTCTGGTGTGCGCACCCACTCTCATCATCTTACATACAACAGGAAGTGATAAATTATGCATTAAGACGTAAGGCTAACCGGTTCGTCGGACTTGGCTGGTCACATGATACTCCAACGCAAATCTTAACATGCCTATGCGAAGGGAGACGTCTCAGAAATTTAATGCTTAATAAATGAATTCATGGTGCAAAAGTGTTTATGGCTTTAGCCAAATCATTATTCGGTCACTATTCACTTGACTCACAGCCTAGCTAAGGATGGGAGAAATGTTGACTCCTCTGGGGTGCAGAATCTTACTCCATTTTAACCTTAAATTCATTCAAACCATCGATGGGTTTTTCTAAATTTTTGTCCACCCAGGATGCCACCTGCCCATCAGAAGAAGCCTTCAGCTACTTGATTGTGAGTCGCGGTGACTGGAGGCGATTCACGAAGAAAGGGACGCCGATGAAAGAGACGGAGATGTCCACCCACCCTCGAATCGTGTCTCCTACTCCTGTGGGTGGGGCCGCAGCGATCGATGTGGACTTATGTCTGCCGGATGGCAACTGTGAACGTGTTATTTTTTCCAAATCGGGCACACAACGGTAGGATTTCATGATTACGAAAGTGAAGACGCGCCTTTTCGCTCATCCTAAATGGAAAGTTGTTTGTACGAAGTCTTCCCATCCATCCACACCATCTCGGAAGTTTAAAATCGTCTATGAATTCAGACTAGATACTTCCCAAATAACAGTCAAGTGTCAACTGTAAAGTATGGCTGGGTACAGAGTATCTCGAGATCAGACAAAAAACTCCTTCCTATTATTGCCTTTTTAGAACACTATACTTCTTCCTCAGAAACGCGCGAGCTGGAGACATAGCCCCTTGCGAACGACTATGTGACAGTGAAACGGAAGCAAAGCCCCATGAGCAGCCTGATAATTCAGAGTCTTAGTACTTTTGTGCAAATAAATCCTTATTCTGATATGAGTTATCTCAAATTATGCAAAAAACGTAGGAGTGTGCATCCATGGGAATAGAACAAAAGGAGGAAAGTACATAAGTCGGTCCGTCAGTGCTCAGAGAGGAGACTTAGTGCCTCTTTCAGATAGTTGATAGCTGAGTCTCGGTCTTTGTACTGCAAACAGCTAATAGCGAACTTAGCAGCTTTGGTGGCCTTCTCACAGGTATCGACAGACAACTCCCCGGATTTGTCCCCTCCATGTGACCCAGATCCATGTTCAGCGGGTTCTGCTGGCGCAGGATCTTGTTTGGACTTGCTCGTGGTGGGCGGTAATGGATCTTGGTGTAATCCCGCGATATCTAGGTGAACGAATAATTTCTGAGAAAAGTCTTGGGCATACTGGGGGTCACAGAGGCATCGCCTTCCGTGAGAGGCCCTGCAACTGGTTTTACATTGCGCCTCTTGCAGTCAATCAGATAGAGAACCTTGTATTTTGCATACTTTCGAGCGTTCGTCAACTATGCTTGGATATGAAAAAGAGAATGAATAGATTACCTCAGCATTAGTCTCTCCATTTAAGGTAAGGACTTCGAGAAGAGCAGCAGCGGTAAGGAAACTGTTCAATGTAGGACTAAAACCACAATACTGGTAAAGTAGTGGATCACTCACGACCCAAAATCTCCGGCTTCGTCCTTTTTAAAGGCGACAGTAAAATGATCCAAGGCTTGTCGCTCAACATACTCCAGCCCAACTTTCTCCTCTGTATAAAGCGGATCCCCAGGATTTGCTTTTTTAGCTTCAGAGAGATAATCCAGTAGCTTGGTTATAAAGTCGCGAGATTCCTTGCATTTAAATTCAGGTCTAAGGCCCATGCTCGCAACATATAGGCGACCTAACGAATATCGACGAAATGCAAAATTACAATAATATGTAATAACTGGGTCTGACTCCTCATTGTCCTGCGCAAGTTTACATATTCTTCCGAATTTTTTCAATACTTCCGGTGGTTTAGCAAGAGCCATTCGTCGTACACATGCAGGCCTGCAAGTGTGTGTGGGCTGGAATCATCATTTCCATTACTAAAGGATCGGGAGATCACAATTCGCAGGGCATCTTTAAAAAACGGCCGAAACTTACAAATATTTTTGGGAGTAGTAGCAAAATCATTTACTTAAAAGCCATTTTAAATCCCTTTGATTTTTTATAGGACAAGGTTGGTGGATAATAGCCTCCACATTTGGGATCCAGGCGTTTACTCACCATCACATGAGCAAAATTCTCCCCTCAGTCCTCTAACAAGCCAATAAAAACAGTTGGGAGTTTATAGTAAGGTGCATATCTGTTTATCTACCTCCACGTGTAAGGTGATAGTACGAGAAGCAATTTATTTGTCGGAATCGGCTACCAACTTACATTTCTTCCAACTGCACCTAAACAACGCAGCCTCAAACCTACTGCACACCTTCTAGCCAGTCAATGATACAGTCGCCTACATCTACCATTAATACTTCATGACCTTTGACCGCTGTTTACAGCTATATTTTTTCTGCATATTCATGATTTCCAAATCCTTGGTAGCGTAATCAAAATCTCCGCTCCTGGCAAAGGCACCTCTTGCCTCCCAATATGGGGGTTGGCGAAAGCAAAGCTAAGAAGGTTTGCAGTCAGTACACAGCGTATAACCACAACCTTTTAAATAGATGCCTGAAATGATCGACTGCGGTGTTGGCTGTCAACAGTTTCCCTCCAACCGTACATTCGTTTTCAAACTGCTCAAAAGCGTTGTAAGCAAACGATGGCCAAAGTTTGCCGTCGACGACTTGTAGCATTGAGTTTCTAGGTTCTTGTTAGGCACCTGTCAAGAGGAGCAGTTCGACGAAGGATCAGTGGATAAATGTGTCAACGAGGTCGATTCGGCCATGACAAATTGAACGAGATCAAAGAGCTTGCTTCCCGCATCGTTTAGCTCCAAACACTAACGCGCGGTTGAGTCAGCTCGGCGCAGTGGAGAATGAAGTGACCATGATAGTTAAATCTGGTCGTCAACGCAGTTATCAGAACGATGGTGGGCCGAGAGGACACTTCCTAGCGTTCAGAGTTACTGCGTATTTGATACGGGTTTGAAGAATTTTACCTGGATCACAGCAATTTCAATGAAGCCGGGCCCTGGGGAGGTCAACCCCAAAGAGACTTGCGCTCCCGTTCATGTTCTTCCAATCGGTTAATGCCATGCACAAATGGACTTTAGCCGTCCCAACAGTCGTTAGAATGGGGGGGAATGAGATCGACCCGCGTCTCCAGCACCCAATCGGTGGGTGCGCGCCTACGCGCCGTGCCCTTGGCCCACTCATACGGGTTGGCGACAAAGACACCTGTGTTAAGGTCTTGACCCCATTTAACACCCAGAGTGAGAACGCGACAGGAATCACACTCACCTACGTAAAAACCGACCTAAGAGATGAAAACGGCAGACTGGTTAACCCACTCTTCTGTATCGCACCAAAACACGTGAAGGTGAATTTATCCTGCCATTAGTCCTATCGACGGAGTACCTCGACCACAGTGAGGTACGACGGGAACACGCGCACCACTAAGACATCTACCTCGACGTAAATGTTCTGTGGACAGCCATCAGTTCGGATCCCCGCCGGTCCAATATACCAACAGTTGTTCTTGTGAACATCCACTTATCTCGTTGATCAACGAACAAGGGGGAAATTTCTCTCATGCAAACGGTGAGTACAGACACCGAAGAACATTCGCATTCTTCCTGGACAGCACCGATACGTATATAAGCCTGGCATAGTGCTACGTCAGAAACCAAATCCAATTCTCACCTTACAGTGTTAATCTGACTGGATCACCTTCCGCGTCCCCAAAAGATGATGACCCGAATTGCCACCCGAGCTGAGACAAGGACACCCGTTGGTATGATTGTGTGTTTCTGTTTACGCAATAATTGTTTTTTTCCTCACTGAAACATACATTCATACACTCACGTACGGAAAGAATGGAGACGGGTAAATGCAAGGCGTGTGTATGTGTGTGTATATAATGATTCGTTGAAGAGAGGTGTGATGTTACAGCCACACACTGCTAGAGGGGACAAGGGGTGGAGGCTAGCTATTGAAACACCGAGAAAGGGATGATACAAAAATTGGCAGAACGAAAGACAACGCGCCTCAGGCGCAGAGATGGGGCAAGGAAAGACACGGATTGATACATATAGATACTTGAACTTTTGTGTTTGTGATTCTTCACTACACTTTGTTGTTGTTGTTGTTATTGTTGAATACGCAAAATTGGGCGAACAGAAATACCTCTAGACGCGTGACTGTTCCAATGTGTGCAGATACGGAAATAATATTAATCCAATCGGGCCGACATGATATCGTTTGATTGATTGACAGACTGATTGATTGAGTGATAAAAACAGATAGCAATCGCAATTGCGATTCACTGGTACATTGATTGAGTGACTAGGAACCGGCAGATAGATGATGAAAGTGATTGTCGTCTGCAGGACCAAGATTCATAAGAACTCGGTAGATGCGCCCTCGTAAAGGATGGAGTGCAGCAAACTGATGTTCGGTGTTGGGGAAAGACAGAGGTAGGAATCAGCTTGCATCCAGTCCTGCGAAACATTTTTGTAGGAAAAAAAAACAACCATTACGAAAGTGAAGAGGCTCGTGCATGTAAAAAGATGAAGTTGTTTATGGCAGGTCTTATTTGCGGTGAAGAATAACCAAAATGCAGTAACCATGTTGCAGGTAATTACGCCTGTTCAACTGCGATTTTGAACATTCTTTGGAAGTCGACTGTGGCGGGCTTTCTGGAAGCGCCAGAAAGGGACGAAAAAAGTGAACCAACTAATCGCAAATACAATCTAACAACTTCAGACTAGAGTAGGGGGTCCAACAAAAACACAAAAACCTTTCCTAACGCCGATTTGGCCTTGACTTGTGAATATACTACAATAAAATTTGCAGCGCACAGAGGACACGGATTCGCAGTGCCCAGTCAGTCTCAACTAACCGCATAGATGCAACAGACTTGATATGACTGCCTTGCGTTCTTGAAGAAAAGGAATTCAATGCACTACTGAAAAGGCCTGCAGTGCAACAACCCCAACACGCTGTCCAGATGACTATTCCAAGGATCCTTCACCAAAGTGAACCGTAATATAACCAAATGCTTTTGCGACAAAATGAGTTAAATGACAGGATAAAAGCGACAATAGCTTTTGCACGACGTGGGTCAGTTAAATGGGTATTATCAGGGAGACAAAAAGGCTAGTGGGGCTTTTAGAGCAGCTCTTGCTCTATCCTTATCTCAAGAGGCATCAACTGAACATAGCGGACGTGATTTGAGTTTATTTGCTTTAGGAATCAAGTTGAATTTGTTTTCAAGGCTGCAAAAGCCTCGTGTCAAACTTGCAATGTAACAATCTGAGAAGGTACGACAGCAGAACCCACCATCTAGAAATGGTTTAAGCGTGACTGTAGCGGTGCATCGAGCACGGAATAACCCTCCATTCTTGATCATTACAATTGATGGGGCAGTGAGGCAGTAAGCCTTATAAACCTCACTCACTTCGCCTTATAAAAACGCATTGTGAATACCAGATTGCCTACTGACCGATTTGTGATGAGAAACAGCCTTTGTGTTATCCTCAAACGATTCACTCACGCACCACTTCATCACAAAAAGATTATGTTTTGTGCATTGCCGACGCAAATGTTCACTTATTGAAGGCCAAACAACAGCAGTCGCGGATGAGATTCATCCACCTACTCGATGCGATACAACTAGGAAGTGTTCAAGAGGGGCTTTCCTTTTATTCTTCCGAACCAGTCAGGATTGTGGAGAACTGATGGAAAGAGAACCACTTTTCCTTAGCATTCAGCAAGTACACGGAAAATGCAGGGTAGATAATTGTGAAATGAAAGTGGAACTGGAACCAAGATAAGAGGAGTATTGCTGTCTTGGGAGGCAAAACGTGGAATTCGCAGTTGAATTGAGTCTCGTTGAAAGGGAACTTTGTGCTGCATGATAGCGATTATTCCAAAAAGCAGTTATTACCAGTTGTATTGCAGAAAAAGGCCATAAACATATTTGATTACCTTAAATAACCCTACCGATTATTACAAGCCACAGCAAGTTGGTATGTTCAGGCAGTTGTAAGTACGCATGCGTATACAGAAAGCAAAACAAACTTTTTTAGGAAAATGGACTCTGGAATACAAAAAAGGGCCCGACTGGTAGACTGAATGTGATATACCTGAATAGATATAAAGGTGAAACACCTCGAAACGACATGTGGTTGAAGATGGAGGATAATGCCAAGTAAACGCAATCCATATACCTAAAACAACACCGAATAAACGCCTCGAGGCATAATCTTATTCCAAGGAATTACAAAGACGAACATCGTGAATTGTTAGCTAGTCTGGGTCGCATATTCATTACCCCCAAATTCTACCACTATAGATTGGCGTCACATACACGCAACACATGACCGTTACCACTTTGTAATTACTACCGGCTGCACCACACCATGTCACAGACCGATTTTCTGAGGAGGCTCTCAGCCTGATGCAGCAGTCGAATTGGCGTCACATTAGGGCGATGAAACATTTGGGCCGTGGTGGTCAATTCACTTTTTGAAGCAAAGGTATTAAGAACTTCACCTTAAACTGTCCTAAGCGTCGTTTTCAAAGAACAAGACTATATCCACCGATTGTAATTAGGGTTCCGGTGTACAAGCACATGAAATGCAAGAGAAGACCAAAAGGATATATCAGACTTACTTCTTCAGTGAACACCTCGCAAAAGTCGGCGGTGGAGCCAGTGGAGCAGTCGGTAGTTAGTGCAGTTTTTGCAGCGACGGCACCGGCAGCGGTAGACGAGACCGTGGTGGTGGTTGAGTGAGAGGGTGCGTGAGCAGCTAGATGCTTGCGGAAGTACGTCAGCGATACGTACAGACGCTGACAGTAGGGACAAGTGAACTGCGGCATGCGGCCTGCTTCTGCTGTCGTCACAGTGGTGGTGTTAGGAGTACCCACTACGTCCTCGCCACCGTCCTCTCCTCCTACCTCTTTCTCACTCTCATCACCTCTTGCGCCTTCACCTTCACCAACCAGAGAGAAAAGAATGAAAGGTAGTCAAAAGTACAGTTACTTTCTAGAGTAACGCCAATACGTGTTGGCGGTTACATTACTTTGGAAGGTGGAAAGACGCCTCAATTCAAAAGTTCTAGATCGAAACAAAGAGGCGTTCAAGTAAAAATTGGATTTCTGTTTCCTACGGGTTTCAACAGGTGTATGACGCTCTGATGGTAGTAACGAATGAAAGCTATTACTACTGTGGTACGGTGCCAGTGGGACATCGAGTTGATTCGTGTCAATTTCCTCAAGACGACCGATCCGCAATCAATGGCGGCTCGTTACCAATCTACAGCACCGGCAGTCCTTCTGCGAACATCTATCCAACGCACCAAATCCCTCCCTGATGTCACGAAACGCAAAGCACAAACGGTCAAGAAAGTTTGTAAAGCAGACCGTTCTAAGGTGGTCTGACTACGCTGTCAAGCGCTCCCATGCCAAAGACACCTTTGAGGTATTATTTGAACGTGTATGTACACAATTATTTCTTTACTTCTGTCAACTCAAAGGTCCCAGCTCCACCCAATCACCTTTACATTTTGATACTCTTTCCACGCCTTCCCACCAATTAAAATGCATCGGATTTTAGAATTGTGACTTCGTAGTACATTTGTTGAAGGCTATAATGAGGTAGGTGAAATAAAAAGAAGTCCGTTCAACTCTTTTTGGGACTACTTTTGTGTTTTTGAAGCAACTGGGCCCAAAAAGAGACACCTTAGTGGCACATCCAGAGCTCGAGTTCCTGAAAGCTGATGAAAATCGACATCTGGTGAGATTTTGAAGGGACTCTACTTTAAAATCCCTTTCTTACAAAATAAAAGCAACTGGTAAGAAAGCAACAGCTTCAAATTTCCCAGGTAGCCTTTACAGCTCCCAGGTGTCGATTACTGTGGCAGTGCATAACACATGCCTATTTAGGACATTACCTCATTTTATGACTGTTAGCATCATTGAAACGGTGTGGCTACCTGATTTGTTCCCACCAGTGAATCATCGCTGTGGCTTGATGACTTACTCCATCCCCATTTGTAACAAGCACAGTTGAGTCAAATGTGTAGTGAAAGGAGTTGATTAAAAACGAAAAAGGCTCAATAAAGATAGTTCATACGAGAGAATCAAAAGGTTGCTTGAATATTGCTTTGTATAATTTTATGAAAGCAAAATAATAGAAGGCTAGTTCACGTGTTTTTCTCCATAAGTAAGGCAACTGCAGGCTTAAAGTTGATGTCATTACAACGTGTACACCTTTTAAAACGAGGCACAAGCTTGTAGCGATTTCCAATGCCAAAGGTAACAATCGCATGGGTAAACATCAGTGGAGAAGTGTGAAAGATGAGAGTGAAATAATGCCCTTTTTCCCATTCCATGATATGCTATGAGGCCTTCTCACAGATCGGTTCTGCTGTGTGGTTTGGGGTACGGGAATCTTGTATTATCTTGTAAGAATGGGGCTTTTCAATGGCTGTTTCGCAGCCATGAATGATGTTTGGGTTCCAGAGAGAAATGCATAGTAAACAAATCCGTCTGAAGTCCACCACGCACCCACACAAACGGAGAAAGTAGTGTACTGCGTAAGAGGGGATGTATGCCCTAGCAAAGTGGCGCAATTGATGGACCGTTTGGGGACGCTCAACAGCATGTTCATCCGTTCAATGAACGGCGGAATAAGAATGATTTTCCAGCAGTGATGCGTCCACCTTTAATTAATTCATCAGCAGAAGCACTGCTGGAACCACATTTAGGCAGTGAGTTCTGCAAAACTCTATGCTACATAGTCCCTGCGATTGCGGAATCGGGACATGCTTGAATTATATCACACAGCCAACATCTCATGAAGGTTAAAAATGACACTAATAGCACAGGTTCGGATTTTATAAGCCTCCTGCGAGATACAAGTCATTGTGACAAGCCGAACAAACAGTACGACCTTTTGTTAGACTGTTTGGCGTAACCTTTCAAACCGTCATCCGACGTCTATCACAAAGGCTCTGCTTGGAATGGAGAGTGGGTTAAATTAATCCACGATTAGATCGTTATCCGTTTTACGACTATGCCAATTACCAATAAGGGTTATCAGATAAACACTTACATACAAATGACAGTACCAGTAGCGTTGTGCGAATTATGAATGGATTTGAATTTCTAAACAACTTCGTGGTGACACCAGGTGGTACCTCTAAATAAAAATATATTACGAGTGCAGAAACACATTTTAAAAATAAATTCAAGACTGCGTGGGACTAAGAAGAAGTGAATCACAAATTGAAACAATTCGATAAAGAGTATTGTCACAGTGGAGCAAAAAAAACAGCTGAATGGGGAAAAATGACACTTCAACTGTGAATCTAAATTTTTGCTGATTTTAAAAGGGGACATTGATGAGATTAAGCATGCCTTCCACATCCGAGGTAAAAAAAACGGAGGAACGAGGAAATTCGCAGAATCATACAAGACTGCAGCAATCATGACTGGCGTCTTGAGGTAACAGGCATGCCTGACGTAAATTTGGGGAAGTTTGATCTGATCATAAATCGGAGCAAAAAAACGACAGAGGAATACGACAGTGGGAACTGTCACAATGGAACAGCAAACATTGGTTTACTGAAAAAAACAAGACCCTGATCTAGAATTCTTTCAAGGGATCTATTCATACAGTTAAAAAGTATGCACAAGTCGGCTCTCATAACACTAAAAACGGGATAGCGATAGACCTGGTTAGAACAATTCAAGTACCATTAATTACAACAGCAACTGATAAAAGGGTCTCAGAGGTGGTTCAAGGAACCATACATAAACGAAAACAGCTAGTTCTGCTAGCATCAGAGAAGGAATATAGAAAGAGGGTCGAGCGGCGACATCTGAAGCAACTGACTGTATAGGACCGACTAAATGAATCCCGTTTCAATAAAGTAAACGAAAGGAGTCAGTAAAAACGCCTTCTTGTAAATGGACAACAAATATACACATAAAGATGAGCTTTTATTCACTTCCCTAATATATAATACAAGCCAAAATTTCGGTTGAGTTCGTCCTCATAAGGGAAAGGAAATGAAGCGATTGGAAATTCATTTTTTGAAAGATAGAAGACGCGAGTATATAGACAATTGTAGCATTCTATATTCCTCTACAAATCATTCCAACCCAGTATGTCGGAAAATACACCAAGTTCCCCATATACTGATATGTGTACCGTAACGATGGGAAACCAACGAAACGGTTAAGTACTCTGGTTTGGCTAGCAACTGTCACGCAAGAAAGCATTTTTGTGCTTCTCCAATGCAAAATAAAACCCGTCAACTTACAAAAGCAATAAAATGTCAAGGGAATCGCTGAATCTCCTTGTGGCACCATGAAAAAATAAGCCTGATAACTACAAAATATACCACACCAATTCCTTCGAATAGGAAGGAATCAAGAAAACGAGGAACACTCACCATGATCGAGAGAAATTAGAGTTCCACATGCTCCGCAGGTTGCAAACCCCTTCTTCGACTTGCAAATAAGCCTGGAACCGCATAATTTGCATACGCAGTTCAAATGCTTTCTAATGTGGTCATTAAGTGAGTTATTGGAAGAGTAAGTCTTGGAACAGAATTTGCAAGGGTACCGCGGGCCGCCACCACCGTTGGAAGGCGACCGGTTCTCGTCATCGATGGAATGTTTCCGCCTAATGTGCCGATTCAGGTAGGGCAGAAGTGCAAATGTCTGACGACAGTAGGGGCACACGAAAGATCCCTTGCAGGCAGTCATGTGGCCGTCGATTTCCTTCGGAGAGAAGCACTGCATGCATGTCTTGCAGACTGCGAAAAAAGACTCCCCATGCTCAGTGCCCACATGGTGCAAAAAGTGTGACCTTGAGGCCAAAACGGATGAGCAGAGGGGGCAGGTGAATGTTTCAGTGGAAAGAACTTTTGGTCTTGATTGCTCCATCGTTACGGCAGATTCATCGCGTATATTCGCCATAAGTGGTTGAATGAAAGACAGTACGGTGAAATGTCTGGAGTTTGATAAAAAATATGTCAGACCCGAGAAATACCTTAATGCTTAACGAGGTATGCCCTCCTAACGACCCAGAACGATTCAGACCACAAGGCCTAGGAAATGACAACGACGACCAAAATCAACAAAACTTCCCACCTCAGTTTAAGCGAAAACACCAACTAGGCGCAGCTTAAGTACTATAAAAATACGTTGAACAGCTAAATTGAGAAGGTGTGGCGCGAAACCCAGGGACATTAACAGTTAAAAAACAGAAAGAAAGATAAAAGCACGCAATTTACACGCTAAAAGTGTCAAATATTAGGACAAACCCCTCATTTGTCCCTCTAAAAATGCAGAACAAAGGACGAAACCCCGATAAACAAATAGGCTCCCCGAAGATCTAATAGACTTAAACAAATTAGCCCATGACATAAATTATTAACATGTACATGGACCTAATCAAATCAGCTAGCCGACGAATCTACCAAATACAACATAAAAAATCTTTAGACAATGCAATCATAAGACTGCCAGAAAAATAGTGAATGACTTATTAAAGTGTTTAATTGTGCTTCTCCAAAAAATGAGACCTGACCAAAAGACCTTGTTTCAAAAGACGCATTCTTGCGCTACTTTTCTTAACCTAAAAAATTAATTTTTTGAAAAGATTTAGCAGTTTGCATTTTGGACATGCTAAAAAACCATGCGTCATCAAGTCGCACTCACAAATAACTGTTTTACTACTTTGTCTAAGCGGATAGTGCAGTGTAGAAAATCGCACTAAGTTCGTGAATTGCAAAGGCAAGAAATCCGTTTTTATCTTCTAGCTCCCATATTCCAGAGTGATTATTTGGCCCCGAGGACTCGGGTAACCATTACGCTGGACATACAGTTTGTCACGCCAGTAAGGAATTGCAGAAAATGTTCCACCACTGTAAATAATTGCTTTTGCAACAGTATTTGCGTAAAATAAAAACTCTGCTAGCTCTTGCCTACCAAATAAGTTCTTCACAACCTATAAGCTGGTGCAATTCAAGAGCGTGCAGCCTTGTAATATCATGCATGCTTAACTGTGCGCTTCTCCTCCACTATTGGCGTTTTTGTGTAACCTATGTAGCGCTTTCTATATTAGCCACAAACTATGCCTAAGCAGCCCTGCTGTTGGTTTTACCTAGAAATTTGTTTAAAGCGCAGGTAGGCGATATATTGTGTGACTGTTCTTGCTGCATTCAAATGAATAAATAAACAGTAAATCTATAATATTAAAGTTTTGTTAATTTTTTTGATTTGATAGTAAAATAGATGTTATTTAGACTACATATGTTTAAATATTCCATTGATTACGGTTATGTCCTTGAAGCAGTAACGGATGGATGTTTCCACACTTTTGTTAACTTTTATGGTCCTGGCCGTGTTGGATTCATTTGTATGTATGATTTTGTGCAATATTGTTTATAAAAACATTTTTAGTCTTTTTGTTTGTGAGTCAAGGGGTGTCGCACGCGCTTTAATTTTTAAGCATTTCTTTTTTTGCATTTAACCACCAATACCATTGCGTTCCTTGCAGTATATGTTTTTGAAATGCCATTTTAGCATTACACTAGACATCACTTCACTTTTTAGTGCAATTGGCTATTCACTTTACAATGATTAATTGCGATCCTCATTGCGATGACAATTTGGTGAGTTTCTCCCTTATCTGATCCAGGTATTTGGTTAATTTTGTAGAAAATAGTAGGGTATCGGCGAAACTGGTTTAAAACTTTTACTATTTGGATTGCTACTGCGTTTTCTGGTTTTACACTTACACTTTTGTTCTACTGGCGTCGAGACTATTGGATTGCACTTACTCACACCAAAGTGAAAGCCTCACAAGCTGAAGTTGTTATTTTATGCGTATGATCTGGTCACTTATAATAATTTTTTTGTTTAGAATGCTTCATTAGGCATTGACATCAGTCATGTGTACGTACAATGCCTTACGACAAACCGGTAAGTTGACTCTAACACAGTATAACTTTTAAGCATACACTTGTATAAATTTTCAGAAGAGAAACGTGCCTCTGAGACAAGTCCTCTTTGCTCTGTGAAATACCACAAATGGGTTAAGTTCTTTTTTTATCGCAATTTGAAGTACATATGGTGCAACGATAAGGGGACATTTTTGCCAATGAAGTGAGTAATAAATATTATTTTATGGGTTATATTAGAGGACTGGACAGGCAAAACACTTTGGAAACTTTACACACCAAGCCTCTCGCAAAGGATCGCGTGGATTATCTGCTAGCACTTTATGGCTCAAACCAAATTAACATTCCATTAACACCCATTTTCGTAAAGCTTTTTCGTGAGGTATCTTATCATTATTGCCGCATTTTTAGATCCTATCTCCATTTTATATATTCCAAGTATTTAGCGTTCTTTTGTGGATGAGCTCTGAATACTACTTCTATGCCTCGGTTATTCTTCTATTCTCAGCGATCTCTGTGATAATGTCTACGTATTCCTGTCGCAAGGTATATGACAATCTGTCCTGGTTTATTTTTCCAGAATGAGCGTCAACTCCGTGATAAAGTAAAAATGGCCGAGACCGTACTTGTCTTACGTGATTTTGAAAGTAAGAAGTAGCGTTTATAATGGTTATTTTGTAGAAAGACCCAGAAAAATTCCATCAACGAATCTTGTGCCAGGAGATGTTGTATGTATTCCTCCTTATGGTTGCGAATTAGTGGCAGACATGCTCCTAATCAGTGGGTCTTGTGCTGTCAATGAAGCTAGTTTGAATGGTGCGTTTAAGGTGTATTTTTTAAAACCAATTTCCTAAAAAATGATACCGAAAAATGCCGTTTTTTTCTAAGAAAACGATAAATTACCTTATTGTCTTCTGGACATATATTGGCAAGATGGAAGCACATATCGTGAAGAAAGTGAAGAGCTTGTATATTTAAATACAAAATGAATCAAAATACTACCACCTTCTCTTTTCTTTTAAGCGTTATCCTCTACGCCTTCCTTTTATTCCGTCTTGTCCCCTCGCCTTCTGTTGTACCAAGTACGTCTAGAAAGAAAATACTAGCGCTGGCTGTAGATCTGAGAGGGGACAATTCACTTGAGAGGTAGCATCGAAGACCTGCGGATAGTCTAAGTAGGCTTTCCTTTGAGCTCAAGTGGTGTTTATTCCAGGATATCGTCTCAAAGCTTTATTAGTAGGCCCTTAAATTTTTAAAATTTTAGAGCCGATTTGTTCCTTTCATAGCATATTAATCTGGCAACCACTCAAAAAAACTTACAATTTTTCCCTATTAAAAGTGTGTTCAGTTGGTGCCATCATCGGTGGAACAATCCTCGGTCCTCCTTAATGGCACAATAAGGCGTGTTTATACCAAGGCATAGCTGGGTATTAGTGTACATAAGGATCAAGTTGAAGCAAGTGTTGGCAAGGCGCTGTGGCAGTAAGGGCAAATTTTATTTGGAAGAGTTTAAGAAGCTTGATTGCTTAAGTAGCCCATTAGAAGGAGGCTTTTGTATTTTTAGGAAGAAATAGACCGTCAATATATCTACCCCCTATTTAACCTTTGTTCATTCTTCCACGTCCAAACATTCATCTGTACAGCACCTATCTATCTATTCCTCCATCCATCCACTCACCATCTCAACCCTCCATCCATCTATTTGCTTATCCAAATTTTCGTTCATCACATGTCTATCCTTCTTCCCACCCACCCATGCTTTAATCTAGTGCGAAGTTAATGCTTGGAAGCCAGTTTTTGCGGGCGCACGGATAGATTGCCTTCTGGATGACAGGAACGAGTAATTTTGTTTTGCCGAGGGTGGTTATCCACATCCTGCAGATTTCAGAGAAACGTGCTCACTATGTTCTTTTATAAAGCATTGCTCGAAGCCATCTGCTGATATGCAGCAGCGTCATCTCTTAGGAAAATTTGAGTTGAGTAGCCTACACCATGGCATTTATCAGCTAATTCTGAAGTTCAAATCATTAAGGTGAGACACCCTTAAGATAGGGACAGCTTATTTCTAGACCTGGTAGGCATATACAGGATGTTGCCGATATGTTTATTTATGTTATTTGATCAAAATTATGGTTGTTGCTATTACTTAAAGCGTTTGTGGGGTAACACCTATCTCGGAGGTCGCCCAAAAAAGGGCCATTAGCAAGGCCTAATGTCGAAATTTCATCTTACTTACTCGTGTGCTTAATCTAAACAAACGACATCTCTTTGTCTTTGATAGGAGAAAGTGTTCTACAGGCAAAGTCTTCAATCGCCGAACTCCCAACTCCTACCACCGATGAGGATCGGAAGATTGATATTCGTCGTCTCTCCCGTCATGTTCTCTTCAGTGGAACTCGGGTACTGCAAGCACGAGAGTCTCCTGATGGACATCTTGTAAAGGCTGTAGTACTACGAACTGGTTTTCTCACTGTAAAAGGTGACCTAGTTCGTGCTATTTTACATCCCAAACCCTTGGATATTGACTTTAACTTGGACAGCTTTCGATTCCTTGCCATCATGGCTGTCATCGCAATCTCGGGATTCATCTACACATGGGTCATTCTTGTAAGCTCATCTTCACTTAAAGCCAATTCTACCTACGTAAGGCTTATTAAAAACCTTTTAGCAACTAATTAAAATAAACAAATTCACATCACCCTTCGTCAGAGTCATCACCAATTAAAGACCAAATATGAGTTAGAGTAACGTTGCGTAAAATTGTTCGAGAATTTGTAAAATTGCAGGTATTGAATAAAAGCTGAGATTGGTGTCAATAACAAATAACCTGAAAAGTTGTTTTTGTGTTTCCGAAATTGTGTGAAGGCTTAATTTCCCCCTGTCTCTAGTGCCATTCCAGTCGCGACTACCCAAACCTGCTAGTTACATTGCCACTACGTAAAAGCAAACAAATAATCGAAAAACCCGGTTACTGATTGAGATGTTTTACACGAATACTGACTCTTTTATTTCCCTTTTTATCTTTATGTGACGATGATTTGTGAAGTGTACCCTCTTCCCTTTACTGCATCTTTTCATCCAATGGAAATGTTGGCAACTTTCACTGGCTACCTCCTTCACGAATCACAATAGGTGCTCATCCTGATTGGTAGTTTAGATATCATCGCTTCAGTACGCTTCTTTCTTCCCTTTCTCCACTTTCGTAAACAACTCTTTTCTTACCTAAAATGAGGCAGGAACTATTTTATTTCAACACGAAAATGCAGAAATTCCTCATTATATTACTTCTCCTATTTGTTCTCATTTTTGGTCGGTTGGGATAGTAGGAATGCTGCTTCATGTACCAGTGTTGTAAATCTGCTTTAGTACTCAAAACCAATCAGTTTCTTGTCTTTATTGGATTGCTTTTTAAATTGCTTGTCAGTATATACTTCATAATAATCTGCAATGTCAATCATAATTTACGCAAGAGTAGTATAATCTATTCTCCGCTTTTTGATTGGTCGTCTCTGATCCACCTGTAAGTACGTGTTGCTAGTTCTTCGGTAATCGTATTCACCCTAGCTTTAGATCTCGTCTTTTGCACACTATTACCACATAGTAGGCGGTTGTGTCAAGAGCAGGTGTCCTGGATCGTGCGCTGGTTACTATTCGCCTAACTCACTGTCCAAACGACTCGCTTTCCACCCCATCCCACTTTTCTCAGTCATTCAAGAAATTATTCAGCTACATCTTAAACAGCATTGACGACTGCGATTTGATATGTGTTTTATTCTTGTCAAACAATGCAAGGCTTCATGTCACCACGATTTTCGCCCATTTGAAGATTGACACTATTGGATGAAATGGGATGACTGCTTACTCCTTGTGCTCATCTCCCTGCATCGACGTTCCTCTCCTAAGTGATTATTGTCTTTTTATGATACTAGCGTGTGATACTCACATGACTACATGCCAGAGGGGGTAAACGGCACTTTGAACTAAGATTTTACCGCTTTGAGAGTTCAAATGCTTTTTCAGAGATGGATTTCTCCAGCTTGGATCTCCGATGGATGCTTATTTAATGAGTGTAGATAAAGTAGATCCATGGGTCTTCTTTTCAGCTTTGACGTCCTCCTCTCATGTAGGACAAAGAATTTTCGCATCGGAGCGCTAAAAATGTGGATGTCTTCTTTCAGCATCAGTACCGATTTGGGGTGGGTAAAATGATACGAAAGTCGCTGGACATTATAACTATCGTGGTCCCACCAGCACTGCCTTCAGTGATGACTACGGGTCTCTACTTGGCACAGATGCGGCTTAAGAAGCAGGGTATCTTTTGTATTAACCCTTCAGCAATCAATGTTGCTGGCACTCTCAATACAGTCGTCTTTGACAAGGTTAGTCAATGGATTGGTGGTGACATCTTCTGTTCTGATCGTGCCACTTTTTTTCTGATAGACAGGAACTTTAACGGAGGAACACATGTCAGTAAGTGGAGTATGGAAAAGTGGACTATCCTGCGACCCTCCCCAACTCTGTAAGATGGAGCAGGTTTCAAATATACCTGGACCTCTCTCAGCCGTTCTGGCTGCATGTCATTCCTTGACATTTGATCTCACCACGTGCAAGATTTTCGGTGATCCTTTGGACAGGGTTATCTTCATCTCTACCAACTGGGTACATGGGCCTGTGGAAATCTTTTACGTTAAGGGTTTCAGATAACTTGATACTATTTTCTGTTTCCTTCCAGAGTCTTCAGGAAAGCAGTCTTGAAGAAGCTGCTTCAAGATTCACCTCACCCATCCAAGCTGTTATTTACAATGCTAAAGTAAGATGATGCATCTTCTGAATTAGCTGACCATTATTTGGTGGTTTCCAGATTGAGAGCACATCGCCATGGCAACAATTAGGGGTTCTGCGACGTTTTCCTTTCTCTCCTACCGCTCAGAGGCAATCAGTTGTCGTGGAAACAGTAGGGAGCGAAGGCGAGATCGTGGTGCTTAGCAAGGGTGCTCCTGAGGCCATAGTTAGGCATTGCGATTTTCAAACTGTGCCAAAAGATTTTGAAAACAAACTGAGCTACTTTGCAAGGCGGGTGGGTTTCAAAACTTGTTATCTCTCTATCCATCCATCCAATCCATTGCAAATTCACCTTATCCTTCAATGCACTGGTCTACCTCACCTTTCATCGCTGCTCTCTTTTGAAGGGTCATCGAGTTCTAGCGCTGGCTTGGAAACCCATTTGTCGTACAACGAACAGTGAATCAGGGGAAAGTGGGGGAGTCTGGATGAAAATCTACCAATTCCAAAAGCGCGAAGATTTTGAATGTGATCTGCGCTTCCTTGGACTAGTTGTACTCAACAATCCCCTAAAACCGGAGTCTGAACCGACAATCAGTGAACTCTTGAATGCCAATTTTCGTGTGATAATGGCTACGGGTATGTCGCTATGGTGTTGTCATACCATTCAAGGTGGGTGTACGCAAATTCACCAATCTAGCAAATATGGACTCTGGCCCTCCTTTTGCGTATTCATCCATGTCTGCTCACCATTACTGGGTAAATCTTGGATATATCCATCCATTTGTCCACCGATCGTCTCCATATTCACCCATCCATTCACCTAGTAGCACAGGATCTATCTCACTTTCACCTATTTATGGTGACCCGAATATATCCCCCTGTTCATCCATTCATGGATGGCCAATTTATCCCTAGACACAGACAAATGAATTGTTTCGATGTCAAACAGTGATAAACTTTAATGCTACTAGTCTATGTCCAGTTGGATCTGGATTTATTCACCGCTCTATACGGTTGCGGCCGCTTCCACCTCGTCCACCAAATCCTGCAAATAAGCAATTCACTGCAGTTAGTGGTGATGCTGGTTCTGTGGAAGTCACAATGTCGGTACCTTCTAGAGTTAACATCGTAGCGACACCTGAGTCTCTTCCGAATATGCGATAAGGTGTAAAGGAACAGTCGGAGGATGAATGACTATGCTATAGGTGTATGTGAAGCTCTAAAACCTAATCAAAATTTCTCGTAATTTTTTTTCATCAGGAGACAATCTTCTCACCGGCGTTTCAGTCGCTCGTCAGTGTGGCATTATCAAGGCGACAGACGTAGTGGTTCAAGTGACTCCCTCAAATAACATCGTCAGAACAGCTTCCTCGTCCCCTTCGTCCTCCTCCCCTTCCTCGTCTCTCCTTACATTTGAGGTTCTTACAACTTCAGACGATTCTGAAAAATTTGAAAATTCTGTATGGATAGGCAAGATCTTGGAGAAACTTGCACAATCGGTCTCTCAATGCATTGGCAGCACCGTTGTTTTCACCGTAGACAGTGGTGAAGATTCTGCTGGTATCTCTGAGAGTCTTCGTCTAGTCATGACTGGCACAACATGGAATTTCATCCGAATGCATGCGCCGCATTTTTTATCAACCGTGAGCTATTACATGATATCAAAGAAGGGCTTTACTCGTGTTTTTGTTCAAAATACATTAGTACTATGCAAAAACAAGATAAGAGAAAAAGGCATAAAAAATTGATGTTACTGAAAGCAATGCAGGTACGTTCAAGTCAATCCGGGAATCTCTGGATTTTGTCTTATTTTATCAAATGATAAGTATATGCAATGGTCAGGCTTTCTAGACGTTAGTTAAATATTTGAAAGGGTGACTACGGAGGCTGTGAATTGGAAACGGCATCACCACTACCGAGATCATCGTTGAGAGGCATGTAATCGGCCGCTTGGCGTACCATTGTCCTCTATTGGCCCAGTTGACGATGTCTAAATTGAACTAGACTGACCAATGGTATGCGTCCGATTGACATAAATATTACTCAATCAAGCGTGTAATATTACTACTTTGGTACTCCTCTTAGTAGCCGCAAGTCCCGGTTTGACTCGAACACCCCACTTACATTGCCATCAGAATAATAACAATTCATATATTCCTAATTACCTTAAAGTGGACTTTATTTGATTTTTTGATAAAAGTTAAATTCATGCTGAGGTGTTTATTACCTGATTTTGGTATGTTTCGCACACATAATAGGGCTAAAATCGTTCTTAAATAAATTAAGCCAATTTGATTGGTCACTGCTTAACCTGTGTCCTCGATTTCCTTTACATACCATCCTGTGTGATTCACACTCTGTGCTGGTATTCCTTTTTTTTTCTTCTGCACCTAGAAAATGCAAGTAATCTGTTTGACCATACGCGAGGACTCATCACTTACCACCACGTGTAGTAGTGGCACTGTGATTTTTGACGTGGTTCAAACGTGCCTAATTTGAAAGTGTAGTCAATGTACACCGGAGCACATTTTGGGGTTTACTATGGAAATAACTCCTTTCGTTTTATGAGACGCACTTGCTGTGATTTCCTTGTTCTAATCCATAAGGGGAGGCCCATTAAATGCAGGCCTCCTGAAGTACGGATAGGTGTCAATCTGTCAGTACATGGAAAGAGTGACGTGAATGGATGGGTAGGGGGGTAATTACGCTTAAATGACTGATCTTGAATGGATCTATTGTGAGATGAATGGATAAACAGTTGATGCGAAGGTGACTGATGGGTTAGCTTGAAGTGATAAATGATCTCGGAATGAAATTATAGGTCCACAATAGTTTTTAGAAAGAATAAGTGAAATCGGAGCGTATTGATACATACAGAATCGTATGATTGAATGAGTGTATTAATTTCGAATTGATAAATGCCCGGATAGACCGGAACACGATGGACCCAGAATGCCTGGAAGAATCTGAAATGAATTGACGAATCAGTAAAGCCTGAGTGATCTAGTAGTGGAGAAATAGAACAATCCAAAATGCCTTGTCCAGGAAGGAATGATGGATAATTTGGTAATCCGTGTTTGGATGGATCCAGAATGGATGGATGAATGGATGGATGTATGGATAGATGGATCCGGGATGGATACAGGATGGATGTATGGATAGATGGATAGATACAGGATGGATGGATTAATAAATGGATACAGGATTGATGGGTGGATTCATGATGAGTGGATGGATAAATGGATACAGGACGGATAGATGGATGGATGGATGAATACAGGATTGATGGATGGATATATGGATCGATATCTGGTGCGTGTTTGATGAAAACCCAGTGGATGGATGGCTGGAATTCCGATAGATGCATAAATGAACGTGGGGCTGACGGGTAGATGGATACGGGATGGATTGCTGCGTCAGCTCCAAATCCAAGTACAGGTGTAGGAGTGGTTAAATGCGTGCCTGTACACACAAAACTGTCGTCCATTTGGACAAATTGATAGAAGTGTGGAGGGATAGGTGGATGGATAACCCACCATCACCTTGAATGGCTCACCCTTAAAGCCTTATTCTACACCCCTTTTCTCTCCAATCAGTTAATGTCACCAATAAGTAAGTATTATCTTCACCACTTTTTCCCATTGTTAATCCACGTAGGAAAAAATTTTCAGTGAACATTTTGTCGCTCTAAACATAGGCAAGAACAAAGAGATTATCTTTACAATGGATGATGAAGTTATTCAATGGTATAAACTCCTAAGTGTGTAAATGAATTTAGGTGGAAAACACCACTTGATATATCTTTGATCGTTCATTACATTTTATACACTCTGACAGGGGAATCATTTCTTTTACATTCGATGAAGGGTAAAATAGGTTCTTTTAGTCGTCAGATATGAATCCCTAAATGTATTTCCGTTCAAAATAACACAGTGGACACTTTGTGGACGGTCTCGAAATGGGCGAAGGGATGAGTGGAAGAGCCTTAATGCCTATAAGGATTTGGGTATAAATTCGCCCCAAAAGGCAGAAAGGAAGGGACAGATAAGTCTGTTGTAAAAGAATACGAGGTGGATTAAAAAAAGCCTTTGAGTAAAAGGATAGGGATAGGTGGATAGCCGGACGCAAAAATCAGAAACGGCTGGATGGGCAAGTCAAGATTGATCAGATGGATGCAGGAAGGGTGGAAGGACATAGGATGAATAGATGGGTGGTTGAATCAAGGATGGATGAATAATTTACCGAATCTACGGCATCGTTTGCATGGACCGACCCGTGTCCATCCATCGGACTACCAGCACATTTCCTGTGGTTTTGCTTTTGGCCGAGATCGTTTCCCCACCTCCACCCACCAGAACGCTTAAGTTTACGTCTGCCTGCCGATGAAATGCACTTCTCTCTGCCATGTCGTGCGATTCTTCTTTCACTTTTCCACAGCCTTCCTCCTTCTTTTAACCCACTCTATCATCACTAGGCGTCTCTTCTACCTAGCCACCCTGTCTGCTGAAAGAACCGATTTTAACTGGTTTTCAAGTCTGCTGAAGTCCCACATTTAGCCTCCTGCAACGCGTACGATGGAGGTGTGGTAGAACAATGCATTTTCTAGATATGGCTCAGGAATGTGGTTCTGCTGTCGAATCACTCGCTTCCAGAAGGATCGTCTGCTTCAGAAGATGGTGATTGATTCACGTCTTGCTCGTCAAAACTAACAAAGGGGTAGCAGCTTCCAGTGCTCCCTATCACAAGTGATACCACAATTAATTTACGCCTACAAGATTTGGAAGGGATCACTGCATGGCTGTAGAAGAGGAGCTGGGTGAATGTTTGTCAACGACTCTCTCTAACAATGACAACAGGCTCGCCAGCAGACGGTTAAGTGAACTATTCACATACTATTGCATCTCACACTCCTCAACCACTCACAACTTCTACTCTGTCTGTCTGTGATGTAATCCGACCGGGATTGTTGAAGGTCACGCACCAATGGAGGCTGAGTTCTATCAGCAACAGTCTAGCCTCATCACCTAGTGGAAAGGAAAGCCATTGTGTAGAATATCACTCCACTTACTAAAATGGATCAGAAAAGAGAAGATCCAAGGTACTGTCTCATTCCTATCCTTGTCTCCTCTTGGCATTAACTGCATCACATGAGATCATGTGTTTGCAGTAACTGAAGCTGTTTTTTTTCTTGCCTTCTGGTACCTTAACCTCCTTTTCGATGGCGACTTTGACGTCTAGCCTGTGACTCTTTAAGAAAGGGATTCTGAATCCTCGGTTGCAGTGGTGAGGATGCATCAACTCTTACCTCATCAACCAGACCCACCCAAATGAAATAGGTGGATGGATGTGAATGCGCTCACAGGTCCTGAAATGGTTATCGGGTCAAATATGGACGAAATCGGGGCAACTTGACTATAAGACAGCCGTGTTTGTGAGATGTGAACACGCCAGGCTAATTTTTGTTCTTCCGCCTTTACTAGGTTGTGTCGTACGGTACCGTCTTCGCTCGCTTCCTCCCTGACGATAAGACGAGCTTGATTGTTGCATTGCAAACAAAGGGAGGTCGTGAAGGTGGTGCACTACGGCGAGTGGGTATGTGTGGTGATGGGGCCAATGACTGTGGTGCTCTCAAGGCTGCCTACATTGGTGTCGCCTTGAGTGACTGCGAGGCCAGCATTGCGGCCCCTTTTACTGCACGTCAACAGAATATCCTCTGCGTGGCAAATATCCTCAAGTCAGTTTACTGTCACGATTTATTTCTTACCAACGGTTTGCTGGTCGGCAGTGTAAACTCCGTCTTTGTGATGTATTAGGGCTTGTGCTGACGGGTATTTACTCAGCTTTCTGACTACTGAAACGTTTTACTCAGTAGCGACACGCCAACCTCAAACTCCCACATGTTACAAGGCATTGTAGAGAGCCGTGCGATTTACAGCGCGAATTCTAATGCCCTTCTTGTATTTGCCCATCAGCACCTGGGATTATTTATGTATGAGCAATTCGGTGATCTCTTCCTCCGACTTCGAGTACATCGTCATCCTTTTAATCAATTTAGCTTTCTCCTCTCCAAATATCAGAGAGAAAGCAAAATTGTATCGAAATAAATGAGGACTTTTGCGGGAGTTATTACTGATTTCTAGGGAAGGGCGCTGCTCCCTGTCAACTGCAATTGGGTCTTTCAAATACATGGTCCTTTACAGTTTTACCCAGTTTTTTACAGTTCTTCTCCTTTATAATGTAAGTCCCACTTTATTCCTCCATGTGCATCAAAATAACCCAGTTAAATTTTCTGAAGCATATTTAAGTATCATCTCCTCTAGATTGGCAACACACTCACTGATCCTGAATACCTAATCATCGACCTGTTTATTGTTGCACCGCTCTGTGTTACATGTACGTTCATCCCGTAAACACTACCGCCAATTGTCCACATAAACACATTGCATACAGAAAACAAACACTTTTTGCTCTTTAGATGCAGTAAGTCGACCATGGGAAAAATTGGAGGCCAGTACAATTCCACTTCGACTAATGACTCCTTCAAACCTCGCTTCTGTTTTCCTTCAACTCTTCCTAGCTGTGGCAACACAGATCGTTATTTTCATCGGGGTTCAGCATCAACCCTGGTAGGGCAATTGGATAGGGTTAATCACTCGTGAGCTATTTAGGTGGAGTGCTTTTGAACCCACTGAACATAGCCTAGACAGTGCCGGCTCTTACGAAACGACTAGTCTCTTCTACTTCTCTTGTTTTCAATACATCTTCATGTGTGTAGCTTTAGCCAAGGGTCCACCATTCCGAGACCGGGTTTATAGAAATAGTAAGTTCAAGTCACCTTATTCACGGGTTCACACCACAGGAATCTTCCTACTTAATGTGATAATCCTTGTAAATTTCACTCTGGGTCTGCTAATCTTCCCAACGAAGCCGCTTAGTGAATGGGCAAAGGTCAGTTGTAGCTTCTCTTTGTGCTTAGTAGAAATAAGATAAGAGAGTTCAAGTTGACTTAAATCGAACACGTTATTTTGCAGCTTCTTCCTCTGTATGGCCCGAACGATGTTGGATTTCGGAAGAATGCCTTCTCTATCGCTATAATCGCAATGGCTTTTCTCCACTTTATGATGGCTATCGCCTTTGAAGCACTAATTGACGTGGTCTCGCACGATCGCAGCGCGACACACTATTGAAAAAGTTGTTATACAAGAGCAATCTCTCTTCGTCTAGAGAAAAAGCGATGATTACAGCAGACATTCCATGGCAAATTGCTCACTTACTAGTTTGTGCCGTGATTTGCGTGTACGACCTCACTTTTAGACTCATTAAAACAAAGCACTAAAGGTCTATAACGGTTTTGTCCTTCTTAGTATAATCCTCAATCGTAGCAACCAAGAATCATTCATTTAGCAATAAATTAAATGTCTTAAATAAACAAAGTTTATAGGGTGTGAATGGCGCCAGGAGGGGAATATGCCGTCACGTGATGTATGCAAAGTGTGTGGCTAGTTACGAATGGATTCCATAATGAGAAAAATTTTATCATAATTGACGACTACTGACAGACTGGAATATATGAAGGTGGCTGTTGTGATGTAGTGCGCCTAGAGGGCCACCACTAGTATACTTTAACGAAATCCAAAAGACAGCTATCACAAAATAAGAAAACTGTCTAGCATCCAGAATATGACGGCACTGCACACGATAAACTGCTTGCAGATGCTTTTGGATTGATCTCACGTTTATTTAATGGGTGAAAATTTCAGGGGCCATTCAGTTCGAGCAAGGACATTAAATTAGACTCAAGTGCACATTTCGGAAAGTAGGAACGAAAAATACTAGTTCGACACTTTCCTACTTCACTTACTTTAACATCCGGAAATCAGATCCAACACAGGCAGACCTATCGGTACGACTGAACAATCCTTGATCCGACTACCTCAATACTTCACGAGTTCAAATGATCGCGAAAAACCTAGCTGTCGTTATTGTTCCGCTGGAGATTCAGGAGTCTCCCGTCCACTTCGTCGCACAGCAGGCTAAACGCCGTTTCTTCATGTTTGAGTAGGCGCTACATATACTGCCTAGGTGTTCAAACGAAAAACCGCTGCTGCGTAGAATTAAACTAGGGGCAGTATCTTCACTGACAAACGCATGATGAAGCGCAATTGTACCATTCACACCGTCTACATACTCCAGCACTCCCATCATTCCACCGAGCCTAAGAGTGACATCCAGAGGACCTAACAGCCTCATTAGCAGTCATTACAGCTGCCACTAAGCCGATATTCCCAAAAAATGCCCAAAAGAAAAATCCACTCTCAGGTTGGATGCGAAGTGGAGCGCCACAAATGCCCATGGTAGTCACAGGATTATTTTCTTTACAAACACATCGATGTGCAGAGAGTAGTTACATGAAGTCATCAGAGTCATAGCCATCCTCATTGGAGCGCATGTTCTCGGGAGCAAAGATGCGATCATAGGAGCGCCGCTCAGCCTCCAACTGGCGCTGTCGCTCCACTTCGCGCTCCGCTTGCTCTCGAGAGCGCTGAGCGGCACGGGCGCGTTGGCGCAAGCGTTCATCGCGCGCCTCTCGCTCTGCCTGCAGGTCAGGAGACTCCACAATCGTTTGAGTGCGCTCCAATCGGTGGAGCACCTCTCCCACGCGTTTCGCTACTACCGTGCGACGCACGTTCCGCCCGTTGTGGAAACTCACTTGACCCACCTCCATATCCGGGGTCTTCTTGAGGTTCTCCCACATGGTGTACACCACTGTTACATCGTTCTGCTTGCAGCCCTACCCTCAAGGGAGATACAGAGGTAGAGTTAGATTCTTTCAATTAATTCGTCTAGTATAGAGACCAAAAATATCGACGATTCAGCTTGACTACTCCAAGACCTAATTAGAGTTATGAAGAAATTCTACGAGCGTATTGAGGCAGGCGTTTAGTACGTGGAAAGGGGAGGGAGGTAATGTTTCAACTCAGTTCCACTATCTATTATTCGATTTAAAAAGTTGGACGAGCGGGAATGACTGGTCAAGTGGTCACACATTCTAAGGCAAGTTATGACCTTAAGAGGAAGAAAATTGCAAAAGTTTTGGGTAAATTTTACCACTTAAAGGGGGAGCTCAGTGTTCTGCCATAAGTTGGGTGTAAATGGAGGATCCACCAAATGAAAAGACAATAATTGCATCAAAGATTATAAAACTTAGATATAAATCGGCAACTGACCCAACAAAGTCATCCAGCTTCAATAAAAATACTTGCTGCTCACACTTCCACCCTGTAAACTCGATGGTAAAGCATATTTAAGAAGGGGGAGTGGATTTAAGCGAAAAATCACAAATTCTCCACAAACGCACCAGTCAAAAAACAATTGTTGACAATGCAAAAAAATTAATTCCCTTACCATGATGCTGTTTTGTTTGCACAGTTGAGCACAGTCCTGAATAACTGTCTCGGGTATATCATCCAACGTTTCTCCTTCCCTGAGACGAAGGTACACATGGGCAGAAGACATTTTATCGACATGGAACCACACATCTTCCGGCCATCCCCATCGAATTAATTTGTCATTTTCGTGCTTATCTGCACCCATGTATATGAGATAGGGAGGCGAAACAAGCTCACACTTATAGTAGAGCACCATTGCGAAACACTAACGATTTCAAGATAGTGTCCGCTTCTCATTGGTCTATTTCTGTAGAGGGCAATACAGTCATCATCATTTTCGGAAGCTAGAAACGCAGTCGTTAGCATTCAATAATCCAATTTTTAGAATACTGCAAGAGTCAAAGTTTACTTAAGTAAAGGTTGTATCAATAAAAGCTTAAAGAATTTCAAAAAACATTTTGGATTTTTACAGAGATGCGCAAATTACCAGTGGGATTTGTTCACTCCGGAAACTCATTTTTGGTAAATTGGAGAAGCTTTGAGCTTATACGATACTCACGACTGACGTCAAGCATCCTTTGATGGGTACGCTATCGCATCTACAATGCGCCTCAGTGACAAACATTGGCTTTCACCGAGGTAAGAATGAGCACCTCAATGCAAAAATAGCACATCTGCGCCGATGATAAATGCAGATTAAGTCAAATATATCCGTGTTATTTTAAATGAAAGCTCAACGCCTAAGTTTTGTGTAGCACAACACAGAAATGTGTTACTACTACTGCTACACACCGTACCCTGCAAACTGTCAAATTCCCTGCAGTGCACAACGCTCCACCGGACCCTTACCATTTCTTTGTCCCTATTTTTGACAACGTGGATCCCTGACTGCGCCTTACGTAAGCCGGTCCTTGTACCGGTGGGCCCCACTACAATTCCAGACGATGCTCCAGGTGCTGCCCCCTGGCACTACCCCTTCTACATGCACCTAAGAGTACCGAAGTTTGTGTCCCACCACCGGGCGTTTCCATGAAGCTCCCTTGTTTATGCTGCAACTAATTCCCCCACTCGCTAGAATTGCCTCGACGTATCCTGCAGCACTGTCAACGAACCGCACCCAGCTCACCATTAATCGCTGGGATTATGGGCTCACTCAGTATTCCAATGACTTTTTTGATGATAACATATTAGGGCACCCCACGCAAGCCACAAGATACGACGACAGTTTCCTGCATCAACACGAACAATTATCCCAGCTAGTTTATCAGCAAAAATGCTCGTCACCGCCAGATTTATGATGTATAACCCACTCCACTCCTTCTGGTTACAAAAATGTGGAATAAACGTCTCTGACTACCAGTAAGTCCAGTATTAGCTGGGGCGACTAACATCACAATACCATTGGACGGGTTGATAAGCTAGCCGGCCAACAGATAGACGTTCGGTCTTTCAAATGACAGTTTTAACTGTAGCACCTTACTCTAACTGCTTCCACGACTAGGGGACGATTCGTTCCCAAAAAAGCATACACAAAACCATTTTACCGTCAAATAAATTGCCATTAGTCTAGCCCCGTACTGCTAAAATGCACTACCGGAAGCGCAAGCATTAACTTCTGCGAAAGGCAGCACATTGAAATAATACCATACTTCAGATCGAGAGGTACAAAAGGACATAGAATTGCCAAAGTAGTACTAAAAAGGAGTATATACTTAGATGGTCACGTGAGTGTATGTATGTGTGTAAGATCAGAAAATACAAAAAAGGTTATCTTGTTTAGGTAAGGATAATAATAAAATATCGGTAGTGGAGAGGCCGATCGGGGGCAATCGGTGCGTCTTCAATGGAATAATCAGACAGCATACAAAAAGGGGAGTGAGGAGGGGGAGCCCAGTGATGCTCTAAAAAGCACCAAAAGAGCGGGTGAATTGTCCAGCTCTGCTTTGTTTCCTCTTAAAGTACTTGCATAATCGCGAGGACAGTCATCCCTCAGTTAGTTCAACAATTTTGTCTGATTAGCACACCGAAGTTGTCTCGTCACTTATTTCTCACGCATTCGAACAGCGATTTAGATATTTACCTATGCGTGGACACACAAAAGTGAAGTTTTAGACAAAACTTCTCAATAAACGAAGTGCAGAACTGGAAATGCACCAACGCAGGAGAGGAATTTTGGAATAGCATCCTTCTCGGGTTCGCCCCCCAGAATAAACGAAAAAAGTGATCGTGACATTAGCAGAGGTTCCCAGATCCTAAAATTGAGGCACTGAGTAGTGAGGAGGACTACATGTTTCTGCAAGACTACTTCCCCCTATCCAGCATGCACAAATGAATAGCAGATAGCCGAAGGTTTTGCTAATCGTGACACTCTCAGACTCACCCAATTTAAACCCGATGGAGGCTTAGTAAGAGTGTTACCAAAGAGCGCAACAAGAGCGTCAAGACCTTACTTATTTCTGTTGCTCTTGAGAACGCCATAGTTAACAGAAGTGAGGGCCGCAAGAAAAAGTATTTAAACATTTCAGAATCTGTAGACAAAGCACAGCTGTTTAGGCGAGCAATCTTATCCGAGCAGAGGCGATTTAGACTAAGGAAAATTTCAACTAGAGCAGGATCAGGAGTAAAATGAGAATCACAGAAACGCATGCAAGCCAAAAGCAGCGATTGCGTTGATCACATAGGGGATTTTGGTCCCTGAATCATGTAGTATCGCCATAAAAACGGATGCTTGCCCAATTAATGCAGTTCTATTATTATCGTTTATGTAAAAGCCATACTTTTTGAGGTGTTGTGGGGTGGAAAAAGAAGCGCAATCAAAGGCTATACCGCATGTCCTGCATATGATAAAAGGCATCTACAGCCTAAAATCAACAATAAGACAACAAAAAAGTGAACCTACACGTTCATTACTCCTTTTTATTCATAGGAAAAGCGACAGATTACATAGGACCTTTACAAACAACCAGCTAACGATGCTAAGAAATGGACTGACCAGATCATCTGCACAGAGATTGTACATCTTAATTCCACGCGGCTTTACAAACTAACAAAAGCACAAATCAACGAGGTTTAGGATGGAAGCAAAAGTGTTGTATGAGGGTGAAACTAAGATTACAGCTCTTTAGGCATAATCAATTACTAACGTACCAAATTAACGTCGGTTCTGGAAAAACTCTCTGAGGCTCGATTCGCCTTGATGCTTGCCTCCTAAAAAGGCACAAGTTTTATCCAATAAGAAGGAAAACAGTTAAGATTGAACTTGAATCGAGATGTCATCTACCTTAAAACAAATGCTGATCGTGAACACGTTTGCGTAGCAAAGGAGACAAGTGAGGCGAGCCCTGCCAAGAGGACGAAGTAAAATCCACCGGAAAAGGAAATTGAGAAAGCATCCATCTTTTTCGTTGCATTTTTTATAAAGTGTCGGGTCTCTTCAATTGAAGTCAGAACGGGAACAGCTAGTTGGTGTTTGATTAACTGAAACTGAAAATGAGTGATCGAAGATGCTGCCCAGTACATCAACCCAAGACAAACACAATTTATAAAAACTAAAAGGAGAATGCGTGAACGAATATTCACATACCACAACAAACGTCCAGTAAGCCCCTTCGATAAAATTTCTTCATAAATCCGAGATTTACATTAAGATTTGCAAATAACTGAAACAATGAGCACAGAAATGAAAGAACTATGAGTCCAAGGCAGCAGTAAAGTATGGCAACGGAATCTACTGTCACACATTTATTAAGTGTACCTGAATTAGGATCCAGTTATAGTATTAAAGTTAGGCAGCTACCAACAAATTTCCTCTTCTCCTCGTCATTGGGAGAACTATAAAATGAAAATACATCTTGAAATCCAATTGAGTTCAATTCGCACGGTGCGTTTTTCATTGTAAAAGTCGCTCTTAACACAGTGGCTCCACAAAGAAGGAGGGCTGACAGAAGATTTGATGAAAAGGAAAGACCACCAATGCGGCGTCGAAATATTGGATGCCAGTAAGAATTCACATGATCTATGAATGCTAAAACCGTTTATCAAAAGGTAGTAATACTATCCCGAGGTGGCATAGTCATGCAGAGCAACGCCCAACGAACGGTAAACACACAGGCCGAATAAATAATAAACGCAGGAATCAACCTCAATTACCATCTAGATGATTGGTTCATGTAAAATATCGCAATCAAGAACTAATTTGCAAGTTTTTTTAATTAAAAAATTCGATATTTGCACCTTGAGTATAAATGACAACAATAGGCCTAATTAATGGTTAGTGATGGGCACCCCCATGACACAGGTTTGTACTTTGAAAATTACAAAACACACTGAAAATAGCTCTTGTACCACATTTCCAGTAAACAATAACCTGTAAGAATTTCGGACTGTATTACTTGACTCGCCATTCCCAACTGTCTAGTTAATACCTCTAATAGTAGGGCTATGATTTTCTACTAGCTTGTGAAGGCGTCAGTGCAAGTAATGACAGACCATATGATAAAATAGCACCGCCGTGTAGCACCACAAGTCTTTCCTGTATTAAAAAGACACAATGCTAAGGTAGCAAAACTATTGCCGACATAAAGAGGGGCTGGGTGGGTCAAAAACTAACACGGGATGTGGTGGAATACGATGGTAGTTTATCCCTCGGTATTAATGAGGGGCCACTTTTGAACTTTCGAATTTGCCTTATTATACCTCACTGGGTGAAATGGCCTTCGGGCCATGCCAGCAGCCCAAATACCTTCTCTCTTCTGAATTTAAATTCTGCCTGATTATTGTCTTCTTTCATCTTCAGGGAAGTCTCGGGACGCCACAGTAGGCTATTTTGCTTAGCAAAGGCAGAGAAATTAAGCCTTAAGTGCCAGAGAAACAGTACCAAAGTGTTAAACAAATAAGCAATGCAGTATCCATCGGCTCGTTGACGGTCCATTTTCTTCACAGTGTCCTGGCCTGCTTCGATCACAGGAAGGGCTCAGTATGTCGCGTTATCTCGCGAGTATTAGAAATCTATTGTTTAAATACCAATAAATCCGGGAATGAAGACTCAGTTAGAGGACTTCTCCATCCGGCGAAGCTAAAATGCAATATGTAGCGTTAATCTCCTCCTCTGCTTTTGTTCTCTTGGATCAGGCAGCCTGGTATGATGAGGCATTATAGATATGGTACAGTGATTAAGGTACACTTCTATCTCGGAGGCCCAAAAAGTCCGCAATGTGATGAGATTTGTGTTCACTGCCTACATCCCGTTTGAAATGTGCAATTTTGCATAAACTCAAATAAATCTTACTTATCCAAGTTTCATATTGATATGAAGACAACAGTGACTAAGGTGTTCCACACTTTCCTAAGTGAAACCGTAATAGTGCTTTACGAATAGATGTGCCGACAGAAATAATTATTGGGGGTATTTTTCGGTAGTTTGTATTATGACACATTGGTCGTTTTTTTGGCTGCCCTTATTACGTCATATTTCGTCTTCAGAGAAGTCATAGGGCGCTGTGTTAATGGAAGAGGAGAGCAAACCCGATTTTAGAATACATCTATCCTAATGTAGCGTCCCGAGACTACCTGAAGACGAAAGAAGACACAATACTCGGGCAGAATATATGTATTCAGCACGGAGAAGGTGTCTGGGCTATTGGCATGGCCCAAAATGCCAGCCCACCCAGCGAGGTACAAGAGGGCTAATTCAAAGTACAAAAGTGGCGCCTCACCAGAACCGAAGGATAAACCACTATCGTATTACACTAATATCAACTACGGGGCGAAAAACCTTAGCTGCGCAGAAGTAGTGCACAAATTGCGGATGGGAGAATCGGTGGCCCCCACTAACAGAACGGCCGAAAATGACAACTGAAAAGACACTAACTATAAACGATCAGGCAACTTATTTCTTTGCGGAGTTGCTTATCACACCTGCACATATCTATTAAATATGTGAAAGCGCGATACCCTTCCCGCTTGTCTGCAAGTTGGATGAAACCCAGACAGATTTGGCTGCGCTGCTCTAGGGTGAAAACATCGTGGCGGGGAAGAATAGAAAAAATACCCTGCGCTTAAACTCGTCCTTTGTGCTATGACTTTGCTCTTAAGTCAATGTTCCCACTACCAGATATATAACCAGCAAATTCCCCGCTCCTGATTCTCGGTCTCAGGTAGGACAAAAATTCCACATACGGTACAATTGCCAAGAGTTACCAGTAGCGTTATTGTCGAGCATGTTCCTAATTATATAAAAATTTGACCACTGAAGCTGTTGATTTGTGAGTGTTTTTCTTAGATATCCGATCGCGTTTGATGGCTGCCGCGAAGGATAACCATTGTGAGCGCCGGCAACATCGCTCAAAGGTGGAAAAGGGTTATGTTATAGATTGGATTTTTAACAGTCAGTTATCTTGATCTTAGGGCATACTAGTGAACTAATGCCATGCTCATGCCGAATATGTACATTCTGCCCTAGTAATTCGCCTTCGCTACATTTCGACATTTACATATTTTGCATGCATACATGTTTACTCTTTAAGAATTGGACGCCACGAATGGCAATTTTATTGCTGGCAGGCACAAATTACTTACATAGCTATTTATTCCATTATTGCGACTTTCTTTAATTTTAATTAAAGTCTGGACTTTGGCATGATGCCAGTAACACCTAATTGTCAGTCTTTACGTATAAGTCTAATTTCAATTTCAAAGCCTTTTAATACATACAAAATGGGTACTGTCAGCCTATTCTTTTTTATTCCGAGGATAATTTAGTCATTCAAATGTGCTCCATTGTATAAATTTTGCTGTGCTCAAAGTATTCGTCAAAACATTCTAACGTTACTACTATTCGTTGTTGCATTTTGGGCGTTGCGTTTCGTATTGTGCTCTGCACTTTATATAAAATAAACTAATTTGTGACCTAAAGCCCTAATGCATTTCGCGGTGCGATCAATCGCTGCTTCTAGGTGTTCTTTGGGTTCGTTCTTCTAGTTTCAGTTTCTCCTTTAGCATCTTTGTCGCTTTTTGAATATCTCTTTGGTCTCACTTGTTCGTTTTGTTTCTTTTTTAACTTGTTATTACTACTTGATGTAGTACCTCGTATAGCATTTGCTCACATGTTTTATACCTATCATTTATATTTGATGTTTGGATTATGATTGTGCAGAATCGTAGTTTGTGAGAATTTTGCCTAGTTTTCTGTAAGAAAGTAGATTGGCTTCCGGAGCACAAACTTGTGCCCATTTGTCGCTTTTTTGCAACAGATTAAGTGGTTTTACAATGTCAATGTCTGCTTCAAAAGAACTTGACGAGCTCGCAGTGGAGAATTTTCGCACTTACCTCCGTTTTTCCACCGTTCATCCTGATCCTGACTATACTGACGCCGTTGATTGGCTTCGAAACCAAGGTGTTAAAATGGGTTTGGAGTGTTTTCTCACTGAAATTGTTGCAAAAAATCCAATACTCATCATGCGCTGGCCTGGTAGCGACCCTTCTCTTCGTTCTATCATGCTTAATTCGCACATGGATGTGGTTCCCGTTGAGCGGGAGAAATGGGCCTATGATCCCTTTGCTGCCGAAATGTCTCTTGATGGGAATATATACGGTAGAGGAGCTCAAGTATGTGCTTTCTAATTTGTCGAACTTTTACTTTCTTTTTTTCTGCTCCTACATAGGACATGAAGTCGGTGGGTATCCAACAGCTCGAAGCTGTTCGTCGTCTCAAACTGGAGGGATTTGTTCCAAAACGAACTATCTACCTCACCTTTTTGCCCGACGAGGAAGTCGGGGGTGGTCGTGGTATGCAGCCTTTTGTCTCAGGCGTTAAGCCCAACCGTCCTGGTGCTCCTAACGAAATAAGCTTTGCTGAAATGAACGTGGGCCTCTGTCTAGATGAAGGCATTGCTTGTCCACGTCCAGACGTCTTCTATGCCTTCTACGAAGAACGATCTCCTTGGTGGGTGAGTTTCCTGATTCCTGGAAATGCTGGACATGGCTCCAGATTTATTGAAGATACCGCTGTTGAGAAACTTCATCGTCTGATGGACAGGTAAGTAAAAAAGCATGTCTGACCCTTACATTCTTCAAGGCTCCTAGCCTTCCGGGATTCGGAAAAGAAGAAACTCGAGCTGATTAAGGGTAATGATTTGGCTCTAGGCGGCGTTGTGACATCTAATATCAATGTCATCAAAGGTGGAATTGAACCGAACGTTGTCCCTGCTGAAATTGAAGTCCAGGTTGATTTCCGTCTTCCTCCAACATTAGATTTTGATGCTTTTGAACAGCAGATCCACAAGTGGGCTGATGAATCAGGCGAGGGTATTAAGGTAAGTCGATAAATCTGCTGCAAATTGTGGTCATGTAGGTGCAATCTCGGTGGTAGATGTTTAATTCTTCTTGATAGATAAATTACATACAGAAGGATATGTCCACCACGGGACATGGGAATTTATCAGGCACGTACGATGCGAGCGATCCAGTTCTAGAGGCCTTGAAATCGTCATCATGTTTAATTGGCGCGCATCTTGAAGTGGGAGTCTTTTTCGGTAGCACTGATGCTCGATTCTTACGTCGGTGGCACAAGTTCCATGCCGGCGAGAAACCGATAAAGGCCTACGGATTTTCGCCGATGTGTGACGTCCCTGTCCTCTTGCATGATCACGACGAATACCTCAACAAGAAAACGTTTCTCGATGGTGTTAGGGTGTTCAAACACTTTCTCTCTGAAGTTGCCTTAATGGCGAGGATCTGATATTTCATTGGAATACACGCGTTTTATTGATAGCCATGTTGTGTTCTGTCTTATTGGTTATCACGCATTGACATCGAGGAATATCTTACCTTATTGTCCGTGAACCCATTGTTTTCCACTGGACAGTACTATTACAGTGTTAGCATGTCACACCAGAAGGAGCTACCTCTAACCCGAAAATTTCCAGTCCCTCTAGCACCTTTTAATGGAGTAGTCAACAGGACAGAATTAAATCTGAGATAAATGAACTGACTAAAGTCCACTTGTTTATGTCTCATTTCACATTTTCATCGGGTAGAATTGCATTGGCTACTTTTTAAAAGAACACAACCTTAAGAATTTGTGTTAAACAATTGATCGGTTGATAACCTTCATTGAATATGTAATAATTAACTACATTTTGATCATTCTATTATTTATGCATTTATTTCGACTTCACTGGATTGAGTCCCATTTGAACTAAGTGGAAATTGGTTGTTTGAAGACCTGTTCAGCACTTGAAGTCGGCCAACTTCGTGCTTGGCTCTCACTCCAGTGATCCACATTACTAGGTGACGTTTTTGTCCAAAGACATGGGCACCTACGGCCATGGATCCGTGGACATTCCAATTGATTCACACCCCAATGACGTCTGGTGGAACATATTGGAAGATGTGCTTTCTCGAAGATCCATCGGCTTACAAACGGGCATCAGTGGAGGCTCAAATGATGGTCGATATCTTCGTCAGTATCATCGTCTCTGCGCACCGGATTCAAAGCCGATCAAAGCCATCAGTTTTTCTCCGCTTAGGAATACCCGCATTCTGCATCATGCTTCAAACGAATTTGTCAGCAGGAAAGCCTTTCTTGAAGGCGTCCAGATTCTAGTGGAGATTGTTCAAATGGCTTCTTCTGTGGAACGTCAAGAAGACGATGCTTGAGCAGACTTAGCTGTGATTGCCTATGTATCGAAAAGCAAGTGCTAATTATTCGATATAATCCATGGCGAGAGGTGAATGAAATTTCCTTCTGCCTACTAAATGGAGGGGAAAAGGGGGGCACTGTTTCATCCGCATTCTCCTCCCCTCCATTCCTCTCTCTGGTGGTACAGTAAGCATTAGGTAATCACATGGCAGGATACCGAAATGACCAGACAGGTTGGGGGGGGGGGGGGGGATGTATCTAGGATCAGCCTTTCTTCCAGTTTCCAGGGCTTAAGTCCTGGGTTTCGCTCCTGGTTTTGAGTATTTAGAAAAGGCCAGATCTTTGAAGCTTTTCGTAAATAATTGTTTCATTCCTCTTTAATTAGGACACATTTTCGACTGAATTTGTTGTCATGAGATATGTAAAGTACAGAAATAATGACTGCTAAGTACAAATGCAAAGTACCATTTTCACTGACAGAATTACAGTTCCTGTGCAAGAGGGTGTGTTGTGAAAGGGCCAAAATAGCTCATTTTTCTTATTCAGGTAGACTTATTTGAGGAGGATGTCCCTCTTAGCGAATAAAATTCGATTACAGGGTTTTTGTCTCCACCCAATCACCTCCTTACAGGAACCTGATCCGTGTCAATGCGAAGATGAAACAGGGAGTTGGATATACCACCAGTCGAAAGAAAGTAGTAAACACATTCCAAAGATGTGACTAGTTCTATCCTCACAAATTACCCAAATCTGTCATAGTTGTTTACGTCAATTTTTAGTTGTAAACAATCTTTTATGGTAAAGTTTCGGCCAAACTGTGAGAGAGTTATCGAAACTAACATATTTACCTAGAGGTGAATCAGCTTTGTTAATTTCTTCGCTGCTAGTCTTTGTTGATTTTGGACATCCTCAAGTGACGACCTTCTTCCATGGCGTTCAACCGACCCGCAAATGATGTGATCAGCCTCTTCTTGAAGTCAAAATTGAAGGTTTTTACGAGTTGCCAACTAAAGGTGGGAAATCCATTAGGGATGTCTTTAATGGGAATCAGCACGAGGCTACGATTGATAACTGGGGCACACAGGAGTGTTTTTGATTCACCATAGCAATACGTTAAAATAGGTTAACCATGAGAACTGGAAGAAATGGCTACTTTTGAGACTGCTGCTCGAGAATTAGGCATGAAAAGGGAAATCACTTGAGAATGGACACATTTCCTAAGGTTACAGACATCCTCAGAGGAAGGTGGGCCCACTCGTCACCCATGTACAAGCGTGGTGTCACTAATGTTGGGTCCAGTCGTACCTCATGGTAGTGACGAATTTGCAGGTGCTGGCATATTGGTAGCTTTTTTTGCACAGCTTATGTCATTTTTAGTGAGTTTAATCCACTTAACACATATCCATATGTACGTCAGCAGAATCGAACGGACAAGTGATAAGAATGAAATCAATGGGAAGGTAGAGATGCTTAAATGATCAGAGTGGCTTGCAAGCGCTCCAGCTGACCAAAAAATAATCTGCTGGCAAATAAAGTCTTACTTAAATGTTAAAAGTAGCATTCGTTTATTTCAGACGATCTGATTACCATTTGAAATGTAACTGCACTTAACTCCCAAAATGTGCAAGAGTTTAGATTATGACAAGTACAGACGCAATGCGATGTAATCTAGGTGCGAGTTCCACTTGTACAGGGTTTTTGCACCTAAAAGCCGGGAAAAACTACTTGTGTATCCATCAGCCTTTGCTTCATAACTCAACTCTATTTGGCACGTTGTCATGCGTTTGTCAATATTTGGCGAATTAGAAATACGAGCATTATGAGGAACGGGGTAATGCCTCCTGGCCCCGCCAGCAATTGTAGTAAGACGTCTTCCCGCGAATCAGGATCTCGGTTTGTGGTTTTAGCTCCTGCTTTGAATCGGACCTTCTTCTCCCTGACTGGGTGCTCTTTACTATTTCCAAAAGATGGAACACGCTGTTCTTTGTCTGGTTACAGCTAACTAAAATATTCGCCCTTTACAGATGAGCAATTACCATGTAAGAGTGATGGGTGATAGGCTTGGAGATAGTTAATAATACGTTCATTCGATGGAGAAATCTGGCAGAATATATTTTTTTTCAAAAATCCAGTTTGACAGGATGGAGGAAGCAAGTGACGACAAAGCAAGGGTCTTCCACGACCTTCTTTCTTTAACTGATAAAAGTTGAACCAGATTGTTTTCCTACTCACTTTAAATATCGTTGAAAGATATAAACACATATTCGTCGGATTTACTATTCTTTTAAAGGAAATAAAGAATCTTCCCATGCAACTTGTAGGCAAGATCACATTAGATAAGTTATTTTCGGAGCATGTACCATACAGCTGCAGTCCCATTACAATGTTCCACGAATCGATTATACCTCCTGGCATATAGGGCCCTTTGCTGCTGACTCGAAGTTTACAATAAGGAGACAACGCCGTTAATGCGAAAGTAATTAGCTGATGTGAGCTACACCGAAAAACCTTGAAAATTCCATTTGGAAATTGACACAACTGTCCCCGCTGCCGGTCTGTCTAAGTGTTCATAAAGGGTTCCAACACCATCGGAGGTCGTCCTGCTTGGACAAATATTCAAATCTAGTCATGAGGGAATTACTAACGCATTTAGCTATTTTTATAATCACCTGGCGTCTTAAAGGTTTGACATGTGGTGTGTGTGGGTGTCTCTTCCAGCTTGTAATCCGTACCGCAGACAGCGTGCGTTACACGTGTAGCCACTGAGGACTTTTCGCCTTTTGCGCAAAATAAAATCACGTAGTAAATTTAGGCCTGCCTTCTTGCCCTTTTCTCACTTCATCGACTCTTCTTTAGAATGACGGACTCCAGTCCCATTAAAGGCCTAGATCTTCCATTTATCACTACGTGAATACAATGCTTGATGTCTTCCACCACCCAAGATCCATAATTTAAAAATCTGAAACCTAAGGTAATCAGAGAAATTTCGGAAAAATTTACATTCCCTCTTCTTTTTCTGCTCAAGATGCCGTTTCCCCTCTGCTAAAGTCACTTTTAGTAAATGCAAATCTGACAAGAATTCTGGCAAAAAGCCACTAGTATCTACAACCAAATTCCGCATGGAAAAGTGTTGTATTGGTATCATGAATGCGGACGAAGTGCATATGAACGGTGCAACAGGATACCCATCCGCAATAAACATCACAATCGTACACGTCTGACCTTTACTAGTTTACGTAAACCTTGGCAATGCAGTAAAGCGCAAATCTCCATTTTGAACCGATCATTACATTTCAAGCAATTTATACCCATTTGCATAACCCCTATAATTGTCTTTCACAAAAGAACTAGTTTAGGAAACAAGTTACTATCCCAGACAACCACAATGCTTTCCTTTCTGGCATAGTTTTTTGGAAAGCCTTTCTTATGCCATTAAGTACGGCCTTTTACAGATTGTCGGTGCATACATAAGGACGGTTATTTGGAGTTTCCAATGGATGCTCCGGCATTTGATTAGTTCAAAAAGCAAAACATTTCCAAGTGTAAAGTATGTAAAAAGCACTCATCTTGCAAATAAAAAAGCTACAGTAAAATAATGCACTTTATTGCTCTTCTGCAAGCCAATGTATCTCAGACAAAAGTGTAGACAGAATATCAAGATGTAATGCAAGAAATTTGGCATAAATGCTTCACCTTTCCCCTAGCATCTACTAAACTTTTTAAACTAATGAGTTGGACTTGTAATAACTAGTGAAAAAGTAAGCATAAGTCAATGAGAGATAAACGTTCTGCTATTATTTTAATAGAAGCATCGCTTCCATTGCAAAAGCTTCAGCTTGCATAACAAAGATAAATGGCAAAGCAGCCTAAGGACTATTTATCTTGTAAGATTTTGTATTCTAAATACCTTGCATCATGCACTCTTAGCATGGCTTCTGCTAAAGGAATCTCAATGTATTCTGGGGTTAGAAACCACCCGACAGGCGGAGGTAGTACCCATTCAATTCGCGAAGGAGCCAGAAGGCACCTAGCCCCAAAACTAGTGTGATTTTCTCTCGACAGTTCTGTGGCGTCCCAAGACTTCCCTAATGTAGTAAGACATAATACTTGAGCAGAATATATATGTAATACGATAGTGGTTTATCCCCCGTTATTGGTAAGGAGCCACTTTTGTACTTTGAATTAGCCCTCTTGCACCTCGCTGGGTGGGCTGGCCTTCGGGTCATGCCAATAGCCCAGACACCTTCTCTGCGCTGAATATACATTCTGCCCAGTATTGTCTTCTTTCATCTTCAGGGAGTCTCGGGACGCTACATATATATTCGGCACAGCGAAGGCATTTGGGCTACTAGCTTGACCCGAAGGCCAGCCCACCCGGAGTGGTACCATGGCCAAGTCGGAAGTCAAAAGTGGCTCCACGCCATCGTACTACAGTTCCACATAGTTTGTGATTTCGGTATCTTTATGAACTGCACTGTAGATGGAGCATTCGTTTGCTTTGTTTGCATAAAGAATGGCCAATACTTTGCAGCAAGTTAATTTCTGCTGCCCGTTACCATTTATAGAAATATTTGCCTATAAAAGAGCAGTAATGTAGTAAAATTTACCTTTGATTCCTGCCAACTAGTTTGCTATTAATGCTTTGCTGTTCGATCCTCTTCCCAAGTTCAGGTGCAGGGAAAAGTTAAAATAACTGGTCTCTATTTGTAAAATTTGATAGTCTTCAAATAATTAACTTTAATAGCTCCATATTGGACAAATTTCAATTGCCCCATTCTAGTGCCACCTCATTTGCTAACATCTCCCTTGCCAAAAAAGGTTTGAGTGTTCGCCGTTTGAGAGTTATGCAACACCGATCATTCTTTCCTTGTAATACTTTCGCAGTAGATGCTCCCTTTCTATGATGTTAGGGTCTAGCAATCACCCAAATAAGTCTCTTTTTGAATTGAGCTCCCTTGCCACTGTCATTGATGGGAATCGCTACTTTGAGAGGTCTTTCAAATCAATCGTACTGGGTCATAAGATTGTGGATACGAATGCGGATATGGCCTGGAGGCCATAAAGTCGAAGTAAAAGGGACAAGGCATAGCGACTCAGCAGCCGGAGTAGTGGCGCATCCAGCCAAACGAAAACAACATCACTGCAAGAATTCCCTTTTTGTAGGCTTGATTGGCCAGTCAACAAATATTAAAATAACATGTATTTCATTGCAGGTGACTTAAAATGCCTATCACAAGAAGCAACACACAATGATGCGATACCTCCACGTTGGAGGCCCCAAGTACCACCCCAAAAAGCCGTAATGCCTCCACGCTGGAGGCTAACTAACCAATAGAATTTGCGCCTCTCCTGCTTGAGCCCTTATATATAAGCGCGTCTCATCGTCAAGGCTACTCAAATACCCTTCTTTGTGTACTCGAATCCCTATCCTACTTTGATAAATTATTTTTGACAAAAAATGGGCATGATTTTGTCAAAGATCTGGACAACCCTGTTTCAGTCACGCAAGGAGGCACGAATTCTGATGATCGGTCTAGACGCTGCCGGCAAGACTACTATCCTCTATAAGTTGAAACTCGGTGAGACCACAGTTACCATCCCGACCATTGGCTTCAATGTGGAGACTGTGACCTAAAAGAATAGTAATTTCACTGTGTGGGATATTGGAGGACAAGAGGTAATCCGACCACTGTGGTCGTACTACTACCCCGGGACCAAAGGTGAGCCACGCCGATGCAAAGGTATTATGGCACTGGGGCGCCTAATCGGGACCCCGTCATTACATGCGGGCCATATTTTCCACTAATTTCTACTCCTTTCCCTGACATCAATGGTTGGTCGTATTTTGGACTGAAAAATTGCCTATCAATTCAACTTGGTTTCTCCGTTTCAGGGATAATATTCGTAGTTGATTCAAATGACAGAGAGAGAGGATGAGAGACGCCAAAAACGAGTTATTTAGAATACTAGAGGCAGATAAATTGAGAGATGCCTCACTCCTCGTTCTGGCCAATAAACAGGTAACGATTGATTGTATTTCCACTCCAGTCACCCACCAAAATACTAGCATTTCGGTTTTACTGTAGGATCTCCCTTATGCAATGAAAACCTCGGAAGTGACGGAGGCGCTGGGATTGCATAAATTGCCCTCACATCGAAAGTGGTTTGTTCAAGGCTCCTGTGCAGTATCTGGTGCGGGGATATACGGGGGCCTCGATTGGCTCGGTAATGAAATCTTGCGTTCGAGCAGTTAAGTAAAGTCCCCACAGAAAGTTTTTATAAAAAAATTAGAAATTACGTGTGAATTCTTCATTGCGCTTTCATATAAAGTGGGATACAGAAAACACCTGACCACTTCGATGAAATAGATTTGATTTATGAAACGTAGTTCCTGGGTGTCTGCATGGATCCTCTCGAGGTCCCAATCATAGTAGGTTACAGAGAGGAACTGGGATCGAGGTGACTTTAGCATGGACACGCAGGGGTAAGGAGAGGAATGCGATGGGTGCATACGTGACTGGCTGTCTACTGAAGGCTGTTGAAGACTCAAGTTGATCTCGGTCTAGTATGTTTCTAGACTTGGCTCACCTAGGCCTTGCAGTTTGTAGTGGGGAACTTAAGTTGCACCAACATGTGATGTCAACCAAACAGGAAGGACTGAACGAGAGCTCGGTGTTTCGGAATTAGCTATGGAAACGCGAACCATAGAAAATCAACAAAGAATGCTTCCGGTGATTGCAGACAACTAGGGCAAAATGATGAGCCGTTTTACGATGCGATTGAAATTAGAATTTGCCTCGGTATGTGACTCAATGATAATTCGAGAAGTTTTCGCATTGATAATTAGACAAACATTTGCCCCCGTAAAGAAGACTTCAGTACGCGAAAATTTTGCGCATAGTGACAGAACCTTTCCCACCTTCATGTAATTTTGAAGCATCTCAGATAACGGGTACATCAGATCTGCCAGCCTGTCATCACCTCTTTACACTTGCTTCTCCTTGAGACTGTTATACAAATCGGATGCAGTCGGCGGTCCTATCGAGGGCAGATTAATGTCTTTCAAGAGCAGCACCCCGTACTCTGGCACAAAAAATAGGTTTCTGAATCATAAGTAAGTATTAAAATCGTATCAACATGAGTGAAAGGCACAAATCCTCAAAATATGAAGGGAATAAGTATTTTCCGTGATTGCGCAAATTCTGAAAAGTGCTCCAAATACCAAAGGTGGTTGATGACACCGCTGCACAGCTGATTGGATAGGACGAAGAGGAAGACGGCAGTAAAGGGCATCAAGTGGAAACCCAGAAAGACATAATTTAACACGTAGAGAGCAATCTCCAGAGAAAAATGTGGGCATGTGACGTATGTAAACATATATCCCTTTGGCACTAGATATGTGTTTTGCTTATCTACAAAAAATGGACCAACTTTACCCATAAAAATAATGGAAAAGAGCAGTAAAAGGATAATGGAAGGTTAGAAATTGCATGTTCCATTAATACTTAGTGGAGCCAACCCTTGGATGCACATATCCGAGTATGTGCGAGCTGCCGCATCACGAGATGTTGTAGCGTCATTATAAGAACAGCGCAAAACATGTAACTGATCACAGAAACCATTCCACGTTTATCTAAAATCAAATCCAAAAAATCCTAGGTACTTTATTTCATAATGTCAAAGAATCCCCACGAGAGGAAATCAAGTGTAAATATGCATAGATGAAACAAATATACCAACCTGCATACCGACTGCTCCAATAGATACAGGGGGACATAGTTAGGTAGAAGAAATGACCAATAAAATAATGAGCAACAGACATTTTGCTATTGGAAAAAACATGCACGAAGAGGTTTTCATAGAGACGCTTTAGCGCATGGCAAAACATCGCCAAAAGTGCAGCGTTCGTGGCAGTCGCAGAACCTACGTAGTTCCAAATAAATCTTCCACAAAAAGACTTACAATGACGGTATAATGCCACAAGTAATGTCAGCAGAGAAACAATCACAGCGGTTACGTAGAAATGCGCAAAAAATCGCTTAGGGACTTGAAGTAAGGGGTATTTACTCTCCTTGATTGGGGCGCATTTGCCGAATAGAAAGATAGTTCTGAGGAGGGGAATGGAATGGCATACTTGCGGATATTTGTACAACAAAATGGAGGCAAAGGAAACAGTTGAGGCAAGCATGTATACAAAAATCACAGAATCCCGCACGAAATCGACGACGCCAACGTATGGCATTTCAAAATTAGAACTCGACGACTTCAAGGTCTTCAAATATGGTTTACCTTCGCGCCATGTTTTTGTACAGAAAACTTAATTAAAGACTGTGTGGCTTCATAACAGCCATGTTAGGGCGCCAATGGTAATGTTCTTAATATGCGTTGCATGGAATATATTCACTGTCCAACTATGGGTGGGATTAAATAAAATAAATATATTACTATACCTCTCTATGGTTTTGTCATGCAAACAATGCCAAATGCGCTCTGTAAACTTTCTTATAAAAGACAGTATGCAGACAGAACGGACCTTTGTGCTTGGTAATTCTACAACTGGGTATAAAAGTCATTGTTAATACTGCATTCGATTCGCCATTTAAATAGTGTATGATTTTAAGGCCGCAGTTACGTGTTTTTTAGCATCGAGTGCCTGTTTAATGTCTAGGTTAAATCCGTGCGCTAGTGACTAGGTCGTCTTCGCAATGTCCTCTAGCTTACCTCGTTTCATTTCTGAGAAGGAAATAGCTGAGCGAAAGCTAAGAGATGCTGCAGAGGGTAAAAAAGAAGAGCCCTATGACCCTCGGCCTCTTTATGACCGTTTGCAAGTGAGTTCAATGGGCTACAATTATGTTTTAGGCCGAGCGTGCTCGTCAGCAGGAGGAGTACGAGGCATCTACAGCTTTCAAAAACCAAATTCACCGGTTAGATCCGGATGAGGCTGCATTTTTAGCCAAAATTGATCGTGAAAGATGCCTTTTGCAAGAGTCAGTTGACCAAGAGGCTGAACAATTGATTCAAGAGGCTAAAATATCCTCTTCGTTTGCCCTTAGTTGTCCTTTATTCCCACCATGCTTTTAAATCTTCCATGTCTATCCTCTTGTCATAAAACTTTCTTAACTTCTGATTACGCGGCTAACAGATCATCTTTAATGAAAGTTTCTGTTTCGTCTTCCTCAAATGCTGAAGTATCGGTTAGACGCCCTCCAATACCCTCTTCTTCAACGCCCCTTAACCAAAGGTCTCTGTTAGCTGGAATTAAGCGCAAATCGTAGGTATCTATTTTAGTGTGTTTTACAAGTTTGGCCAAGTTTCATTAACTTATTTTATTTCAGATCGCAAGTGCCGAAGATTGACGCCAAGAAGTCCCACCTCGATGGGGCCAATAGTGAGTGCACAAATGGCAATTTCTTTCCGTCCCGATATTTGGCCTCATCTCATATTTTTCTGCAAATTTGCCTTAGATGACTTGGAGTCGTCGCCCTCTGACACCACCGTTGATCTAACAAAATCTCAGGATGAGCTTGCAAGTGAGCTTATATTGCAGAATCGGGACTTTCTGCTATCATTCAAGATCCTTTTTGAGATGAAGCGCCCCTGCTTCTCGCTTGCAGGGGAACGCTCTATACAGGTCGTGATGTAGTGTGCTTCTGTTGCCTTTTTTGACCTGCTTCTAGGAAGTTATTTTGACCTTCTATCTTAATAATCACGAATTCGACGTTAAACTGCTTTTAGAATGTTTAAACCGTCCTCCAAGAATGCATCCTTTCAATCTTTTTTTGCACCCTCTTGTCTTAATGGCTTTGCTCATGATGCTTATTTTCACTACGCATTCAAAGATATCTCTGAAACAGTCCTCTTGCTCCGGTAATATTCCTGCTGGTACTGGGGCCGACATCTCCCTGCATGAATTCGATTGTCAAATATGAATCTATACCCTAGTTAATTTAAATTGCTAATTTTTTAATGTTCTACTGGGAGTGTTTTTTTTTTTTCGCTGATCATTCCCGTTCCTCGCATATCATTGACCCCTATCTCGTTTGCCACTCAAGCTTAACTCTGTTCCCATCTTAAAACGATGCCACCGTGTCATACTCTCTTTCCGAAATGCAGTCTGAAAACCTCGGGATTTAAAATAACCTGCTCTTGTGCAGAATCGCGTTGACTGATGTTCGAGTCGTTGTAACCCATACGGTGAATCTTCTGAGGAACCTATGTCATACTCTTGTTTTTGAGTCCCTTCCCACTCCTTTCCTTTAGACAACGTAGAACCACAGCTCTCAAGCCCCAACAACGACCTCCCAAATCCTCTGAATGAGGTTTCACCAAGTGAGTTTTATTAAGAACTTGTTCTCGCAAACCCTGAAAGGCGATCACACTTCTTGAGCAGCATTACTGATTTTCGCCGTTCCTGGGCTTAAAATTCCAATTTCTCCACACATTCAGACGTGGCACAAGCAACTCCGACACCGGCTTGCTTGTTAGCCGGTGTCTTGCCTGGTTTGGAGGCTTACGGTGACTCGGATGAGAGTTCTGACAACAGCGACAGGGATTCCTCCTCGGGCGTTGAGGATGCTGCCGTCATTCTCTCCTCGATTGCCCTCCTTCGTGGCAAGCAGGCCCACGAACCAAATGTTGGTGAATAGGCCCTCTCTTCCTTTCCCCATGTCTGATTGTTACTAAGTGTACAAAGAAATTGATGTGCTAACAGCAACCTCTCGTCTGCGGATCAAAAGGCAATCGGGTCAAAACCAGGTAACTATTATCCTTTGGCCAATTCCAACACCAAAAGAGGCCTTGAACGCGCAGTCGGGGTGGGAACCCCCAGAAGTCGGAATAACTTGCAAAATTTGGTGTAGAGGCTTTCATTTTCTTTGAGTAATTTCCTGGAACTTCCGTAGATGGAGCGTCTTTGCTTGGATCTCATTGATGTGCTAAGAAACATGCTCTTACAGCCAATGAGTTATTTCATCGTCCGTTCCTCCATTCCCGCTAAAGCCTCGTGCCTGGCGGTGAAAGATACCTTTGGGGATGAGATTAGTACCCCCACATCGCCTATCTTCTGCTTTGATACATGCCATGTTTGATGTCATTTGGATCAGTGGTTTTGGGAGTGAAGTTGCGAAGAGTTGGGTAAAAGTCACGGAGATGACCAGAACGAAAACGTCTCAGTGATATGACAAGGTAACAGGAACCAGAAGTGACTGTGTTTATCCTCAGATAGCCTAGCAGAACTGAAGAAGTCGAGATGCCCGCGTTTCGAACAAGAGTGCAGGGGCAAATTGAAGAAGTTCGATCGGTGAGACAATGTCAGAGCAGGTGAGAACACGTATGTGATCAAAATTAAGCCGCAAGGAACCTGTGGATGGGCTACCACTCCAAGAGATCAAGACATCCATCAATAGGCCCTAGACGGCCAACGTTTTGAATTTTTACAGCCCTTTGGGTTGCAGTGAAAAAGCACTTAGAACAGTGACAAGAACCAGAAATTTTATTTAAATGAATGCAACCACAAACTTAACGCGATCAGTAGAGTACGAAACCCAAGCCCTAACAAAATGGCACTGCTTAGCCAGGTGAAACTATGACCTTAGAATTACGGGGTAACAAGGCAAGTCAAAATAATAGGCGAATCGAAAGGCGATTATATAACGGCCAGCATAAAAATGCATATGAGGCATGACAATAAAAGGCACGATACACTAAAGCGGTAATTCCCATGCATAGTGGTAAGCAAGTCAATTATCTTCGCCGAATTAGCTCTGCAGGGTCCATCTTAGGAAAAAGACCTAAAAACCTTTAATGACAATAAAATCAGGAAAAATAATTTAAACAACTGGGAGACATCTAGTGCCAACTTGGGTGCAGATGAGACCACAAGGAAAGATTGTAATAAAAGATCCAAAAACATTATTATTTGAACATATTAATGGAAGAAATAGTGATTGCAAGGAAGAACAAATGTGAGGAGTTGGGAGGATAAGTTCCCTAAGGAGAACGTAGTGATATGCCTTAGACAAGACGATTGTCAGAAGCAAAGCTATGGAGAATTGAAAGAGCTTAAATCATAAGGCATCAAAGACAAACAATGCAGCAGTGGATTAATGAATTAAATGTTAACTTAGAGGACAGCACATGCGATCTTCTTTTCACGGAAAGGGTTGTCTTTAGGAGGGAAGAGAAGTGGGTCATTCCGCTCACGCTGTGTAATATATTGTACAAGTTCAAAGAGTGTTTTCGAGAGATTAATCGGCTTCACTCGAGCATGAATCTTCAATGCTCGCACCTCTTCTCTCTTTAGCTCGACATCTTGACGCCGCACCATGTTCAATCTGCGCTATCTGGGCGGACAACTGCAAACACCACTGGTTGTCATCTGTATTATCACTAATAAGAGAAGAATGAAAATACCGTCAAAAAAGCCTAAGCTTTTGCAATAATTGTGCGCCAGCATAACTGTGCTAAGGTAAACAAGTTCTAATGTCAGTTTTTTTACTCATTCATATAATTTAAAATGAAAAATGGCAGAATTTTTTTTGCAAATACCTTGTTTGTTAATTGCGAAAAGTGGGATAGTTCATGTAGTTATATTGTTTTTTGAAGTAGTTGGCTGCTGCTTTTTTGCCTGTTGTAAAGAATTCAGCGCACATTGTGTTTACCTTTAAAAAATTGTTCAGACTGATGCTTGCCATTAAAAATAAACCACATCTTTTTGTGACACCCACTAATTGCATGTTCGATTACACACCGTATGGTTGGCGGTACATTTGAAGCAAGTAGTTTGCCTATTTTCCTTTATATTTTATAAAATTATGGAGTACGATCCAGCCTCTCCTACTGAGTAAGCTTTCTGCAATATAAGTGTTAAATTGTAGTGAAATGGAGGACAAGAACGACAGCTTAGATGTGGGCGCGATACCTTTGCCGGGTTTGCATTTCTGCGTTGTTTATTCCCTATAATTTAGATAATGTAATGCAAGATGAAATTGCGATTTTCTCTTCGACTGCGATTTATAACATTCCATTGCCTCCTGAGAAAGTCACACCAGTTGAGGATTTGCCCCCACATCGCAAACGTTTTTCTCCTCCACCTCCGCCGCCTCCACCCATTGACAACCCAACTGATGTCTCTAACAAGTCAGATCCTTCCATTCTTTCTTTCCGAATTAAGGCAGTGAGTAAGCGTTCTCGTCCTGGTACCCTGCGCACCGGAGTTTTGCCTACAAAGGCAAAGCACCCTGAAATCGAAGCAAAAACGGAGCTTTTTAAACCCACTAAAGAGGATGAACTTGAAATTATGGCCGAGCTTAATAATGAGAGTGTCGCCGAATTGCAAAATTCAGCCCAAACATCTCTCACTGCGATATCAGAAGCGATTCTTGCTCGTATTAATAATGCTGCGCAAGGTGAACGACAGCTTTCGGCTGTACTTCGGGAGATAAATAAAGTGAATGAGACTTCCAGTTCAACCACGGATAATAAGGTTTCTGAATTGACCATTGGGGCATCGACGCAGCCAGATTCATCGGAAGAGCCTTCGAAATCCCAACTTGCTGATCCTCAAGCCGCTTCGACTGTCGACAAAGAAAAGTCCGAAAATCCCAAGGTTCGATCACGTTCCCGGTCGAGGACGAATGTTATGGACTTATCAAATCGTAGGAAGCGGCGTGCATCTTCAGAAAAACGGAAATCACGATCGAAAAGTTTGAGACGATCTCGATCACCAAAGAAATCGACAAAAAGGCGTAGGTCTAAATCTCCTGAAAAGACTAGTAAGCGCTCTCGTTCACGTTCTCGATCAGCTCGTCGCAGATCGCGCTCTCGGTCCAGGTCTACCAGGCGCCGCTCACGGTCTCGATCACTGCATCGGAGCAGGGTGCGTTCTCCCGTCCGAAGACGCCGATCTAGATCGTCTAGAAGGCGAAAATCACCATTGTCTCCACGAAGACGCGATAGGGATTCCTCCCGCTCCAAATACAAACGTAGTGATGTAAAACGGTCCAGCGGTTCGTCTAAAAGACGATCATCCAAATCTAGGAAGCGAGAGACTACCGTGAGAATTACGAAGAAGGAGTCGGGCAAACTTCCTTCCGGCAAAAAGGACGAAAAACCACGATCTAAGAATAATACATCAACTAAGCAGAGTAAATCAAAGACAAACGATGCTGAAAAATCCAAGTCTTCTGAACAGAAGAGTAAGAAGACCGCTAAGGCGACGCGCTCTTTATCTTCTAATAAGGATGAACGGTCGAAAGGGGTAAAGTCCTCATCAAAGTTGTTTGAGGCGTTTTCAACTGAAAGCCACTCGGAGGATGGCGTAGTACAGTCCAAACGGCCCCAAAAGGAGGAGAATGGATCGGTTTTGGGTGATCGTGTCGGTCCTCATACACCTGAATCCCCCTCCCATGCAGTTCCTACCACGAAAGCTCCGACTGACGTGGTAACTCAAAAATGTACAGCGTAAAAATAAAATAAACTCCACCGATGTAGCAGCATTTATGCCCGCTTTGTCGACTGTACATACAATTTGCTGAGCCTTTTCCCTTTCCAACACTATCACAAAAGTCCTGTAATTTTGTGGCGTTTAGTTTGAAATCCATCTATTCTATCGCCTTGCCTTGTTCGTGTTTATGCGTATAGTTTGATGGATTGGTTGTTGTATTTTTTTCTCTTTTAAAGACTGTCAGAAATGGTTTTGAACGAGGGGAGTGCGGCGCAACTGAGGCATGATGCCGGGACAGACAAGACTGAAATGCATCCCTCTTATTCTTCAACTTCCTCAACCACTTGTCACACTCCTTCTTCTAGCACTTCTTCCTCTTCCTCTACGGTCTCAGACTGTACTGCCTCACCGAAAAAGTGCACCACTGGAAAGTTGGGTACGCGAAAGCGACTTACTTCTGCGGTCTACGAATCCGATGATTCTTCCCCCAACGCACGCTATCGGCTGAGACGTCGAAAGACTGTGCATCAGGCTCGTGGGGATGCTGGGACTCCGCTGCAGGATTACTCATGTTCAAAACCTTCACCAGAGGTGGCTGAATTGCTTCGGTAAGCGGGACCTTCAGCATCTTTTGTAAATGAATATTGATGTGCGAAGTGATTAGGTGTTTTGAAAAAGCGAATACAGAGTTCATGCCGTGTGATCTTGCCACCTTTCTGTTCCTTAATCGGTCGCCCTTAAAAACGATGTGAATATCACTGTTTCTTTGGCTGCATCCCCCCCTCGTAATCACTTTCTTAAAGCAATTCTTGCAAAAATGTTGTTTCACCGCGGTTACTTTTGATGATGCTATGGGTTATACCCCTCTTGAAGTAGTTCTATTACCAACACCCAGAGAGTCTGGGTTCCATGGCACCATAACGAAGGCCGAATCACAAAAAGCTGAACTAGACCGGCATTATCATTTGATGATTCTGCGTTGCTCATCAGGAAACAATTCGAATTAGTTAGGAGCGAGAATCATACAATAATGGTCCATCACAGTGAGTGGACTGCTGAATTTAACTGTGGTTTTCCGTCTCATTTGAGCTGAGTCTGCCTGTCACACTGTTTTTACAAACTGGTTTAAAGAGGTTAATATGATAGGTATTTCTTAGATCTCATTAGTGATTTACAGCATTCTCGTTCTCCATGCCGATCAACTTACTTAGACGTACGTACTCGAAAGCTATACTCTTTGATGGAATATGACGCTCCGGGCCTTCTCTTAGGTCGTAATGAGTCGTATTAGCATAAAAAAGTTAATAGTGATGAAGACTGTAGCGCCCGTGGGGTTAACTTTATTTCAAATGATCGTCGATCTGTTGCATGAGTACACGGGTTCTGTCAGCTTCATCACTTATTACTTCGTTGTGAGGATCTTTTTCCATCGAAATTCTGGACTTATCCAATCTGAGCTGCACTTTGTTATCAACGCTGATGCAGAATTTTAAATTGGATGAGTTACTGACCAGTTGACTCAGTTAGTTCAGTATTCCGTGTGGTTTGGTTTAAAAAGTTGGTTGTTTTATGCTTCAACGATACCAGTGTTCTTTTCTGTCTTTCTAAGGCATACGAGTCTGGAGTTTGCGTCATTATTAATGTGGGAAGACCGAGAGGCTGGTACTCAAATCGCGATAAATCCAAAAGACATCTATTCAGAGTAAATGCCAATCCATTACACCCACCAAGCCATCTCTGATGAAAACTTTTAGGCAGTGTGGAGTTTTATCCCTATCAGAAAGGATATCTTTCCATTTTAGACCCTTCCAAGTGAAGCCAATCGAACATTTTGCACGGACTGCTGGTGTCCCAACTCCAGATTATATACATGTATTGGAAAACGACTACGCCCTCTTGGAAGATCGGTTACGCCGCGAGGGTATCAACTTGGCCTCGGAGGTTCTTTCGCTTCAACGGCGGGGCGGTGGCGGTGATTGGGTCTGCGACTGTGCTGTGCCTAGTGCAGACGAACTCCTGTCTGGAAAGCTAGCCTGTGGCCAGGGCTGTATCAACCGTGCTGTCTACATTGAGTGTGGCTCACGATGTCCCGCTCACGCCGTCTGCTCGAATCGCCAGTTTCAACTGCGTCTCTATGCTTCCACAGAGCCGTTCTACTGTGGACCGGAGAAGGGTTGGGGCCTTAGAGCCCTGCAAACCATTTCAAAGTGAGTGGAACCACCACATCTGCCTTCATCCGCTTATCGGTGGTGGTGTTAAACTAGCTTTTGGACTTGCAATAGAATTCACATGCTGATAAACCAATATGGCAATTTTCTGGATTGATTCAGGTCAGCACACGCTGAACTTGTGGTGTTAGTGGTTGCTGCAGTTTCAGCTCCTCTCGGGTCCTGAGGAGTTTCGCTTTGTCTACTTCCGATTCTTCCAGACATGATCCACAATCTTGAAATTGCTTATCTTTGCTAGGCGCATTACATCTTGATTAATATCGCATGCCTTTCCTGAACCAAGTTAGACCAGTGATTTCATCCTTTAATGAAAGGTGTGATAGTTTTGATGCCTTGCGCCATTTTCCGTTTATTTGACGATGGATCTACTATTACAATGCCAAATATTTCGGTAGACATCAATTGAAGTCCCTTGATAGCTAAAGATCGTCATTGTTTTCTTTTTCTCCCTCTAACCTAGCTACTCATGTATTGCTCTGTTTTAGTACATCTTCGGTTTTCAGTTTAATCTAGTAAAGTTTCGTTCCCCCAATGGCAACATTCTCTTTCCATTTACCAACTTTTCTAGAAGTTAGCATTTCACTTTTGGGAGGTGGCATTAGGATGGATACTTGGAGAATGTCTCCATTGATATCTTATGGTGGTTACGAGTGTATTATTGGTGTTTCTGGTGTGTGTTGGCGTTACTGTGTGAGCTTTTTTTTAACACTGCTGACAGTGCTTAGCCCTCTATTCTTATCACGAACTTCTTTACCATCGCATAATTCCTGAACTGTTCGGTGATCGCTGAAATCATGGGGAAAAGTTGTTAAATGTCTCCTTCAGCTCCATGCACTTGATTGGTTTCTCAATGTCGCAAGCGATGGCGTTTTTACGGCCTTATTTGTCCTTTTGTGAGTGTTTTTTACTTGTAACTCTATTGCTAGCACCGATGTCCAGAGCAAATGGATGACTACCTAATTTGAATCAAGGGAGTACCAAAGTGGTATGACGTTTGCTTTTCATTCACCAGCGCCACAGCACAGCGGTCGAGTCATTCATGCTATTATTACACAAAGGAGCCGGGACCCCCATCATGTGGGACATTAAACATGCTTGGTTGAACACGCAACTTACACAGATGTATTTCTGGTGTCTAGCTCTCATAACAGTGTTCGGGTGAACTGAAAATATCAAAAAATCAGGAACAAAGGTATTCTCTGAAAGTGTAGCAAGACACATCAGTGTAATCGGGAAAGAGTATACCCACGAGGAGAACGCCGCAGGGCTCATTGGGTAGCCTAAACCACAAAGAATGTGGAACCCACGTGGTTAATTGAAAAATCAACACAAAACTTATTCTATTAAACAACGGTTATATTTAATCACCATGGCAGGGCTTTGGAATCCGTTTTACTGTTGTCCTGTGTTTGGTTTTCCACCCATTCTACTGTGGTTGGTGTCCCGTAGCGAGCTCATTTTGTGCGCCAATCACTTCCCGTAGAAGCATTCACCCGAGAGCCATGCTTTCAAGGCGACGTCTTTTGCATTAATTCCTTCCTCTTCTGTTGTTATTTCACTGCTACTCAGCCAACTATCCGGGTCACTCCCCGCCTTTCCTTCTTCATTACTCGCTCAAGCCTTGAGCTATTTCCAACGTTTGATGCTGTTTAGATAGTCCTGATGCTGTAATTTCCTGCTGATTTGGTCATCCACACCGGACGCCTTCTTCGCTCTAACGGGGTGATTTCACCAGCAGTGGGGCTCTAGAGTTATCCCTGCATACACTGGAGGGTATACAGGGCTGGTCGGTGGCTTACCTGCTTATGTATACGGAAAGGCTACCATAATTACTCGCACAGTGACACTTAAAACAGACTCTCTCCTACTGAATCTCCATCACAGAGGCACCTTCATCGTGGAGTACGCTGGTGAGGTTATTGATTTCCCCGAGTTTCGACGTCGTATCCGGCAATATGAGAAGGCGAAGCGAGTGCATCACTACTTCATGTCTCTCGGTCCAGACCACTTTATCGACGCCGGTGCCAAGGGCAACTGGGCGCGCTTTGTCAACCACTCCTGCGAACCCAATGCGGAGACCCAAAAGGTCTGTCTTGCTCTTTCCCTCTCTACCATTGATCTCCACTGCTGTAACCCTTTTTACCAATTTCAGTGGATGGTGAATGGGCGGATTAAGATAGGCTTCTTCGCAATTTGCGATATTCCGGCTGGTGAGGAAATCACCATCGATTACCAGTTCGTCCAGTTTGGGTATGTGGTTGATTGAACGCCCATCAATGTTTACCGGAGGCGATCACATCAAACCGGAACTTTTGAGTCCATTGAAAATAGCGAAAGAACGAATTTTGGGGATTGAAAACTACATAGTCTGTTGCATTTACGCACTCGTGCTAGGGTTTACCTAATGCCCAGGAAAGATATATCACCACTAGTCCATTGTAGTCAAAATCGGGAAGCTGTCTTGGTATCCAGCATGCGCGCGCATGATGAATTTTTGAGGCTATGGAATGGGAGTCACCATGGCGGGCGTCGTCACCCACCGACGAATGTTAGTCTTTAAAATGGTTGTATTCAAACCACTTAAGCGTTATACTACTGAGTGGCTGAGCGAAGGATTTTGTAGATATAGGTAGATACCCATGGGTTTAAGCTGTGCGCTTTCTTTTACAAGAGACGTCATAGTTACCAAGCCATTGCCTCCACGCACGCAGTGCTACAGTTTTCCACCATCTTGACTGCCAGTGTCTGGGGTGAAGTGGCCCACGACATCTTCGTCGCCTATTACGAGTAGCGATAGGACAGACTCATTTTACTACTTCTTGTGACACCGACACGGTTGCATTCCTTTTTATGTCTATATGCAGAATTACAAATTATGAATCGACTTCACTTGCTTCCGTAAAAACTCAGCTGTACTGCCGTTTTTACTGTTGATTCAGCGTGACGGAGCAGAAGTGTTACTGTGGTACGCCTTCTTGTTCCGGTATTATGGGAGCTACGAGCAAGCAATTGCAGGATAAAGTCCGTCTAAAGGACACCAGAGCGGTAGGTATTGTTCTTACTTCGTTGGCAATGGAGTGTAATTTAGTGAGCGTGTTTTTTTTGTCTTCTTTAGGTGGAACGTCGTATTATTCAACTGTTGACTGGAAAGACACTACAAACAGCAATGGACGTGACCTTCCTCATTCAAGTGATGGTCCAGGAGTACCTCACCCGCTACACCCGCCTCGAGTTGTTAAAACTTCTTGTCCACACGGAGACGGAGAGTTATTTGAAACTATTTCGTCAATACAACGGCCTGGAACTTCTCGCTTCCTACATGTGCGATACAGCTCCAACAGACTGGGAGCTGAAGCATCAGATACTCCTCTGTCTGGATCACATTCCAATTACAGAACAGAAGCAAGTGCAGACGGATTCGAGTCTGATGGAGTTTGTGCGTCAATGGACGATGGATCCACGGTACTGCCGATCCCGTAACACTGAAACTGTATCTTCTACAGAACCAAAGGCATCAGCGGATGACTCAAAATGTCTGGACGAATCACAGTTCGCAGAACTACCAAAGGAGATTGATGAGATTAATGAGCAACGGGAACAACAAAAACAGCAACCGGACGCGAACACTGTTAAAGTCTTTTCACCGGAGGAGGAGAAGGCCATAATTGAAGATATTCGTCAGCTGGCCGAACGCATTCTTAGTCGGTGGTTGAAGCTTCCAGTGAGTTTACACCTCACATATCTAGTGCAACCGGTCAACAAAGGAGTGAATTTTTTTTTTTCAAGGTGGAGACCTACCGAATTCCACGTCTCGAGCGCGAAGAGACGGAGCAGTCGATTCTACAATCTTCGTGTTCTTCTCTCATTTCATGGGACGTTTCTTCCACTCAAGATGGTATGAAAGCAACCCTTCATTCGCTTGCTTTGATCTGCATCTCGGGACATTCAAAATATGAGTCGTTTTAATTTGTAGACGCATTCCAGTCTTGGCGTCCAATAGCACAAGAGACAACCAGGAATAAGTAAGTTATTGCCAGGGTTTTTGTATTTATACCCACTGGAAATATCTATAGTGTCGTATTGGGGTGAATATGCGGCTAATCAAATACAGGTTCATCTCGTTAGCTGTTTAGAACTGTAATTTTATGCAATCTTTTTTCTGGAACCGATATTTGCAAAAGAGGTAATATTTTCCATGCAGCTCCCATAACAGCTATTCATGCTTGTCGTCTCCTTTTGGTAAATCTTTGGGTCATACGTCCACCACGAGTAGTTCAAGACTCAACTCAAAAGGGCTAAAAAGACAAAACGATCAGGAAATTCTTTCTCACTGTTGAGTCCTACAGGCTCTGTGGGAGAAGGAATTCAGGTAACTTTTTCGGGTCAAACCTACCAAATGATCAGAGTTCCTGAGCCCTTCAAAACCTCACACTATCACCACGCCATTCTTGTACAGTTTGTTGTCTCTCCCCGCCCATGCATAGATGCTCTCCCTATTTCAATGGTCGGACGGGAAACTTTAGCTCTTCAGGACGAAGGAACCATCAAGATTGTCAGAGCGAAGTCTCCGTAGATCAGAATTTGAGTCGGTTAGAGCGACGAGCTCAATTTGAGGCGGCTGTTGCAGCTGCCGCTGCGACCAACCCTGCAACAACCACTGGCACCACCGAGATCACATCTTCAACCTGCTCCTCTTCATCCTCCAAGGATCTACGGAGCCTATTGTTGAAGACCCTTTCTCGCCAGGCTTTTTCTTCTGAAAAACAAAGTGAAGGTTTTTGTGCTGCGTTACAACAGGCCACCTCTGAGATTTCCGCCAAGATTTGCGAGTTTAACGCGAAAAATGATACTAATGGGGTATGTCCTTATGAGGATGAAATGCTTTCTACTCGTTCATGTAAGTAGCGGGTTAAATTCCGGTTCCACACTTCCCCTTTCAGCTGATCGCCTACCTACAAAAGCTGGCCGGAGAAGATCCCGAGACCAAACTCGAGTTCCCGTGGCGGTCTGCAGTGGATTCAAAGTCAGGTCTTACCTACTACTACAACTCCGTGACGCGAGAAGTTCGATGGGATGCACCGGTCCCGAAGAAGGAACCTTCGGAGGATCGAGTGAAAAAGCACTTCATTGCAGAAATCTATGCGGTCAATCTAAAAATTCTGAAACCATTCCGACTGCCAAACTGCATCACTGGGCGCCTAGAGAGCGATGAGGATATGAAATACGTTGCTAAGAAGGCAAGTATTATACGTTTGTTTCGCTTAGTTGCACCGGTGTGGTAAGGAATTTGAATAAGCTAAATGTTCCGGAGGCGCTCGTATGTCGATCGTGACTGTGTTTGTCTCGGTGAGTATTTCCATAAGCACTCATTTCACCGTGTGAAACGTCTGATCGGCGTATAGCCTGTCGTGTGACGAAATCGTGTGAGAGATGACTTGTTTGGTAAGTACTGGCATTTTTCCGCTTTTGATTAGCACAGAAGGGCTGAGTTAACGGAGGATTTTTGACAAGGAAGCCTAGGATTTTCTAAATGTGACGAATCTGGAGTATATCGCTCCACCCTGGAACCAACACGATGGGGTCGTTATGCAAGCTGTTCTGGGTTGGTTTAGCTGTGCTGGTGAATCTTTCGGAGTCGAAGCTGTTTTCCCGGGGGGTTGAGTTGTGTGGAAAAAGGGATGCTATTTTTACTCTTGAAAATATATTACTTCTATAAATTCTTAGTTTGGTTTAAATACATTTTGTAACACGGCTATTACCTTTTTTCAGTTTGCTTTCGCCTTTGCGAATCGGGAACTGGCTCGACGCAGAAGCGATGAGAAGCCTCGATTGAATCGTCAGACTGTGGATCGTCTTCGTCGTAAAATTACTCGATATTTAACCTCCAAAGGGGAGGTTTACGTTCGTAGTAACATGAGCTCCGTGAGTAATCCCACTGCGGACGGCTGCGACATGGAAATAGACAGTGAGGACGAGGGCAATAACATTTATGTTTGATGCAGACCTCTACCCACCCCCCCCCTTCCTCTCTTCTTTGGCAGCCCGTTTTCGTGCCTTGGATAACCTATTCATGTACATATCAACTAGCAAGCAAAGAAGCGTACGTGTATATCCTCTTTTACTAAAAGCCACTCTTCTCCAACTAGGTTTCAACCAAAAGACAGATCTAGGGCTAATCTCTTTTTCCTTCCGCCCCTGGCTGTGTTATGTCTACTTCTTCTCCATTGGGGAAATTACTCAATATTCCTCTTTGTGTGTCCGTTTCGCAGCATGCTAGAATGTTTTTTTTTGCCCACATATTACTATTACTACTATATATATTATATATTATTGCATATGTACGTATGTGTAGATGTATGTTAGGCGTATGAAAATTTCCTGCTCCTAGTTTCACCTCCCTAGGTAGCTCTCTCTTCTGTCAATCCTCACCTCTCTGCCTCCCTTCTGCCTTTCACGCTCCCTATCAGCTTTGGCCTCTTAAATAGAGTGATTTTTTGAATTTTGATGAAATGATCTTTTTTTACCATATTTACGTGATGACCCGGGTGCGGTCTATGTGGGAGAAAAAGGTCTTTCACGTTTTTGAAGCTAAAGTTATTTTTGCTCTGATTGTCGCCGGTTTTAAAAGGGGATCGCTTTTGACAGCAGTATGGACATTGGTGGAACCATGGTTTTGTAAGAATGCTTAATAACATGCAAAGCATAGCACTTTGAGGCACTTTTAGTTGGTTAATACGAAAGATCTCTGAATTTCCACTCTTGGGTCGTGCAGACCTTTGCTGGAACACAGGATTAACTCTCCAAAACACTATCTCCACTGTTTGGATGTAGACTTACCTCTAGCAAGCTCACTTCATACTTTGCTGATTGGACATTATGCCAAGGCACAATGGAAAAGGGAGGAAATTTGCCCAACACAATATTAGCCCTCTCAATGTTGGGTTCTGGGGCATAGCCAACAACAGATCGAGAAGTGGGTTGATGGAATCCACATCATCAATGGAAGGGATGGTCATGCTGTCAATGTGAACACGATGAACCATGAGTATAGTCGGAACGCTTGATGCCCATTCGTTTAGGAACAAACGACGAGCGAATAATTGGAATGAAGGCAGGATGGGGCCTTTTCAAACCCAAAGTCTTCATGAAAGCCTCAAAATTTTGTGCAGAAAGCTTATTGAAATGTGTAACGCCTTGAAGTAATCATTCCTTAGGATCTGTCATTCCCCGACAATGTGCCGCAAGCTCACGAGCTTCACTTGCATAAAACTTTTTTGTCTCTGGGAGCAACTAATCAAGACCCAGACACCTCTGCTTCCATTTTTCACTTGTCTACCTTATTTCGGACATGATTTTCCAGTGTCAGGAAAAGAGTGTAGTTATCCCTTGGGGAAGGAAATGGGGCTGCTGAAAATGAGGCGGTCCCTTTCTCCTTTCCCCATCCCAAGATATGGAATACCATGTTCTGCGAGACCTTCTGAAAACCTTTCCCTGCACACCTTTTGTGTTGTGTCGTATCAGATCTGCATGAAGTGTAATTTCTGTCTACCTCATATGAACAATTGTGTTTTTGGTGTTTCACGCAAAACAAAAGTCTTCTTCGTTGAAACAGTGCTTACTTTAGCAGTGTGGGGTGGGATAGAATACAAAAGCACAAAAGTTATCCCCATCCCAGTTCACTCGACGTTTACACCTTTTTAGTGGAGTCAGAAAGTTTCGCTTTTCCATAGCCTCATCAACTATCTTTTATACGTTTTCAAAAACAATTCTTATGGCGGTTTCTTTATTTCCTCTTTTTTGTGGCTGCAGTCAACTTAACATTTAAACCCCTGAAATCATTCAGTTAGTGACCCTACTTAAGAGGAAAGGATAGGTCCTTATCCCTTTTACAATAGAATGGAAACGAAGTTTTCACCCCCATTACCTAGCTCATGGCGGAATGCTTCTTCGCAGTGGATAGCATTGGATGAAACCTCTGGGAGATTGCGCCCTGCCAGGCAGAAGCAGTCTTTACCCACATTCCCTAGGATGTATTCACTTTGTTCAAACTGGTGAGAGGAAACAATGATAAGCATCCACTTCAAGACAAGCAGCGGGCAATTTTACCCTCCTCCCACGTGTTCGCAGCGGTAGACCTCAAAAATGCGGTGTTTTCCAATGACAGCTGAAATCCGGAGGGTCCATGGAAGGGGAATTTGAATGTGTGGGGAGGAATAAGAGGTCCTGCTTTAAATCGGCGGCAGAAGTCATGAGTCTGTGAGTTGCCATCGCTCTCACCCCTCCACAGCGTTAAGCCAAGGCGCTGTTGGGGGAGGCTCCACTAGAAACCCCCTCCGTCTCGCCTTCTTACCTCCTGCATCTTCACTTTTAGCAGGCGCAGCCTCCTCGGCTTCGGCGTGCACCATCAACTCCACCTGTTCCCTCTCCTACCCTCTACCTCCCCCTAGGTTTTGACAACGCACAGCTTGCGTCAACAACAGAAACATGAGACATTCAACAAAACCTGATAGAAATCGCCACCATGTGAAGCATAAACGTTTATCTCCAGGCGCGTCCAATGACATTTCCCAACTCTTCTGCTTTCACTTCCCCGTTTCCCCTTCTCCCTCTCACTCCTCGTGTACATAGTGAGGCAATTAGCCAATGGCTGACAATGGTGTGTAAGATACACCTGCCCGTGCATATGTCACACCTGGCCTGGACGTTCACATACACACGCCCATTCACACACTGACAATCGCACTCGCAGACACACACGCACACTTGTGCCATGCCAGCCTCATCGGATGTTCCAAACGGCGGCAGCGGTGGTGGTACGACCCCCCATAACTCCAAATCGCCCCCTTCCATCATATCGCTCCCGCCCTCCCCACCTGCACTAACCCCACAACATCGACGGACTTGTCGGCGACGGGCTACCATAGCAGTTGTGACGATATGTCTCCTACTCACAGCTGTGATTGTCCTCCAAATTGTCATTGTCGGCCTCATCCTCAACTCCCGTCTTGTACAGAATGCCACCGGCGTCCCGCCATTTGTACGCAGTCAGGTTAGTTGAACCGGAAAATTGCTTCACATGCCTATTCAATCCCCTTCCTCTTGCATAGATTCTATCACAGGCTGTGAAAATTATGCGAATCCCTCTTGATAAATGCCGCTGTTATTTTGAATAGGAAGTGGGCAATTCTAGGAGGCGAGTTAGTCATAACTCCTGGAAGTAACTCGACATCGTTTTTTCCGTGCTAAGTGAAGATAGGAGGGGTCAGGTTTTTTCAAACACCGACACGCTAATTGGTGGAAATGAGAATGCTTTTTTTTTCCTGTTGAATCTTGACGTCTTTTCGTGTCTCCACCTCATTCTCGCTATTGAACGCCTCGAAGTATTCAAGGCGGACGTCAACCATAAAGGCGGCGATCGTTACCACTTATTTGCATTTCTTCGTGTATGTAATGGAAATACGGCAAAATCCTCACCTTTATTCTTTTTGGTTTGGACAGAAAGTTAGAGAATTCAAGCAGGTGTGACTTCCGCCTCATGGTACCGCCAACCGGTCGCAGTAGGTATGATTGTCTAGACGGCGCCAGACATTTCACACCTCTGACCATCTGTAGAGTAATAGAAGGCAATTTTTATTTCTATATTCCCTTTTGAAATGGTCCATATTATGCGGCATTTCGAGATGTGCGTTTTCAAAACTGCGCATATCTGTTGGGTTCAGTGTTTACTTTAGCCTCATTCCCCTCAAAGGTCTCTTCATCCTTCTCCTCCTCCTCCTTCCCCTTCCCTTTGCTAGGGATTAAGTAAACACTTGTTTGTGCGAATTTGTCACAAAGCTTGTTGCGATCGTTGGAACTGTGTGACTTTTAGTTTTGTTGATTCTCTTGCACACGTGGGAAATTTAGAATTTGCCTAAAATTTGACCTTTTGTAGCATTTAAGCAGGGTACCAAATCTCCCAGTTTTCGTGAGCTTATCCTGCTTCCCTGTTTAGTATTGTCCAGCTTTTAGTTGATCTAGGCATCATGAAATACGTCTAGCTGGATCTCCTGAGTGAAGGTGGCTCTTCCCACAGCAATTGTCTGTGCTTGAACCGGTTATGCTACTTATTTTGTTCTTCAGTCTTGGATATACCTGAGAGGGTGATTGTGAAAGCTCTTCAAACTTTCTTGGGGAAATATAGATTGGGTTGTTGGGTGCCTTTCTGACCCTATTAGTTTATCATGTTGCATGTTGCCTTTCCTTTGGATCGTAAATAGAACGGCAGGAGCAGCAGCAACAACAACCGCGAATATTTTCAAGACAATGTGGCACAATGACGTGACATTTGCTGGTCAAATTGCTGTTCTTAGTTAAACGAGAATTTTAAAATCAGTCAGAGTTACCCAATTGAGCAATTGCTAACACGGAAAGTGATTCTCCCCTGAACCAGTCTTGCTTCGGTAGGTTTTTTTTTCCAAAAGATCGACGGATTACTCGATTGACACAAGTGTGCATAAAAGTGAGAGTGCTATGGATTTGGTGGGTAGATCCTGACCTCCAAGATGTTCTCAAAGTTGGTTAAAAAGGCCTCTTAAGGCAACAAAGTCAACTGTCAGCACCAGCCAGTGGACTTGGTGCTACTACAGGCGCCCTATATTTAGACAGGCTCGCATTCCTAGCCACCACAAAACACATGTTTTCACGTTCAGTGTCGAGGTGGACCGTGGAATTTGCAGAAGCAGCTGCATCTACAACTGCAGAAGTAGTAGTAGTAGTAGCAATGGTAGTAGCAACAGGTTGTGTGTGTCACTAGGAGAAGAGGGAGAACAGGAGGCGGGGAGATAGGTGGGAAGGGGGGAAGGTGGCCGACCGATCCCCCTATAATGTCAGGAAGGTGGAATGTACAGCAGTTTTTTGGCAGGAATTACGGCAACGATGGAAAAGGTCACTGCGCCAGGGATATACCCAATCAACTAAGCAGCTGGAAGGAAGGGGGGGAGGAGGATGGACTAATTGACAAGATGCAGACACCTCTGAGAGCTCGACTACTCCACCAGGTTTGACGGTGCTTCGGTCAGATTATTAAGCGATAAATTTACATTTGTTAATTGGCGTTTTCATGACATTAGCCATTCGTTGATCTGTCGCATTTAGTGTGGATTTAGTATCCTTACGCTTCATTCAAGAGGAATTTTGACCAACATAGACGTGTGGTGTAAAGAAGGAAGAGAAAATGTATACACATCACCACCTTTAATGGCATTCCTCGTGTGCGCACGCAGACCTTCAACGAAGGCGTCGTGATTGATGGGGGCGCAAATGGGCCATGTCGTGTTGACACACTCCTTTCACTTGAGAGGCTCTGGAATGACTACTTGGCGTAGTCACGAGCGTGCGATAGTTGGGGTCGTGGCGTTTTGTGGCGTGGCACGCTGACATTTATCCTCTCAGGAGAGTGAAGGATGAAGATATCTGCCGCGGCTGGAACGACCTTTTCCCGTCCTACTTTATGCTCTATCCGTGTAAATGACATTCTTCGCTGCCTCTCACTCCATTTCTCCAAGCGCATACGCGTACATACACAAGATCTGGCATTTCCTCCTTTCATCGGCATTTTAACACCCACGGAGCGAGAAATCTGCGGCTCCCATTGGTCACCTCAAGGACGTGACTCATCACTAGAGGTGACTGAACTCCCCAATGAGCAGTGTATTCGCGCATCAGGCATTTTGCCATCTCCATCTATAAGTTTCTTCGTTATAAACAGAAGGATGGATTTTGAGATAAAGGGGACATGAAGTTAAACAATTAAGAGTAGGGAAGATCCCACAATGCTCTTACAGTGGGATTGAAGGACGGGTTATGCAGGACGTATCTTTTCGCGGTACTGTCTCTTCACAAAGATGGTAATATTTTACAGTTCCACATATTTTTGTGTCCCTATCCTCCACTTCTCATTCCATCACCTTTTAACATTGGGAAGATCCCACTCCTGCTGCAACAGCAATTCATCAACCACTGCCTCCTTAGGTGGAACTTTTTTGGGGTCCTTCCTTCGTCCTTTCCAAATGTCTTTCGTTTATCAAACTTGCCGCAAACCCTACTTTAATAGGCAATTTTGCCTGACTTGACTCAGGTCACCTCTGTTTCTGTGTCACGTTTTTAAGTCTGATTGGCTAATGCCAAAAAGATAAGGGGAGAAAAAGAAGAGTACCCCGTTGTTATAATGAAGGATATCTGTATTTTACAATAAACGCTTCTAGACGTAATTGTGCAAACCTTTTTTCGGTCACCTGATTTTTTGAACACCCCGCTTGTCAAGGCATTTCAGACTGTTCAGTGTTTTCACGTCACTTGACTGTTCGAGAGCTTAAGCACCAACGTTCCACTCAAATCGGTTGTAGTCAGTGTTAACACCACCTGTCAAAGCCAAAGATCCCACGCAAACTATTAACCATTCAGTAGACGAATCCTTCAATCTCCGTGGTCTTTGGCTACCTACTATGCAGGGTTGATTTGTTTTGTGACAAAGCTCTGATCTACCGGTGGTAGATGAACAATCTAGAGGTGGAGCTCTCAGTAGAACATATTAGGCATAGAAGATGCCATCTAAGCAAAAAAACAACATGCAGTCCCGAAATGTCAAAAGGGAATTTTCGGTCGATCTAATCTTGCAATAATTGTAACCTCGAAGCATTCGACCTCCTGTCCTCTGGAGTATGCTTGACTACTTAACCAGCTAAGAGACTTAGGGGTTTATGTAAAGAAGGCTGGCAACAAGAGAGGCTCAAAACTTGCAATTTCTTACCTTTTTTAAGAAAAGTAACTCCATTAACTAATTAACTGTTGCAGTTGCGTCTTTTGTCGTGCCTAGAGGATACAGACAGAAGCAGGAACAGTAGGTGCCATGTTAACCGAGGCAGAAATACAACAAGTAACATGAATCATATTGGAAAGACGGCCGCTAACACCTAAGTGACACGAAAGCAGAAGACGAGATAGGGAGGGTTGGCGGTGCGGTGTACAGAGCCACGTAAAATCACAGGTGTTTCTTTTGAACCCGCAAAACACACAACTGTCGCTAGGTGAGTGCTGGAAGACAGAAAACCACAACTGTTCCACTCCGTCACTCGGTCCAACATGACACCCCTGGATGTGGTGGTGATGGTAGTGCTGTCGGAAACCTATGCTGCCGTGGAAGCCGGTGAGATTGTGTCCGAGTCCCCCTGCCTTGCAGATATTAACCTGTATGTTCATTCAGGTAAAGGACGAACTGTAAGGTAACTCCACCAATTTAGCATTCAACATTCACTCCTCCCAGCCGTTGTGTTCTCGTTTCAATGCCACTTGGCCATCTATCTGGGTTCGTCCAAGCTACTGGAAGTGCTGAGGGGGAGGGGGAAGGAAGAGGGAAGGTACCGTCTGTTAACGCAATTCGCATATCTTCGGCTCACAGATGGCTCCTGGTCAGGTGTCGTTTCAGGCGTTAATCGCCCTCTTACTGGACGTAGTCTCGATAACCATTTATCGCCAAGACGGTGAATGAAATTGCTAAACAGGGTGTACTCCCTTTTTCAGACAGGCCAAGCACCGAGTGAGCTGGAGGTTCGAGGGCAACTACTTCAGCTAGCAGATCTGTTGAGTTGGGATGCTAAGTGTAATCGTGTACTTCACGACCTCGTGGTCAGCTGCTACGGCGCTCCGGGTGAGTTTGTCCAACATTCTGTTGATCAGTTTTTATCTTCCCCTCCTCGACGCACCATAAATGAGGTGTGTCACTGTGAATTGTTTAGACTACCTGGCGAAAAAAGCGAAGGAGACATCGAGGGGTGGAGGTAGGTTTCACTTTAATCGAAACTTTCCACACAACTTGGAGACACCGCCGCGGCACGCGTTGAAGCCGAGAAAGTTGCGACCGCAAAAACCACCTATGTCCGAGGTGGACGAAAGCAACCAAAGTCAGTTAGAGAGAGAGGCAATTTCTGATGTAGCCTTGGTGAATAGCCTTCACAAACACCCTGAGGAGACGTGAGTCGGACTCGTAATTTTGTGACCCCAATTCAAAGGGGTGAAATGCTAGAGTCCATGCTATCCTTCTCTACCTACTTACCTACCTACCCACCTTCCCAATCTACAACTCTTACACTTCACCTTCTAGGCCCTGTACATACCCTTGCCTGTACATAGATCAAGGTAACACACCCTTATTTGGCCGAGACTGCTTTGGACTTCGGCCATCAATGCAGAAACTTGCTTTGTTTAAAGGTCTTTGGTGTGAATATATGCCACTGTGAAAGACTTGAGCTCTTGTTTAGAAGTTGATGATTCAATTCAAGAGAAAGAAACAGTGTTTTTTCATATTTCGGGTATTTGTGGGCGGGAGAGGTACCTTCACTATGGAGAGAAAGGCGTCCCCTCGCACCAGGAAGTGATCTCCTTCCCACACAAGAAAACTTATTTATCAACCTCTCAGAAATCGTCTACGTTGACATGCCAGCTCAGAACGGTAAGTTAAACCACAGAAATCACTTAATAAAAGTTGATGTGTCAAAATCCTCGTCGCCTTTGGCAGGTGTCAATGATCACTGGTTCAAGGGTCCGAGAAATTGGACATACCCATCTCTTCCACTATTCGAACAGCAGTATTTCAGGCAAATGAGTAATTTTTTTTCTATCTAAAAACTCCATTAACAATTAAAAAACAAATAGTAAAAAAACTAAGTGGAAGACAAATAAGTATTTGTAGTAGCGAATGCTTGATTGTCAGACTAAATTTTTAATCAATTCCTATTACTAAAGCTATGACACTTTTGTAATGTCGCTGTCACAGAAAACTCTCCACTTTTGTTTAACCTGACTAAGAAAATTTTAACTAGAGATGAGCACTCAATTGCCATCTCAAAACCGCTCAAATTTTTGTATTCTAATGAATATTTAGGAACCGCCCTTTTGGCTCACCCACCAACAAAGTATAATGCAAAGTTCCTCCTTCTTTAATAAGTACTTGTTTATTCAAATACCTTGTGCCAGTGAAATGTGGTACAATAGTTATAGCGAAAGAAGGGTACAAATTTTCTATAGTATTTAGGAATAAGAAGTGCAGCCTAGCAAAGTGTGAAGCGAAGAGTGAACAGTGTAAGCAAATTATCCTGTGAGGTGTGTGTGTTCGAAGTCTCAATTCGCACAAATTTTCACTGAAGAGCTTTTCCCGTTCGGGTTTTCAGACTAAAGGAAAAAGAAAGTGTGAGATCGCTTGTGCGCTTGGGAATTGCATTGGGGCGTCAGATCGAAGCCTGCCTTGTTGTCTGAAATTCAGCGGGTGAAAATTTGCGACATACAAAGCAGTGTGTAGAGCTTTGGAGGCGAAGCCATAGGGCGACCCGTAGCTGTAGTGTGCCGTGAGTGGATCATTTAGGTATAACTAATGACCCATTCGTTAGGTTAAAAACCGTTTCTCATCTGCCATGTGATGCTCATTTGCCTAGCAGCTTCTTCTGCTATTTATTTTTAGTTTCATGAAGTTCTGAACGAATCACCTCAGCGTTCACACTATTCATTTACTGCAAGTTGCCCTGGACACCCTGACCCCGAAGGGTATGCAACAAATGCGACAAAAAATTTGTGCTGCTCTCCAACTTAGTGCATAAAGCGGACTTGTTCTAGGTTGTATCCACTAGGAAGTCAAGAGTACCGTAATGGTAAACTGATGGATGTCTGCTTCATGCTGCATGTCTATGGACAAACACGCGTATTTTCCACGTGCCTACGAGTCCCAGCGAGTGGCGAAATTGGTTGAGCACTTTTTCCTTGTGGCTATGTCGTCTTTGTGTGTTTAAGGGGCTATTTTACCTCTTGTAAAAAAGAGCAAAATATGTTAAACTCATTAAAAAGGTTGTAACTTACACTCTACTATACTAAATAAGTAGTGCAAATCAATCTGACCCAGAGCCTGAAATAAATGCAAAGATATGTAAAATAAATGACTTTACAGAAAATTGCTGTAAAGCAACCATTAAATGTAAACATTTGCAAAGAAAGAGAAGAGATGAGTAAAAGTAATTACTCGAAGAAGACTTCTCGGTGTGCCTCAGTCTGGTACAGCCGCATTGAGTTCTGGGACATGATCGTTCAACACGAACCTGTAAAATTTAGCATTACATTATTACACCTTCAAGACAAATTGCACGCAATTTTCCATGTGGAAAGGCAATTGTAATTTAATTGTTGCCTATGTGTACAATCGACTCAGCGAAATCAGAAATTCTGCAGCTTCTTGTCTACTAGTTCTGCTCTCAGCTGGTGGTGTTTGTTCCATCGGCACTGGTAGGCTCTTGAGGAAAATTTAGGCTGCTGCTTAAATGATAGCGACAAAAACGTTTGGTCTAAAAGGCCATAGAATCTTAACATCATTGACGGACTTCAAATTAGATTCCCCCATTAGCGTGGTCAGACAACAGAAGGGGCGCCTACAGCTCTTAGGCAAAGCTGCCTGGTTCAAGCGGACACATAACACTCTTCTCGATGTATCCTCTACCTAAATGGTGCCTATTACTAGTGGAACGCATCCGTTCAAGAGCATCTTCGAGCCTTCTCCCTTCCCAATGTGGTTCAGAGGGAGGAGAAAATCGTAGAAACAATGAGAAGCCTAGAAGTAAATGGCGTCTTTACTTTACAAGCACGCATAGCATATTAATTTATATCCACGGGTGATTTTCAAGGCATCAACTTCAGTGTGGTAGTGAAAACTGAAGATAGGCCAGGCCCAAACAACTACGCGGGTTCTTAGCGTCCTGAACCTTTCGCAGGCTAATATGAAACACTCGTCACCCTCGGGTACGAACCAGAGCCCAAGTTTGGGAGAAAAGGAGTTTATAAACTAGGGAACCGTATGTTGTTTTGGCGATGGCTTCTTAAAAAGACATTTTTAACATCCACTTACTGTTCTTTCCACTGGTACGTTACTCCTCCTAAGAAATAGAACGTCCCTATTTTCCGTAGTGCAAGCTAAAATGGAGAAAAAAGGGACAAAATTGAAAAATATTCACTCGATTTTAAATTTAGTCTTTTGCATCGAAGTAGTTTTCCATCCAAAATGACCAAAGACTTACGAACTAAGACATTTCTTGGTACCCTAGTCTTTCTCAAGTATACCACATCATTAGCAAGTTCTCTAGTTCCTAAAATAAACCAAAAAAATTAATAGGGTCCTATTGGTGCATGTTAAATCACAGTTTCTCTCATCTAAATAAGACTCTTCCTTTAGCTTTACTGCCGCATCCATTTTGTACATATGACTTCATCCTTGGGGGCGGGGGGACTTGGAGACTGCATGGGGGGGTATTTCCCTCCCAAAGAAAGGAATCACTTTCACAGACGTTACAGTAAAAACTTACAACTCCTTCTGCGGTTGGAGGAATCTGTGGAGGCTCATGACAAAGGGGTCATGCACAGTGACATACACAACAAATAAGTAGAAATTATTTTCAAAAGTATACCATTGTGCCTTACTCCAAAAAGTGAAAGACATGCGGTGCCTTCAGACGGGGTCCAGGCGCTGTGATACTCGTTTAATGTCACAAATAAAATGCAAAATGATGTCTAGTTTACAATTTATCTAGGAAAATAACTGCTTGTTTGGATTTTATTTTCCTAGTAAATCAAAAATAGCTCAACAAAATTACCTATCCTTGCACTCCTTTCAACGAGTGTATTATCACTTCCGTTTGAGCAAGCTAAAATCGTTCAAAAAACCACCAATTTTACCACCAAGGTAATGTGACGTTCTACTGCTACTTAAATGGTTGTATAAGTGGTATAGTGCTCTTTCAGATAGGCTACCTAGATGGTGACATGTGCCACATTTATATACAATCTCATTTTGACAATTTTCTCACAAGAAGAATCATCCTTATGGGTCGAATCAGCACCTGACGCCTCAACAACAGCGCTTCGTTGGGCCAATGTCACTAATCTCTCGGAGCCCAAGCTACTTAAGTTAGAGCGGCTCACTGAATATTAGGAGAAAAAAAGACAAGAAAGATAAGCTAATCAAATGCATGCTTACCGCAAGGAAAAAATCACGATTATCAACAGTGACAAGCATATTTACCTGAGGGCACTTTAACGTCATATCTTCTGTATAGCGTCGGTTCATACCCGACGATATAAGAACCTAGAAGTCGAAAAAAAATTAATCCTGAGCTCGAAGTTCTAAACTATTTAAGTCGTTTAAGCGGCCCAACATCTTCTGAAGGAAGTTACCAAACGCTAGAAAACACCTATTTTGTTTTGACAAGAAAAGATGAAATATCTTATTATGAGAGTACGGAGAAGTCGAGTGAAGTAAAACTTCTTGCAGGTACTTTCGACAGCGTTTGCCGTTGTCTTCAGAAAAAAATCTTCTTCCGATTAAATAGAGTCATTTTACCACGCACATAAGACAAGTCTGTTCCTTCGGGGTTGAGGTGGGGGACAACGTGGTGAGTGTTCAACGGAAGTGGAATGCAAACAAAAGCACAAATTCACTTCTCACAACAAGTCAATCAACTAGTGAGTAAATTATCCACTTGCGATGCATTAATATAATGTGGCATTTCAAAATAAGCCAAAAAGAAATAGGAGAACAAAAAGGTGATGCTTTCATTTGAAAAACCATAATGAGCTGTTAGTTCGCCCAAACTTATTCCAGCGTGATGCAATGCAAACGGTGCTAAATCGCTTTTGGAAGATGAAATCGATGCGCAAATATCGAAAGCGCTGAGGCCAAAGCTCTAAGCATGTCTATGTTTGTTCAAGTTTTTCCTGGATTGCATGAACTTTTCTATTCAGTGGGGGTAGAAATCCTCAATCCTGGTCCTGTTGGCGTTATTAACTATCTAAATCACTAGTTTTATTATTAGTTTGAAAAACAAAGAGTCAACTAACACACCATGGCAAATAACGTTTGCCAACACTTTTTCAAATCTCAATAAATGACTTTTACAGCGTATTTTTACTGGATTCTGATAGAAATTTCGCATTATCTGGGTTTATTAGCAAACACAGGACTCACTTCTCGTATTCCTTACAAGATTGTCTAAAATGAAATGCAGAACATTTAAAAAAAAGATTAAAGTGCATCTATGTAGGATATTGGGAGTAAAAACACAATATACTATTTCAATTTATACACAAATTTTGGCATAATTAAACGATCCTCCCTAACCGGCACCATCTAGCCCAGATGTTCATTCGCAGTCTGGGACAGTGACACCCTCGCAATTCCTGCTAGGCAAACAGCTTTTCGGTAGTTTTTTGTAGGTCTATAGGAGTTGGGACATTTTAAACAAAAAAGTCTAATTAGTACTGGAGGAAATACTTTACCTGTTCTTGGATTTCTGACTACCCTTGTGACAACTTCTTCATATGGAGTGTAGCCGGACCTGAGAAGGTCTACCGCTGTAAAGAAACCGATCATTACAGTCACTGATTCTATAATCAATGTGGATGTACGTCTTGCTACTCTCGCTTAGCGGTGTGGACCCCCGGGGTCGTGCAAGCCTCACTCTCATCATTTGGTTTTGTCTTCCCAAATGCATTTAAACAAAGTTACTAGTTGAAATCATTAAAGCGCCCTATGTTGCTGTTTTGCATTACTAAAATATTGATTAAAGCGCTTAAATTTACTCCGCTGAGTTGGTTTTTTAAAAAATGTGGTTCTTACTGGTTTCTTGCACTTGCGGACTTCCCCACGTTTGTGTTCTGCTATAAACCGGTTGATAGCTCACGGCATTTACGCAGTTATCTGTAAAAGTGAAAAGAAAAATGTCAACTTTTTTCCTTTAAAAATATTTGGAAGAAGGGGGAAGTACTTACTTCTCGTTAACCCCTCCGGATTTCCGGAAACAAAGTGTTCCTCTGTGACTGACTTTTCAGCTGAAAAAGATTAAATCAGCTCGTAGCGTTAGCAAGGGCAGATTTTGCAGTGCATTCAAAGTTGTTAAGCTGACTTATTTGCCAGAATTAAACGGGCTTAACGAATTTATGTACCAATGGGATTTGTAATTTCTACCGGGTTGGTGTTTAGATAGCTTCCAAGTGGATGAGGGGGATGTAGTCAAGGTGGTGCTAACAAGCTGTTTGGCTTCCATTCGTGGTTTCTCCGAACGATGACCGCCATGAGAAATGCGTTTGATATAGAACACCCCTTAACCCCATGTGTTCCCACCTCAACAAGCTTTGAATTTACTTTTACCCACTGCACTACCGAGTACCATCAAAGATTGTAAATGCACTGGAAGTGGGTCGTTCTGAAACCTCGAATGTCCCCAGAAGTCAGTTACCAGACGCTCGCACGCAAGTTGTACACCCAGCATAGTCAAATCCGTAGAAAGTGAGAAAATTCAAACTGAAGAGTTGGGTAAAGTGAAGAATTGACTTACATTGGGTCCTTTCTTCAACAACACGAAACACGGGGGGAAGCAATACTCTTGATCCGGCTTGGTTGTTGAAACCAAAGGAAAAACAAAATTCACACAAATTGCGGTCTCAAGAAAACCAATTTTATTCTGTTTAAATATATATTTTAAAGAGAGTGGTGATCATGTTAATAAAAATGAAATAAAATCGAATTTACAGTTACACCATTTATGAGAAAAGCGATAAAAATAAATTGCTCTCACTTATAAGACAAGCATTCATTCATTCAAAAAACAACCCTAATATTTAGAAACAGGATCTTTTCTGTGTTATACAGTAGCGGTAGTTATTTTAAAATAAGCGAACAATTTCGGAAAAAATGCATACCTTCCGTTTGAACCTCAACTGTCGAAGTTGGAACTTAAAAAATACAAAACATTAACATTACTATTTTGTAAAATGACATAACGATAATCGTCATAAAGTCGTTTATACTAAGTGAGTAGTAATTTGCCTGAATTGTTGTTCATTGCATTCTGCACAAAAAGAAGTAGTATTTGAAATTTCTGCACGACTTTTCTCCTGTCTTTTAAATTACTAATGATGCACAATAACTTTTGGCTTTGTGATTACAACGCTTTTCTTTAAATTGTTCATCATTGGAACAAGGTCACCAAGTAAAACTGGGCAGTTTTTTGAAATTCGATTGGGAAGTTGTGAATTTCTTTATTAAAATATCCATTTTCAAAAAAATCCAGCATACGGTTGTCCAGTCCTATCACAAGAAACAAGGCCTTAAAGTTTAACCTTAGACAATATGGGAACAAAAAGTTTTTGGGATCCAATTTTAAAAATATTTTCGGGGATATGAATTAATTTATTAGCTCACCTAAAGGTCCTAGAAACAGAAATGCTGTTAGCCATCACAAAATTTTCGTCATTATTAACATGTATCACACATTTGCCTAGTGCCTTCCATAACTTTTGCTGCCAGTTGATGTTGGATTGATCGAATAGCTTTGTCAAAAGTGGAGGAAACTTCGAAAATGTTGGGTCACCGCCACTGAGTTATTTGTCTGGTAAACTTTAAGCCACTTCTGGACAGTATGGTAGTTTTTTGCCCTTACTTCAAGAACTTTCACATATTTGTAATCGACTTCTTAAGCCGACTCACTTAAATCAACACCTCTTTTGGCACCTAAGGAGGGGTGAGGACATAATGAATAATACCAGTTTGAAAGTCTGATGCGTGTCTGTGGTACAGAATACATTTCACACGTCTTTAAAGATTACTGGTATTAAAAATTACCTTTCAGATTTTCAATAAACCACTCAGAATTCCAAAAGTACCTGTTTGAGTTATATGCCTTTTTGAAACTTTCAAAAAATCCTTACCTGCTGTTCTTTCGACAGTTACAATCCGAGTCGGCTCTATCGAAAAAGATGCAGTAAATATGTTAATTTGAATTCCCACCACAAAAGTGAACAGTGAATTTTAGTAACTCGTGATTTTTTTGTTGCTTACCCTCATGATATGTTTTGGGTTGCTCTATAACAACGGGCTTTAAAGTACAAGCCTCAAAAACAAACTGACAGACTTTTCTACCATTAGACATTTCGAGGCAACAGTGCATTTGACCTTGCTGCATTGTTCTTTGACTTAATCAAAGAAAAAGGATTTGAGCACAAGGTAATAACCTCACCACCATTACATCGGGAACAGGAATCGCGAGATGTCGTGCCTGTATGAAAAAGGGACGTTAATTTAGGAGACGGTGGCATCATAATTCTTCGCATTTCGCGCTAAGTTGGTGCTTCTGCAATCAACCACTTCAAACAGATTTCTTTTTTCAAACAAAAAGTGTGCGCATTTTTTCGTCTGGCTACAGTCACTCACTTAGAGTGGATCCATCCACGCTATCAGAGGAGCTGGTTTTGCTACTGTATTTCACTTTGGCTTCTAGAATTTTCATTTAAGAATGGACAAGTGTGTTTTGGTTATATTTTCGTCTTGTAAGTTTTTTCTTCTGTGGATTATATTTCTAATGGGTTACTGCGTGTTTCTATACACCTCAAACATGACAAAATCCTTTAATTTTCCATGAGAAATTCATATTCGTTGGTATAAGTCGTACCGTTTACAACAACTCGTGGTACCTTGACGACAATATTTTTGAGATGGAGTGGAGATCTTTGGATCCTTCTCGTCTCGGATGTCACTAATGCGTCAATTTAGAAGAAAAGGGGATATTTGTGTGAAATATAATTAAAAATACTAAGTAGCCTAACATGAAATTAGGCCCAATGGGTAAAAAAGAAAAATAATTAGTATTTCTGGAGTTACTAAAGAAACATATTGAATTAGGGAGAAAATTATATTTCATTACTGCATATTTTCATCAAACATCTTCCGACAACGCACATCAAATGGCTAAAATTGCGCGGGTGATTAAAAATACACTAAGTAAGTAATGATTACTTTCTTCAGGTGTGTGTTTACATTTACGTTAAACCGACTTTCTAAAGGTTTTTAAAAGTGAATATGTGTAGAGGAAGGACTTAGCATTTGAATTTGAATTATGGAAAATTGCCTAAATACTGTAAAAAGTCACTTCTTGGCGTCTATTGGCTTCTCCAATTTTGATGCACGTCTAAGCGTTGTTGGTCAAACAATTTGACTCTGAAGCTGTATAAATTGCCAACCTTGATCTAATTGTTTTTTTGAAGATTGTGCAATGTGAAAATGGCTAGGTTAGGAGTCCAATTTTGACTGAAATAGTGTTAAGACAACCTTCCTTTTCACCTTTGAGTGTTACATCATCGTCGAGTTCTATGACCAGAAGGCAAATTAAAATGCAAGTCAGTTTTAACATTAAAGTTAACTGTAGTTTTATTGTGTTATATAACAAACGTTTCATTATTATGATGAATTCCCTAGAGGCCTACCTGTAGGGATTTCGGCGGCTGACTCAAACTCCGTGTGCTCCGCTAGGGAAGAGCGTTTAGTATTATTTCACTTCTTAACAGTAACGCTTATTTGATCTTCGTTGCGAATTCATGCGAAAACACATGTCTTATTGTTTAATGGAATTTGATTATTCCTTTGTAGAGGTTGTGGTTCATAAATTGAGCACAAGTTCTGCAGATTATGTCAAAAAAGATACTGCAAAGCAATGTCGTGCTGACCATTTGTTCGGTCAAGGATTTGACTTCTGTAGGGTTTAAAGAATGGGACCCTACAGATATAACTTTTTAATTATTTGTGGCATGGGGACGTATGCTCAGTTGGCTTACCATCGTTTTCTTCGGCGACGGTTACGAGCTGACGACTTTCTGTGCGAAAGAGGCAAATAGCTGTCTCAATCCCTCTAGTTGTTTAATCGTTAATTTTAAACAGAGGTTTTGTTGATTTACCTAAATTTACCCTTTTCTTATCCACGATGTAATTGATTGTAAAGTAACAAACAAGGCAAAGTAAGGTAACAAGTACTGCTATTCATTGTAAAAGCTGTGAATAATTCAACTTCAAGTTATGATCTTATTTTGCTCTAGGCTGACTTACCGACTCCGCATTGTTGACTCATTGTAACGGAACAAGAACACGAATTCGTAGAAGTTGTTATAGGTGTGGAAGTGCGACTGCACAGCCGAATATATAGCACCCTCATTTCAACCAAATCGGATCACCTGAAGACGGCCAATAAAACGATGCCCTGTGCTTGTATCATATGCCAACTCGTGTCTTACAAACTTTGTACTCTTGATTGCAGCCAAATATTTTTTTTAAATTTTTATAACAAATTGTTAACTGGACCTAGAAATCAGAATCCTGTTGAAAAAAATGCGACTGTACTTTTGAAATCTGCCATTTTCGTTTGAGAAAAGTACTGCGAATGTCTGCACACTTAGGAAGGGCGTTCATGCTTCAAAGTGCCAAAATATCTCACAAGTTCTTTTTCTCAGTTGCTCTGCTAATATTTAATATTTGGTACACTGAGTGCTCTCCTGATTGACTAGAGCCACGTTGAGGCACAGTGAATACCCCAACGTACAGGGCCGACCAAAGTGCCACAAAAAGTGGGCAAAGGGACTGTGTCGGTACCTCAGTAAGCGGTTGGCGTTCACGTGCGCAAACCTCGGCGATACTAAGGCCTGCTACCTGATTACTTTGGTTAGGACCTCCAAAGTGTCGTGCTATTGCCAGATTGACTTTCTAACCTGGCCGAAATGTAGTGTCAAAGTGGACCTGCGCAAGTTAAGTTTCTGCAAAAGGTTAACTTTATGCAAGGCAGCCTTTTCGTAGGTACCGATGGGACTCACCTTAATGATATTTCTAGAAATTACCGTCAAAAATAACGCATTCTGACATCTATGACCGTTTGTTCAGCTTTAATTCTACAGAAGGAGGGAGAATACCCTGTCAAGGGGATGAGAATGATAACCACCTTCAGTAAATACCTTTATCCTGTTTTACAAGACATTAGGGTATAACGAGTGAAGTAACGCAAAATTTGAACAATTAAGGGGACTTTCACTGGTGCTATATGTAACTTCTATAGGCAGCTAGGTAACACTAAAATGGGAAAAATATGACAAAGGAATCATTAGTTCCATGATGTGACTTAGGATATTGCCTCGTAATAGATGGTTGTACTTCTAGACCTATTTTTTCACAGTCGGGTTGTGGGGAAATGGTTGTTCCTTTTACTGTAGAGTGCCATATTCCAATACGAAGGCATTAGCATTGGGACCAAATACCTTATCACATACAACTGGTGGACGGTTTTTAAAGCACCGAATTAACTGTGCTGGAAGAGCAGAAAACAACGCCCAAAGGGAGAGAGAGGTTGTGTAGCGGTTTTGTGTTTTTTTTAAGGATGCGAGCACTCCATTTGCTGTAAGATGCAATTCCACTGAACGGGACGACCTTTAGAACTCCCAGAAACCCAGTACGTTAGTAATGCTTGTTTCTCTGCACTTCTTTGGCTTTTTACTGCTCCATGGAGGAAAGAGGAGGCTGCAGATATCAAAACACACCGGACCTACCGCAACCAAAGCATCAGCCCAAAAATTGGCCATTTGTTGTCATCTCATTTAAAATGTAGTACGGTTCTATTCCCCTAATCTTTCAGCTTTGTTCAGCAGTGGTTAGCAAAAAGAAAATTCACGGCCAAAATACGCCACATAAACAACCATCCAACGAATTTCGGGTGTCAAGTGCGGGCAGGGTGACAACTTTACTTATGTCAAGTCAGTAGCACCCCACTGAGCCACCCCAACCTGATTGGATTCGGAATACAAACCTTATGGCTGGAAGCATGTATGTCACAAGATTTATGAACATTGCTTGTGCAGTGTATTAATCACATTTGTGTTAAACAATCTGTCCGCCCCCGTGAATTCATCGGCTGATTTGAGCATCTGACCAAATAATACGATGAAAAAGCATGCTCCCGACAATCGCCAATAAGCACCAAATTCCTTGAGAAAAACACAAAAAGCGACAGAAACGCCAGGATCAAAACGGTAAATATTTGAAGGGAAAATAAAAAGATGAACTTCGATTAACAGGAACCATCGTTGCGACATCACAGCCAGTACTCATACAAATTCCTTTTCCTTACACAACATTATAGATGCCTCTCTCCACTTGATCGCAAATCCTTCGCAGACGAGCGTTGAAGAATTCGAAATTGAAAGGCTGATTCGGTGAGTAGAAGGGATTCTTTAGCACATAGTCAGTGTAGGCTTCATACACTAGTTTTAACGCGTCACGAGCCGTATTAGGGATGCGAGCATCGGTAATGAGAAGGAATTTGGTGCCGGTGATGGATTCGTAACAGTGTATGCGGGCTTCTGGGGTTTCAATGGTCTGGATACCCGACGGTTCAGTCGCAGCACCTGACTTAGAATTCCCCATAACCTCTGCAGTAGACGGAGTCGGAGTTAAAACGCGGGCCATGTGGTGAATAGCCTGGAACATGCTAGCCACTGTAATTCGGTCGTTGGGCCGTAAGCGAGGTGTCCCAAGGCGGATTGTGATGGGAAAATTGGACGGATTGCTAAATAACTAAAAAGATATCTTAACTGGGCTAAAAAGACCAACTTCTGAAATATCTCGACCGTCTTCTAATAGAGTACCGTTTGCGATGACTCCATTAACAGCAAGGACACAATACCCCAGTTTGATATCATCGGTTGCACCAAACACAACAGCAAGTCGACCATCTACATTCTCAAAGACAAACGAGAGAGGAAAAGTAAATGTCCTTTCTACTTCTATCGCAGGTATTGTTCGATCATAGTACATCTGAAGCGACCCAGACTCGCTAATTACGTAAACGGAGTAGACGCTCATTGCCAAAGGGTGAATTCCCCAACGCACGCGCACGACCTTGGGTTTAGAGAAACCTCTTTTCCCCTACAGCAATGAACGCAGAGCACAGAAATGTATTGATATTGGGGCACCGACCTCTCTTTTAAGGCGGCTGCACAGTACAAACATCTCTCATGTCCTAATAACCACCATTAACCACCGATTTTGCAAAGTAGCAGTGATATAAATAAGATTGCAAATTAGGTATGTCAGTGTAGTACTTTGCAAATATAACTCAAGACGCAATAGCAGTTGTTAGAACAGCATCGAAATACCATATGTTAAGATTATAAATGCATCAAGAAATATTTTTGGGCAATTAATATAGACTCTGTGTTATCAGAGTAGGTGTTTACCGAGCCATATTTTGGCTTTAAATAAGTGCACAATATTGGCTAAATTTTAACCTTACTTGAAAAACCTGGTTTTTCGTAGTTTTTAGTTATAACTGTGTCAGACATTTGAAACTTGTTATCTGTTAAGTCGCATATTTCATTAATGTGGATCAGAAGAACTACTTGCTTTAATTGCTAAAGATATAGTTTTCGGATGCAGTCCAAAAGTACATCCAAGTAAAAATAAAATTAAGTCAACGATTTTGATATCGTCGCGTCCCTTTTTTTAATCCAATGTCCTTGTTGATCTGCACAAATTGGCCTCGTTCGTTGTCTGGTCCCCATCGTAATGCTGTTTGGATTCCAGGTTGTTCACTTGAAGGTACCACTTTTAACTAACTTTCTCGAATATTTATGAATATCTCTTCATCCAGCAGAGACTTGAGTGAGAGATCTGGATTTGGGCTGTGAACATACTTATTTAATTTGTGATTTTAGCAGTAGCATAGTATATGATTTGGAATTTTTTGTGAAACCAGAATGTATTCCGTCACTACAAGTGACTAGTTTTCATGCTATTTCTTTTTCTTTCTTAGGTTGCAGCGGTGTCTGTCGGAGCTTTCTCTCTGTACTTAGTCAAGAAAGTTCTGTGGGACCTTTACTGCAGACGCGCTTTGGATGTCAAAAGGAGCGCCAAAATCGCTAGCCTTCTAGAGGCTAAGTCCAAATTTTCTTCTTACATCGAGCATCATCCTATTGTGAGTTTAATCCATTGTAGATCAAAATGAAATGTGTTGCTTTCGCTTGAAATATTTGGTACTTTGCAATCTTTTACTAGCCTCGAGACGATGTTGATATGATCACAAGGCTTCCTCTTCCTGAACTCATTGAAAAATTGAAGAAACAAGAACTTCCACCGGCTTACGTTCTTCTGGCCTACCAACACAAAGCCTTTAAAGTTGATAAAGAACTTAATTGCGCAACCGAATTCCTGTATCCAGAGGTTTGTTGCATTTTTAGTTGCAAATAAGTTTACAAGCGCTTAGTTTACCGATTTTTCTTTGTTCATTGGTAGCTCACTGATGTGAATCTCAAAGGACCACTTGCTGGAGCTCCAGTCAGTCTCAAGGAGTGCTTTGAGATCAAAGTGAGATTTCTTCTTATTATGCAATGCCGTTTTGACGTATCTTCCATCTTCCAAATGGGAAAATTTCTAATCATTGGAAACTCTAAGCAGCGCTTCCGTTTGTATTTCATTATTCCTCCTGGCATATAAAATGGCTAAGGTAAAGTGGACTGTTAGTTGATTCAGTCTTCAAATTGGGCAAACCTGTAATTTGTTACCCGTTAAAAGTGTTTTTTCGTGGGGTTGTGAGTTGTTTCCCTCTTCTTAATAGGACCTGGATACTTGCTTGGGATGCTCATGTTCCATCGGTATTCCACAAGAAGACGACTCTGTAGTCTTGAAATTGATTCGTGACCTCGGTGGAGTGCCCTTTGTTAGGACTAATGTTCCACAGACTATGCTAAGGTAGGTTATTCATAATAACCACTTTTAATATCTAACTTTCTTCCCTTGGTATGAATTTTTTGTTACAAATCGTGTTCAAGTCACACCGGAATTTGAAAGTTACTAAGTTCAAAGAGGAAATTTAAAGGTTACACACCTTATTTCCTCACTAGGTCCTCTCATGTCACATTTATTCTCTTATCCTAGCGTTTAACCAACACCTATAAAGCATGGTTAGTTTCACTGCACCTTTTAAAAGTCATAGGATAGCTTACTTTGCCTCACCGAATTCTTCCAACGCTTTGATTCCGGAATTGAGGTAGTATACCCATATGACGATGCAATTTGGAAAATCCTAAACTTTTCTTTTAAGAAGCTCCTTCAACTCTGAAGCGTCCCGTCATCGCGGGTGAGATTGTCACTAACGTCTTTGAGACATCGGCACGAGTCAGTTGTCATGCTTTGGTGCCGTACTGTGCTCGGAGTCGTCTGTATGTACTAGCAGACATCCACAGCTTTGGGTGTCTAGACTGGTTCACCACAAAGGAGCCGAAAGGCAACCCATTTAAACAAATATGCAAAGTTAAATCCCGGTATGATATGATCGCCTCTCGAATGAACGTAGGGAGGAGCTAAGAGCCTGTGGTGAATTCCTAAGCCGGTCTTAATTCCGACAGCTGGAATCATTGCGTCTTCCCTTATCTTTTCCAGCACCCAGTGCAGCAACCCAATCAATGGAGTGACCTTGAACCCACTGAGAACCAACCGCACTCCTCACGGATCAAGTGGAGGTGAAGCGGCCCTTGTGAGTGCGTGTGGCTCTCCCCTAGGTTTGGGCAGTGATCTTGGTGGTAGCATTCGTCTCCCTGCTGCCATGTGCGGTATCGTAGGATTTAAACCAACTGCCGGACGTCTTAGGTTAAGTTAATACCTCGTATCTGTATTTCTCCTCTTTTGTGTCCACTCCATGGCATTTTTTTCCACCTTTAGCGCTCGCGATCCCGAAAACTCTGCGGCGGCAAAACCCAGTAAGTTACTGTCTGAATGGCCCGATAGTGGAGAAGTTCGTTTATTATTTTTCTCTCCTCCACACCCATTGTTAAAACTACCAGGTATTCCTATGGTGAGCCATTTTAGTCGCAGTCCACTCGTCAGATGTTTATACTTCCTTTCGGCCCTCTAGACATGAATGATAGGGCTTATTTACCTTTGAATTCGATGTAAAGTTTCAATCCGACCCATTCTCTCAAGTGATTGAAAAAGTTTTTCACTGCTTGATAAATCTCATGACGATGACTTGTTGTAACCTCTAGGTGCCTGTTAAATCCTTACCATTATTTACATACCCTTGTTGTGCACCGCAATGTGTGTCATCCTCTCTCGGTGTAGTACCACCTAGCGTCCTCTACAACAATTTCCCGTTGTACTCGATAAATGTCCTTCAAGATTTTCTACCTTACTAACTGAAAATAACTACAGTCTGAAGTTGCAGACGCTTTGTGCATGTTTCAGAAACTGAGAAAGTGTCTCCCATTCAGGCCGTGTTTCCTGACAGACTGTGTTCCAACGTTTGTCGAGCAGATATCCAATTCAAATGATCCAGATTTGTGAAGCGGTGAGCGCTAACCTCCGAGAAAAGCAGTTCACAAGTGAAACGAAAAGAGTTAGGGCTAGATTTCCTCACTGCTAAAAGGCACAACATTTTACAAAGGTGGAGATTGCGCAACAGAGAAGTCGTACGAACTTACAAAATGGATTGGTTACACGCCTTGCTATAATGTGATATGATTTTGTGGTATCAGTCAGGTCAGGCCATTGAGATGTCACACTTATGTGACTCTACTAAGCAATACCGCTGATAAATTGGAAAATAACAATTTCTGATTTATATAACCTTATCAGGTTCCTGTTTCACGACTCATTTGTGGTTCTTCTGTTTATGGACCTGTTTCAGCATGTATTTTTGAAAAGTTATTGCCATTGGTTAGGCCTATCAAGAGAATGAATGACTAGATGGACGGCCCGCCCTCTAGACAACTTAAATGTTGTCAGCAGTTGAACAGGAATGAGTAGCAACTTATGTTTATAGGAGAATATTCGCGTTTTGAACTTTACAGTTGCACCAACCTGGGGTCCCATTTGTCATGATGTAGCGTCTTGCCAATTAGTGATAGAGGCATTGTTCAATTCTCCTCTCACGCGAACCCTCGATCCTGAATGTCCTCCTGTTCCCTTCCACCAGGTGAGGAAAAGAAACCGTATCCTCAGATTGCACAAAAAATAGCCTCCACACACAATCATCAGATTTGGCTAATTACATCGCATGTCGTTCATTCTTCATTGGTAGATTCCAAAAGACCGACGTCTCCGAATTGGCTACTTCTTAAAGCTCGAGGATTTAGTTCCCGTGCCAGCCGTTCGTCGTGCCCTTCTTAGTGTTCGTGACAAACTTATCTCACGTGGTCATGAGGTGGGTCTCTACGTTTACTTGTAACCTCTCATAGCGGCTAGCAAGAGGGCACGTGTGGTGTGATTGTTGTTTGGAATTCGCGCGTCACTCATCTCCTTGTGTCTGAAGCGTCGCTCTCAGCGCTCTCGATTATCAAACTTTCCTAATGGCTGGAGTTGCCTTTGAGGGCATTGTAAAGTATATAAGTCTTGAAGAAGCTTCGCTACATTACATTCAAATAAAACCGGGATTTGGAGTTGATTCCAGTTTCCTTGATTAATTTTTCGCACTCATTTCAACATTGAGCTCTTTTAAAAGAGCTTGCTCTACCTTCCCACCATCGTTATGGCATGCCATGATAGCGGATTATGCATTTACCGGGGGTTCGGGACTTGGGTATTTCACTCACTGGCTCACTATCAAAGCTTTGGGTTGGCATAAATCACCCTGGATAAGCATGTTACTGACACATGTGCTGTGGGTTTCACGCCTTTGTTGACACTAGGACTGTTACCGGTGACACCTACTATCACAGGTAGTGTCGCCATGGTAGCCCTCCACTTTAAGAGTAGCTGTGGAATTAAGAATCCTGTCTTGATTTGAGCATCTTTTATTTGGAGGGGCTGAAGAACCACCTTTTCTCTTTCAAAATCATGCTAATACAATACATGAGATCGAAATGGTTGTCAAGCTTTTTTGGGTATCTATAACTTTAGCCATCCACAGCACATACCCTTTTTCCGTGATGGCCGGACACACCTAGACATCGTCAATCAAGTCGCCAGACAACATTGACGGTAAGCATGGTGATGAACGGAGCCTGTCAACGAACATGCCAAATCTGAACCCAAGGATATTTACAGAAGACCTTTGACACTCATTCGCGTAGAACGTCTGGTCGACGCGAAATCAGTTGTCATGAAATTGCACAAGAGACGTATTCTCCAATGATAGTAAAAAAACAGACTTTCTACAAAGAAGTAAAGCTGTGCTGAGAACGCGTGCAACCCAGAAAAGCGTTTCTGCTTGACAACTAAAATTCAAGCACTAAAGAGTCGTCTCCTCGCTAAGTCCCCTCTGATTGATCAATAGAAAGCTGAGATGATCCCCAAATTTACTTTCAACCACTCAAGCGAGGAAAGTCAAGGTCACTCACTAGGTGTAATTACGCGTAAATGAAACCACCGATAAGCAGGATCACTCAGATGGTCTCTGTACCTTGGCCACTGGACACGTAGGCACTAATCGCGTCGCCTTTGTTCACTCATTACATCGGGAATAAGGATGTCTCCACCGAAGTCTTGATCCATCGCTTACTTGGTTGGTAGCTCGACGGGATTCGGGAGACCCGTGCTCACGAACTTCATCTGTTTCATGCAAAATGGCAAATGCTTTCACATCGAAACTTCTGGGACATTGGAATCAGTGTAGTGAGAAGCTGAGTGGAGAGTAAATGGAGTTTGTTCCTTTCTTTAATAATTTTTTGAGACCTTTTTATTCGCAAATTAGGCTAAATTGTGTTGATGTTCTTTCAGCTAGTGGAGTGGACTCCACCCTTTACAGGAAAGGAGTATATAGACATCTTTCTTCGTGGCATCTTCTCCGATGGTTGTGAGTCCATCAAACGTCGCCTTACCCATGATAAGCTTGATCCTTGCATTCGGCTTATCTACCAACTTGCCTGTATGCCGTGGTATCGACGGTGGTGGCTCCAAATGAAGTTAAAACTTGTAAGTTTGTTTTTTTTTTTTATTATTTGAACCAAAAAGGTTCTGCATTTGACTTCAAATGCTGTGAGTGATCTCTTACACAGACGGAAAGATGGGATCTTTTGGCGTTAACCAAGGCCGTGCGTGGATTTTCGGGGGTCCCTGATCTAGGAACCTTTGTCCAGACACTTAAAGCCTTCCGCCATCTAGTTATGGACAGTCTCCGCGCATCATCCATCGATGTGGTTCTATGCCCTGTGGCTGGATTCGCTGCGGCTTTGCCGATTAACCCTCCTTACGCCAGCATTGGTATGCTGGTCTTTCAGAACCTTGCCAACACGTTAAATGTTCCAGCTGGATGTATGCCGTCGGAATGTTTCGTAGAGGATCGAGATATTCAGGTGTTGGAACAGGCAGTAAACGGCGTGACAATTAAGTCGGCGATGGATGAAGAGGAAGCGAATTTCTACACGGGTTATGGAGCACTGTCATCTCTTCATAAAAATATGCTTCCGGTGAGTCACGACTTTGTATACAGTCGGCGTTCAAGCTAGACCTATCAGGGTAACACTGCAGATCTGCCTTCTCACTACTCGCGGTAGCCGATGCACATGTCGTGATTCAATCAAGACACTCCTAATCAAGACGAGGTGGAGATTGCATTCATAAATGACGACCGTATTGTTGTACTGGTGACGGTGGGGTCACGATTATTCAATCGGCTCGTGTAAAGACCGACTTTTGAGTTTGGAAAAATATGCAATACACTTTTTAATTCTCTTTCCTCATTTTTACAGCTTCAACGAGGGACAGAAGGACTACCAATTCCAATTCAGTTTATGTCATTACCTTGGCAGGATGAGCTCTGTCTGTTTGCCATGAGGGAAGCTGAATTGGGTAATCAATGTCCTTCCAGTCTGCTGCCAAAATTGTCGCCTTAGGGGACTACTTTACCCTCTCTCCGGTACTACCTTATCTATGTCTCTATAATAAAGCTACTTCTATACTGACGCGTTTTTTTATGGTTGCGGGTAATAACCCAGCCGCTGGGGGGAGGCCATTCCCCTGGGAAGGCGTGCATCTAGACGGATCGACTGGTTTCTGATAGCAGCAAACCATCTGCTGTGGATTGGTGGATAGTAGGGCGATATAGAACAGGGTGATCACCGAAAAAGCGGTAACTTGTGTTGAAAGCCAAAAGTTTAAGTCCTGTCACCCACGTGCCGTCGATCGATAGCTGTGAAACCTGCGCCGCTTCACCCACCAACTGCTGGCAGGTTCAGACCCCTCGTGAATGCCATGCGACACGGGACCTTTCCTCCACCACCGCCGCTTCAGCCCCTCCCATCATCAACAAAATCCACTGGCAATGGCAATCAGCCTTCCATGCCTCCCAACGAAGGCATCAATCTTCGAGCTAGTCGCAATTCCGACGCGGAGATCTGGAAAGCCGGTCTAGATGTGAGCAAGGGTGAATTGGAGGTGGTTTTCGGTGAATTGAAACCCGATCAACTTGCCAGCAAGATGCACAACAAATTTCCCGATCCAAGCCGATCCATAATCATTCCTTCGTATCGACGATCAGGTGGTGGAGGTGACAACGGTGTGACAGAATTGAAAACACCTTCAGGGGTACCTTTTAGAGGAGTTTTAAACAGCTCCAGAAATCAACTTCCAGGCATCAAAAATAGCCGATTCAAAGAGTACTTAAAACGCTACTTCCCCCGGGAGAATGTCATTATGCAACCACTGGAAAATGTGATCCGAAGTAAGCTTAAATCATTTGTTTTCCAGATGGTGGTATTTAGACGACTCGATCTTCCATTCGGTTTAGCTTGAGAGACTGGTAATTTAATCAGTTGACTTAACGTGTTTGCTACCAACTTTTGTTTTCCACGCACACACAATTTACTTCATACGGTCATCATAAAATGATAAACAAGGTATGTCACATATTTGTGACACCGGTAGCAAACATGCTAAATCTTTCCAAAGAAAAAAAGGGAGAAGGAATTCACCTAATCGGCTTTGGGCTGGAGGTTGATCTTAGTGGTTTCAGCTAGCTAATCCATGGAAGATCGAGTCTCCCTTACTTTGTTCTCCAGCCCAAAGCTAAGAGAACTCCTTCACTATGCAGTATAGCTGAAGCTGTCATCAGCCTCAGTTATTCTGATAGTTTGCCTTTTTTTCTTGGAAAGAGTTAAGTTCCACTGATGAAAATTGCCATCTCTTTATTTCCCCTAGGCGTTCTCAAGGAGGCCAGTCAACAAATTGCATCGAGCACGCCGAACCGCTGAATTATTTCCACTTGTTTCACTTCTTTATTCACACCTTAATTTTGTAATGTATTAAGTTGCCTTTTTTATTTCCCCTCGTGGTTCTAATAAATCTAGGAAAAAATATGGCCACAAAATCCCCAACATTTTGATTGTATTGAAGAGGTAGATGTAGTTGGAGAGGTTGGATAGCTAGGCCACGAAGAAGTGTCGGGTTACTGAAGAGGAGACTAGTGAATATTCGGCCTGAGCACCACTACATTACAAGCCGATCATGGACTTGTAGGGCTAAAATGGTGCTTGCCCTCCATCACCTCCCAGCTTGGACGGTTGCGGTGGGAGGGCATTCAATAGGGCTTGGATGAATACAGGAGATAAGGCGTTTCTCGTCAAGGATTTAAAAACAGAGAAAATAATTGGATCGCCATTTGATTTCGCGCCTGTCTGGTAAGCCAAATATTGTGAAGACCTAGGTTAAGAGTAGCTATCCCTCTTGGACGAAGTCTGCTGGTAAAACTGCTTGTGATGACAAAGTTGTTTCCTGTGGGATCGCCATCTACGAATGGATTGAAAAGCTAGAAAGCCTAATTGTCTCCGAGAAATTAACTTGCAGACTGAACCCGACGCCTCTAAGTAATAAGGAAAAATCGACGTCTCTCTTCTAACGTTATGTTTCCTTCTCGTACCTCTTGGCTAGGCATGGTAGCTGATGGTCGTATTGTCTGCAACCCGCCTGTAACCACATGGGATGCTCAAAGAGATCATTCACCCTTTCGGTTAAGTGCTCACGAGCGAGCTATATGCACACCAGCAAAGACGACACTTCCTCCATCCTATCAGGAGATTTCAGAGTCAAAACAGCAGAGGCGGTTCAAGGGGATGCGGAAATCACATCAACAGCGCAAAGGCGTTTCAGAACAGGCTAGTAGTACGTATGGGTGCTGCATTTTAGCCCCAATTTGGTTAATCTTGGCTCAATTAAGGTTATAGTTAATCTTTTTTTACAATAGAGAGTCATGTGCGTGTATGCATAGAACTTATCGAGTTTCCAGCCTAAATAATCAGCGATTTCACGATGGATGTCTTGGGTGACAGAGGTGCAATGCACGCCAATGCGTCTCCTGGATGATTGCTGGGAGGGTCTCAGGAAGCAGAAGTGGCTAGTATGGAGCTGCCTTAGCAACTAGACAACGTGACCAATTCTGTTCGACACATGCTGGTCCTTCTAATTTAGTTTTAAGGCTGTCACATCTTCTACTTATATTATATCAGTAGCATATATCGATCTGTACATGAGCTATCACATTTCCACCTTCTTAACCAAGTTCTTTATCATTCGGTACCAAGTAGACTTTTACAGTTTTAGTTACAAAGACCGCTACTGACTACGCTGAAGGCCATACACAATCAAAAAGACCCAAATGTCATTGCTCTGCCCCATTGTCAAATGACCAAGGCGAGAAAATGTCAAGAAAAACTGGTGTTCCGACTTGTAGGGTTCGAAGTGACTCAGACAAATTGAGCAAAAATTTGGTCGAAATAACACAAACTCCCCGTGCATGCAAGTGTGAACACAGATGCAGATGTAGGATTCGGAGTGCGCTTTCAATGAATTCCTCACCTGTCCGTTGTCAGCATTCGCTCCGACAGAAATGCATGTCGCAAATGGAGATCTCTAGAAAAAACATTCAACACCAAAAGTGTCAATCTTACATCTCCTCATCTTCCTGCTGTTTCAGGCCGTGTAGTCACTGCTACCACCACCACCATCTCCATCCGCAGCAACAGCAACAAGACCAGGAACGCCAATTACAATCTGAAGCAGGTCCAACGAAGAAAGTTGAGGTGATGGATTTGTCAAAGGTTGTTTCAAATTCCACTGAAGGTGATACCCGAAGAAAAATGTTGACAATAACGATGATACCAACGGTGGACTCAAAAGGGGAAGGCAAGAAAAGGAGCAACGGATTGGAAGCAGCCAATGGGGTTAGCGAAATCGGCGATGTCTGCCAACAGTTAAAGAAGTGTGTCACTTCGGTGCAAAATCGAATTATGGACTCACTTTTGGTAAGGAATACCAGCACAATTAAGGCGTATGCAAAGGAGAGAAAATAATCAGGACGTATTTTTTTTCGCAATAGCCTAGCCTTGTCGTAATGGGTAACTTCGGTGAGTCCGGTCATCGAGACGAATTCAAGAAGGAACATCACTTCAAAAACTTGCAAACAGTTATTCTAGAGACTTCATTTACTGAGAAACTGAAGAGCTTTACATTGACGAGTTTGCCAGAACATGAAGGCGGAGATCGGGACAGGATTAAATTTCTTCTCCTTCCGCAGTGGGAGCAAAGGTTTTTGGGGCTGAGGAGACGACAGTGTATCGGCCGAACCGTACTTGCCTATGAGGGACCCTCAGGGAAGGATTTTGACTGCTTTGTGGAGGAGGGAAAAAGGAGCATATAGGTAAACTATTGCTTTGTTAGAAGGCTGGTAGCACAAGTGGTTATTTTATGGGAAAAAGATTATCCTTCCCGTTGTTATGCAATAAGTGGTTGTGTGTCGATCAAATGTCCAAATTTAGACAGGCATTTCACTGGTCAGCTAGTTGTTTACAGGAATGAATGTCGGGACTTTGTAGTCGATAGCACCATCCATCACTGAAAGGCGCGCCACCCTCATCAAATCGTTAACGTCCTATCATTCAACATCTCAGTCTGTACTTGAAGTCTTCTGTAGATATGAGTTGGTATCCACGAGTTCGGATTGCCAAAAAAACTTTGCAGAAAGGTGTGTAGTATCACTAGGGTCAACTACCTCCTCTTGGTTTAGTGTTTCTAAGTCGGAGTGGACAAGGCACACTTACTACTTACCACTGCGAGTAGTATCACCACAGCAACTCCTCCCCTTAAGGGTTACGAAATGATAGTCCGCATTTCAAAATGAACACCTCTAGTAGGACAATTACACTAGTTTTTTTGCCTATCGATTTCATGGTTTTTTTTTCATTTTCCTAGTGAATTTGGAAGATAATGAATGCATCACGATTTCCTCAGAAGTGGTGAAATGCAATACTGCTACACAGATGGGATTTCATTTCTGTTTAACTGCCCAAATACATGTAATGTAGGTCTCAAGGGAGACACTTGGATAACTCAAAACTCGCTCACTATTTTCATTTGATTAGAGAATAAAATATGCCGCTGTTACTATTTCTTTTCCGAAACAGTGGATAGAGCAATTTATTGCCCCGGACTCCATTAAGAGTTAAGGAAATTGAGGAAATATCTACAATTCCAGTAAATATTTCACTTCGATGATCTAGAAGTTATAAATTTCTATTCTAGCTCTTAGACACCCTAGGACGTCTTGAAATTTGCGCTGTAGTCCAGTTCTAATCATTGACCACCATCACGCATGGATAGAATGAAGATGTTCTGGAAACTCCTATAACGAGAAGAGGATCTCCGCCTATCTACTTTTGATTTATCGTAAGCGAGAGTCCCTACATTTGAGGCGCCGCCTCCTATACTATTTGGGTTGGGAATTAAGCAGGATCCGATGTTTACACACACACACACACACACACACAACAGATATAACTCGATGGCCACGTTGAACACGCTCATATCTACTTTACCTTCTGCTTCGAAGAAGATCCACTAAAAACGGAACGGTTAATCAGTATATGAAAGGAAAAACTTTGCAGAAGAAAAGAACCTGGTACGATGGCTTGACAAGTGGTACTGTTGGTGATCTATTTAAACACCAACAATCAGCGTTGGAACTACTAATTCGCCTCGACAACTGTTAATCACATGGAGGGTCCATTCAACTCCATGTCATTGTTTATATGCTTGCATTGAGTCAATTTATCAAGGAGTGACTACCATAACCTCTTCTGACTCATCGTATTGCAGAGTTGGTTAAGCCTGATGGATGTGTGTTCTGAACTTGTCGGTCTTTCTAACCGAGGTAGACCCCAAACCGAAAATGAAGGAGCCTCTCGTATACCGCCTTTGGAAACAATGCGGTTATGTGTTAGTAGAATGCCACAACACGCAAAGTAGGATGCTGACTGACTGACTAATTTGTAGTAAGAAATGACTTTTGTGATTTTATTCTCAACTGCTTGTCAAGCAGGTGAACCTAACGGTTGTTCAGTTCCAAATGCTAAAGACACTCGACCTGCGCGCGGTAGGCTGTAGACAGAATTTCACACCTGTTTGTGGATGACATCCACCTACACGTGGAAGAACCACCTCCCATTCTGCTTTCTTCACCAGTGAATCAGACTCGACACCTGAGACTATCAATTCAAGACCTGTCTAGACTGACCAAACCTTCGCAGCCTCACGTGAGTCCATCTCCATGACGGTTACAAAGAACTGTGACCTAACCCCTATCTAGCAATCGCCGCAAAGGCGTCAGTAGTGCAGCCGTGTCTTCCGATTCTTCTAGGTGAAAACTCGGTTGGTTATAACAATTATGTCTTATTGAGCGTTGTGAGATGTCTCAATTTTGCATTTCACATCCGTAGGCGGTAAAATGTATTTTTCAAAGGCAGTGGCAATATACTACTTAAAAGAACAAAAAGCTATTGGCAAACAGAAGGGACTAAGGCGCATTCTAGTGACAGTCTTGACGCCTTCATCACATGACTTGCAAGGACACCCCATATCGATTTACAGACACGCGCTATTGTTTCCTTCCACGCTCTCCGGCCTTTGTTGAAGAGGCCATGATGAGCGTTCAACTTCGCAATCTCCCTTCCGCTTGCTACGCATTGCCCGACGGTCCGACTGCTCAAAATGCTGTCGCTCTTTTCATCTTTACCATTCCCATGGGCACGCTAAGTCAGGATCTGTTTGTCAATCCCATCTACCGGTCGGTTCGCAATACCATCGCCAAACGATGTCACTGCGAGCTGGCGGTATTTGATGGCAATACCATGCTTCAGCGAGCTCACTCCGGTCCCAAATCAGCTCAAAGTCGGGTACGAAATGCCAATGGCAATGCGTCGATGGGTGGAGAGGTCAGTCAGACATGTGCCAGCCTTCTAATCAACATTACAAATACCCATGAACAGGTGCTCTTTGCTCGTGGAAATTGGTTGATTCAGGTGAACTACTTGACGGAGCCCAGCGAGCATCATTTATTTCTCAAATTAGTCAATGATTTCGCCACTCGGCTGAATAGTTCTGGTGGATTTAAACGGGGTGCTGGATCTCCACTAATCAGTCAGGGGTTTAAATGTACAACCCTTGTTGCTATAACCCATGAAAAACTACGACACATCTGGCAGGGCAACCCTCTGGTGCCACCTGAACAACAGCAAAATCAGCAAGTAACGTCAAGCGGAGAGAAACAGAAAATGCAGCCTCTAGAAAAGCATCAACAGCAAAAACAGTTCCTGGTATTGGAAAATCCAAATCTTCCACGTGAATGGGGCGAATTTCCAACCCTACAGCACTTCCCAAGCATTGAAGACCTTCAAACACACATGCCAACACAGAATAGGAATGAAGGGAGTAAAAAGACGCCTTCAGTTATTCTATTTCAGGATAACATAGAAGAAAATAACGAAATTTATGCAAAGCCGTATCAAGGGGGAGACCCTTTTCCTGAAGGACTCCAGAAATGTGAAAAAGCCGTCTACCAGGACGGTGAAGAAGGCAGGATTCGGTTTGAAGGGATCACATCTTTTCTTCGACCAACTGATCACAACTTCAATCATCAGGTTTCGGAAGATCTGACACTTAGTTGTATTGAATGCGCAGAGTACCTGCATGCCCTGGAAGCAGAAGAGAAGGAAGAAGAGCAGGAGAACGACGAGATAGAAGTCCTACTTAGGGAGGAATTCGAAGGCGAGCGTGTATGTACGCTGGAGCAGGAGATTGAAGAATTAGACAGCCTTGTGGATATGGAGTGCAACTAAGGTGGCCCCCCATCTTCCCCCCCTCACCCCACTTTTTCAGTCGAGAGTTGCCAACGTCCTGCTCTCATTTGACTAATTGTTTTTGCGCGATCGTGCAGATTCAGTCAGACTCTTCGTGAATCCGACGATCGGATTTCCTTTATAGATTGAAATAAAATCACATCTGTGAAGGAAGACGATCGTTTCGCTTCTCCTTTTTTATCTGAAGCAAACAGGGAGGCAAAGGTGGCAGTAATATCAACTAAGGGCTAATTGAATTTCTTTACAGAAATTTTGCCAAAGAAAAAATTGAAGCAGTATAAATCCAAACAAGAGGCGATCTATTTTGGCCTTAAAATTTTAGGCGCATGAGTTTGAAGAGGGAGACGCTATCGCGGTGTTCTTGCAGCCATTCACGAGGGTCAAGCTCAAGACGATAAGTACAAGTTTAAGACGGCCAGGTCCATCCTGACTACAGAGAGAGGATCCCTGTGTTACTGCGCTGTCAAGTAGACCAAATGGCAACAAAGACGTGCCTTCACACGATTGGCTAGGCAAGACACATTGAAAAAAGGCACACTCGCAGGAAGCGCCCAACCGTCCGGTCAAGCTACTGCCAGAATACCGAGAGATCCGGAGGTCATAGCTCAGTGGCACCTGATGCCTTCAGGCAGACGAGAGAACATCGCCCATCTTACACCATCGCCCAATTCTTCCGCATCATGCGGACCTTTGCAGTCTTCGGCGAAACAGTTTCCACAACAGTGGCATGGAGTGCTGGATTACATTGACGCAACATTACATAACGCCGTAAAACATAAGCAAACGCAAATTTTAGCCTCCAACGCTCCTGTTAGCAAAGCAATGCAAAGACAACACGATTTGGTAGTGCGTGAGTAGGCGACTCTATTTCTGATTATTGGGGCCAAAGAACAATGACAATGACCCGTGGTAACACTTGAGAGGTGATTGAAACATCACAACTGTAAAAGAATAGGCAGGAAATAATGTGTTAATACGAAAGAAATAGCAAGGCATCATCACAATTATCACCAATAACATTAACAATTCAAATGATTCTTTTGTCTACATCCATCTCAGCATCCTTGCATGAGTTTGGAAAGTGCAACCACCCGCTCGGCTTGTCGCACTGTTGGTCGATCAATCATGTTGCCACGAAAAACAAACGCACCGGCGTCAAGAGCTGAACGATCTGCAGTTTTCGCATCCGCAGAGGTAGAGACAGAGGATAAAGTGGTATGTGCTGCCGCCGCCTCCACCACCTTGGTGGCCCATTCGATTCGCTCTGGGCTCGGTGCGTACGCTGCGTTGGCCGGTTCGACTTGCTTCGGATGAATCAGCTGCTTTCCATCGTAACCCAGTCGTGCGCCAAAGTCACAGTTAAGGCGGAAGGCTTCCATATCTAACGGTAATCAGGCATTTAAATTACAAACCCACTATTTAAGTCCGTCTCAACCATATCCAGAGAGGCTAGCCCATAAGCTTTACACATTGTCACCAAATATTGCCGCGCGAATAGCGCCTCCTGGCGACTTTGTGAGTGAGTAACGCCTGAAAACAAAACAATACTTAGACTTATTCCGTTATTAGTATGTTTAAAAATAGTAATTGGGTCGTTACCTAGACTGGCACAGTAGTCGTCAGAACCGAAAACCATAGCGACCAGGGGGAGTTTAAGGGTTTTTCGAGCATCCCTGCAAATCTCTCGCATATTCATCAGGCTGCTAGCTGATTCAATCATCCCGATGAGAGCTAGGTTAGGAATTGTCGCAATGGGATGTTTCTGAAATATCTTCATTACTTGGGACTCCACCTAACCCAAGGGAACCAAACTTCAAAAGACTAAGTGAGGCATACCCAATGTAGATCAGCAACAGACTCAGTTTTCGGTATAGAGATGTAGTCAGGACCCGGCCAGATACCACCATCGGCCTTCATGGTCTCTGCAGCAGTTGAAAGAACAATGTAGAGATCATCTGCAGCCAGACCCGTTGAGGGTGCATTAATGCGTAGCGAAAGTCCTCGCAGTAAATGCGCTCGGTACCTTTCAAAATCTCGTGCCTGTAGCGACGAAGCGATAGTTTTGCGAGCCAGTGCCTTGCAATAGTGGAATAAAAAGGAGAGTGAGTGGATGCCCAACAGACTTGTTGATTTCCACTTTTACCAAATATATGGGAGAATGGCATTTATGAGTTTAACTAAGAGAGCCTTTTCGGGTACCTACCTGTGCTACTAGTCGCCCAGACTCCCTGCACGTTGGCATTAATCGTGGTAGTAGTACACGCTGTAGCAAGTGGCAAGCCTTTCCCATTAGTAATTACAATGGCCGACGCACATATCATGCGTGGGCTGGTTCAAGCCAGTCCAGACAGTTAACCAAAGGTCCAAGCAACAGCAGTGGAGTGCGTGCATGGCACAGCATATGACAATGGATTTTCTTCTGAACGAATGTCTACGCGTACTCGCGGGAAGCTTCACATGGTATAGTGGATGGGCGTTTGGTCAATCAGCAGTAAGGCATGAAGTGGATGCAAATGTTTAAAGTATGATCTTGCATCTGTTAGTAACGATCGAAACATGGTGGTTCCCTTTCCAGCCTACAGCCTTGACGACCATTCCTGTGGAGCACACCGCCAATTTCGGAGGGGGCACGCAAGGCACTGAGACAGCTTTAGGCTTTTGGCCGACATGGATGACGGGGAGAAACAGGTTGTCCTAGGAGAATCAATCCTACTGACCCACCTTTCTATGCCGAAGTGCATAAATGCAACAAGGAACTATGCCGAAAAACAAATAAAACTTGTACCCAAAGGTCCCGATAGAACCTGAATGCTCCGCATATTTATATGCTGATATCCCATCAGCGACAAATGGAGTGTTAAAGCAAGAAATCCCACCTTATTTTCAGCAGAGACGGCATCTTCGCAGTCGAGAACAATGAGATCTGGAATGGAGGAAGAGAGTTCGGTAGTGTTACATATTCTCTTCATTTTCTTGATCTTCCTCTCTTGATCTCCAGGCACGTAGAGAAAGGAACGCCATAGACGTTCGCTCGGTATCACTGTGGAAACACTTCTTGGCACTAGACACGTCAATAAGCGCAGCATCGACCCCCTCGCAATTAAGCTCCCTATCTGCATCTTGAGATGGAGCTACAAGGACAAAGAGGATGAAATCGGGACGGTCAAATCCGCCCACCCAAAAAATAAAAACATTAGGCAAAACAGTCCCAATCCCCATGATTTGCATTCAGTTAAAAACACTTTGTTCTTCAAAAGTGGTAGAGATTTTCTTATCAGCGATCAAAAGTAATGGGAGCGTACAGTAGCGAGTAGGAATCAGAATTTCTTCCAGAATTTCTTTACTACCTTTATTTGGTGTGGACAAAAGAGGACAAAGAGAGGGAAGAGAGGGTGGATAGACGAGAGTAGGGTCTGACTTGAGCTACAATGGTGGACAGAAACACGGTATTCAGCGCATGTATACATATGCAGAGGAAGGAAAGGGAAAAGACAAATGAAAAGTAAGTGACAATAAGTGGTGATATCGTAGTGATTGCCACTTTCAATACTAGTATCATCATCCATAAAGTTGGACCATTCGATCACAGCTTGGCGTAGGGAAGCGTTTCGCATGTTCGTAGGCTGCTTCGTCCCGAGTATAGCGAGCTCGATATAATAGGGCTTCTTCTACAATTTGAGAAAACACGTGGGTAGGGGATCCTAGTGCTGCTGTAATGCTTTTAACTTTGGCGTTTTATTACAACAAAATTTGTTCCACGAGAAGCTTTTCGGTCAAACTAGGAATCTCGAGTTTGTAAAGGTAAGGAACGAGTTACATCGAGTAAAAACTGCACTTATTTTTCAATACAGTCCCCTGTTGCCACGTCTATCCTTCTCGCATTTAATAATTACCTGGGAGGTTTCCAAAAAATTGCCAGCACGGCTGAACCATCCTGGGACAAACTAACTTTTCAGAATCGCCAACTTTCGAGCAAAATTGTGTTCTTCACGACTCTAGAAGGACTTATCACGTGGTAAGTTACTTAGTTTCAATCAGACGTTCGGGATCAGGAGGGAGTTTAATGTACACGAAAAATGGTCACAGGACTACCGAGACCCTCCGTGATAGATGAAAATACGGCCGGACGTATTTGAAACTCTTGTATCATTAAGATATCTTACTGCTGAATGACAGCATCTCATCACCAAACCTTGAGAGGCTTGAAGTGGCCTGTGCAAGTGGATGTTTGCATAGTGACACCATAGCCCTGTTTGATTAGCTAGGTGAATTCCTTGAGATATCAATATTGGTTCCATTCAAATGATTCGTTCTGAAATCTGTAGTGCCCATTTACGTCCAGCCACTCTCTAATTCGGCCTCATTTTAATGAATTAGTGAAGCGAGTGAGAGGATGTGACCACTGAAGATGGCGTGTTCAAAAAGAAATGGTAAAAGTTTGCCACCACACAGCAAAGTATACAAAATACATATGCATACATAAACAAGAAGCAAAGAACTCAGGCACTTTGAGGTTAAGCGCTCGTTGGTAATTGAGAACTCCGATTGAATTCCTACCGAATTAAGTAAACAAATAAAATTAACGCCCTTCCAGATTATTAACAACCGAGGGAATCAAACTTGTCATGCAATTCAACCTACCACTGGCGTATTTATAAGAGTACATGATGGAAAAGAATTTTAAAAATCCTCCCTCCCCCTCCACAAAGTGCAGCAACTAATTTACAGTTCTGGTTACCTAAGTAGAGTAAACAAGTGATCAAACCACACGGAGTACAGACAGACTATCCATACAAACACTGCACGGAGATCGAGCCGACCCCTTTCTACCATAATCTTCAAAAAGGCCATGGCTAAACTGCACTTCCTTGAAACAGATGCAAATCCCATTGACAAATAAATGCGATGACAAGGGATTTCACCGCTTATTTTGCCACGTTATAGACAGGACTCGAAAATGGTACTCACTTTGTGCGCGTTCCTTGAAGCACTTATCGCGGAGAACGTATAGATGTTGTTCAAGCACTTGATTTTCTATATGACGTATGGACCCGTCGTATTCCTGTGGAAAGGTTTCCTTTACATAATAGGGCAAGCTGTGAGCTTGCGTGTGACGTTGTACAGTGTACTTTCTTTAAAAAGTGCAAAACAAAATATTTATCCACTACATCCTCAAGCAAATTAATTAGAATAAGGAATGAATTAACTTACGAAGTCCGCTGAAGACTAAAGACGGGATCTTTGACAAGAAAATTACTGAGGAATGAGAGTCCGAACAGGATAAGAAGTGGTAAAATTTGGATGTAGGCGAAATAATTATTCTAGGATTGGAGGACGAAAAAAAGAAGAGAAAGTTTTTAGCAAGGAAAATTTATTTAAAATACGAATCACAGGGTCACAAAATAAGTAGGTGCACGTGTCTATTTTAGAGACGTAATAATTCCTGCAGGAATCTGCTCATCAGTGATAGAAGGAACAGAAACAGTAAAGGTAGTATTTGCAAAATTGAAATTTCACCCTACGGGAAAGAAAGAAAATCAAACACCCAGACTTGTGGTAATGCTCTACTAACAAAACACTAGAATTTAAAGTAGCTTTTAGGATCTAACAAAGCATATTATCTTATGGACTTATCGAAAGACGAGCATGAAACAAGAAAACAACTAACCTCATGATTGGAGTCGTGATGCTGCGCGTGTCGCGTGTATCTTACATTCTGCGCGAATGGAAAGCCACCATTGAAGAACATATTGATAAATTCAGCTAGAGGAAAGATAGTAAGCCCCCAAAAACACCTACCGTCAAATCCGGTGTTGCCATCAAAAGTATAAACACCGTGTCGACGTGTAACAGGGGGGCGCTCCTCATCAACCGTGCCGAATTGATCGTAGTGACGACGTTTCTCGGCGTCTACTAGAACATTAAAAGCATTGCCAATTTTTTTAAAAGCTTCTGTTGCACCGGGCGCCTTGTTTTTATCCGGATGAAAACGTCGCGCCAAGCTAAAGCAGGGTGACGAAACCAGCAAACGGAAGCGGTACCTTTTGTAGGCTCGTTTAATATCATCCTCGGTAGCGTCTTTAGGAACCCCCAATACGGAGTAGAGATCTTGACAAGCCATAATTCGGCGAACAGATTCGACTTGAGACTTTGTAAAACTCTTCTCTTCCGATCTTTCGCGTGACCGACGAGATTCCCCGTTTACGGACTCATTTCTCGAGTGGCTAACAGACCTACGCCTCCTTACATCTGTGTCTCCATTGCCAAGTGATATGAAGTCTAATGCATAATGATAGGAAAGCATTAGCTACCGGGAATATTGACCCCAGGAAACAGGTTTTTCGCCTTTTTAGCAAATCGCATCGCCTCTGTGGTATTACCCTGTTTGAAATATGAAACAGCCCGTTCCACACAAAGAACCGCAGCATCACGATTTGCCTCCATATGCAGTTTAATACGCTAAAAATTGGCCTACGAAAACATTGGGGATTAACTAGGTAGTACCACAAAACCGAAACCACAGGAGGCCCACTAAAAAGGACCGCCGCGATAAACAATTTGCATAAACGATAAAGAGTTCGATCATCTACAATTAGAAATAAAGCAACTCACAGTATCAACGAGACCTAAGAACCAAAATAGTCAGCAAGGCACCCTTTAATAAGTAAAAACTGAGAAGGCAAGTCGTCAACTAAATATTTCAAAAACTATCCATCAACGCAACTACTTGAGAGGTCATTTACAATTAATAAGGCACTTCGGGTGCTATTCGCAACATATTTAAAAGGTTAGGTATTTGGTTCGCATGAATCATAAAAGTACTTCGAACTGTTGCGTAGTTGTCAATTATGGCTTAAGATGTTGTAGAATTCCTCGCATATAATGGCTAATTCCCATAATCAACTTGCCAGATTTTCGTTGTAATGTTGTTTTTTGTTCTTAAGAATATGCATGATAAAATTTTTAAATAAATCACGTGCGATCCGCACACATCTGCTGGAACCTAATGAGGTAAATTTGGACTTTTTAGCCTAACTGCGGTCACTGAAGAATAGATGTCTTTGTTACACATCGCATGTTTTGGTTTCACATAGTTTCAAAGGCAATTTTATCCGCAAAAGTAGGTACTTCAGCTTTGTTGCTTTTTATGTTATGTGTTTTTTGAATTTGCATTATACATTAAATGGTGGAACATGTTTTATTTTTGACATATCAATTAATATAATTAGGTCATTATTGGTGACCTTGAAGGACGGCTAGAGCGGTTTTCGAATTACCTTAGTTGTTGGCTCATGGAGATTGATGAGGAGTATCCGTTGCACTCTTGTGCTTTTCATGGGTCACCGGAGTTTGAAATGTTAATTAGAAATGCAGACTTGAATCAGATAAATAAACGGGATCCCTACGGTATGTTTTGCTCTTTTGATAATATTTTGCATTGTAGGAAATACCCCCTTGCATATCGCTGCAATGTTAAGGGATGAAAGTAACCTTTTTGCAAATTCTTTTTTTTAGAAATTTCAAAGTTTTTGCTTGCGAGAAACTGTGCCCTAGATATTCGTAATTCACTAGGCTGGCGACCCATTGATGAAATAGTGGCTACTGGTAGCGAATTACTGGGTAGTACCTATTTTCTTTTCTTTAACTTCCCCTTAAGTACGGCAAGGTTACCTCCTTTTCCGCGAGCAGCTCAGTAATAATGGTCAGAGCTCTCTTATTTCTCAAAACTTATTGAAAATTCCTGACTGCATTTTGGATTTCCGATGGGAGTTTCGAACTTGGGGTGAGCGACATTCCTTTACATCCTAGATTTTGTTGTGCTCTGACCTAATTTTTTGTGAATTTGATGTTACATTTTAGTCCCCTTTCTTGCTCGCCACTTACCTTCGGATAACTGCAGATTGTTCAAAAAGGACAATCTTATTAGGTATGTCAAGTCACTGGCACATGGCTTTATTCATTTTATATCCTCCGAAAATTATTATTTTTCTAAATTCTAATTTTTAAATTAGAGACTGCAACTTTCTATTTTGTCAATACGTACTCAATAAGCCTATTTCACCAAAATAAATGGGTAGTTTTTATAGTCTTAGATGTTGGTCCCATTTAGCGCTTCTAATTTAATCGAAATTTGAGGATCTAAATGTACTTATCTGAGGCGCTATTTTAGCTCCTAGTTCTTCTTTTTTATCTCATAGACTTGATACAACACTGTTGGACTTTAAAAATCGTAGTTGGGTTCGCGGTCAACTGAGCATAATTGTTGACGGGAACAAACCGTTTAAATCTCGCACTTGTCTCATTGATCACGAGCATCGAAGCTATCAGATCCTCGATGGAACGGTAATATCGTCTTTTCTCCTTGAACAAAGTGGATAACACTATAGTTTGCTTAACTGGAGAAATTCCGTTCCAAATATTTGATTTGTTTACTCAACTATTGACTAAAATAGAAAGTTTGTTACGAAAGAGACCCTTTTTATCTAGTACTTTTGCTTGTTTAAAGAGGTTTATATTAGCTTCATATAAATATCACCTTTCACCGATTTATTGGGTCACTCCTTTGGACCATCCAGATGGCGCGGGAGAACAGCGATGAATGGCTTAATGAGACTGTTCAAACCTCTCTCCACATGCCGCTTATCCGAATGCACATGGACTTCACTCGACTCTCCTGCAAGAAGGAGACCTCAAAGTTACCATGGCTAAAGGACAATGTCCCGGAAAAAGTGAGTCATTAACTTTAAAATGTATGCACGCATCTGTGGCGCTGTATCGCCAGGTTGGCATCATTTTTCATGCGCTAATCTGTCAATATTTTGAGTGTTTGTTGGGTACGATTAAAACAAGTAATAGTCACCCAAATTTACCACCTTTGTCTTCAAGGTTTTAAGGTCTTTAATTATAGTGTGAAAGCTGGCTGTCACATTGGTACTCAAGTAAATTGAAATCGCATAATGGAAACTACTCAAATCTTGCTCCATTTCTGTCCCTTTATACGTTTGCTATCGGCATTACCTATCTTTGACGTTCAGATTTTTCTAACCCTAGTTTAAACGTCACACCTGCGTGACAAAAGGTCTAAGCCCTGTGTCTGGGGCCACAAATAAACGACATCTGTTGGGCGATGTTCTGTAGAGAATGCAAATTCGGGCTCACAGGTACGCACGCCACATACACATTGTTCCTTCGTTCTAATACCTACCTGGATCTATTCAAAGTGGTTCTTGCACCATTGCAGCACTTTCTCCGAGCTCTCCATCATAAATCTGTACGGATTTAGCCATTTGGCCATTTGAAGCATCGAATAGATTCCGTCACGATGTTATCAGTGTGGTGTTCTGAGTTGTAGGAGTTTGTGAACACCCTATTTCTAAACGTATAGAAGAACTCAGAACTCTGGTAGCTTTCCTGACATGAGAAGAGATGTGCGTCACTGAGTTGGAAGACTGAAAAGACCTAGTTGAATGCAACCCTAATTGGAGTACGTGATTGGCGTCTCCAGTGACCTTACTTCCATACTTGACCCCAAAAAATAGGTGAATTTCGTAGCACTTTTAGATCCAACATCTTGTTTAGTTGGGGCATTTGAAAGTACAAATCCCTACTCTCCTGATGCAGTACTGTGGCCCGCTCACATAAACTTGGGGATATTGTGCTCCTGCACAAAACCGAGTTTCTGCTGGAGGCCAAGTGAGAAAAGTAATATGCCTTGATATATTGATAGCGAAGTGATTAGATGGTTAGACCTCAACGTAGTAATTCAACCATCAGAGACTGGAATTTCTGCGTAGTTCAATAAACAAATATCAAAATGCTAAATTGCTTCGGATCTTGTTTTTTGAACTCCCCATGGTCACTGTCCTACCTCGACCCGCACAATACAGCCGGTGCTTCGAAAGTCAACTATTAAGCAAGAACGGTAGCCATGAGGAGCAGATAGGCATTTTATTTTGGCCTCATTAAAGTGATGCGTCGATTCCATTTTTACTGAAGTTTTTTAGTCAATGAACTACAGGACTTCGTCAGTTAGTCCTCTCTCAAGGCTAGGTAATGTTCTAGAACAGATACAGGACACTTTCCATCTCGTTTCAGTTGTACCCAACCATCTATAAGGATTCCCTCCAACTAGTAGGGACGTGGAGGAGACAGCACTTTCTCACTTGATTCAATGATCCTTAAAAGGTGTAAGTTCGATGTCGCTTGAGTCGATTTTGACAACCCTTTTGCCACTTGCGGCAGATGTCTCCTCTCTCGGTTTGGTGACCGATCGTAGAAGTAGGATGAATAATCGGGTTTCGCTTGTCACCATGGCCACCAGTATGGCGCCCCAGATCATGTTGCAGAGGTACTCTTGATATAGGATGCTGTGACGATCGCAGAATTTGTAGTAATGAAGTCAGCTGGTGCGGATTCCTAAACTTAGGAATGGCACTAATATATGTTCGAGGTGAAGATGATTGTCCAATTGAATTCTCCTCATCTCACCATAACACTTCTTTCTACTTTCTTTTTGACTAGATCGGTCCCTACAACACACAGAATTACTCCATTAATCACGTCAAAATCTCTGTGAAAAAGAGATCGGAACACCTAACCAAAGAGGATGTTCGATTTCTTTCCACCCTCCATTCACATATCAAACAGGGAACTGTCAACAGTGCTGTCAAGGTTTGTCATTTCTTTCCCCTAATGCCGCTTTTTGAAGGCCCGCAATACCTGTTAGTATAGATGGCACGTGAATTGTGAAATGGATTTCATTAGTAAAACCAATGTCTTGCGATTCACATTTCACCAAGTGAGCAATAATTTTAATGGTAAGGGTGATTGGGGGTAAGAGGGGCTAGGGGTGGTAGAGAGCCTCTTATTCTACTGCCGCCTACTTTGACGTGATTACCACTTGGGTGGCTGCCTGCCTAAAAGGCGCATTTGCTAGCACAACAAACACTTTGCTAGGTGTGCTAGGTTATGGCAAAATTGATCCAAATTGAGACGCTCTCTACGCAAATGATTGCATTACACGGTGTGATTTCACACTCTTGCAAAACAGAAGAGAAATATTTTACTAAGGGGAAGTTAAACATCATGAGGTCTGTGAGGGTGGTGAATTAGTCAACGCGGGAATAGTTGCGGAAAAAAAAAAGTTAATTTTAGAGAACGAGGAAGTACGGGACCTTGGCATGAAAAGCCAACTTTGGCTGGTCTCTTGAACACCAGGCGACCCTGCACCACACTGACAGGAGGCTGGACCTTTTGCATCACTGCTGAGTGTCCGAACCTCCCATTACCAGACAGCTTGGACTACAGCCTGACGCGGAAGGCTCCACTGACCACTTTGTACTGCTTACAAAGACATGCCTTTTTATTAGTTTTAAAAGTATGTATTGCTTTGCCTGGATCGGCGTCTCATACAGTTCTTGAAGTGGGTTATTTATAAGCACGCAGAGATACTAGGTGATTCTTTGCATACCTCGGTGGCACCAGCCTCTTAATCCGATCACAGAAGACTTCACGCATACTTTAAACTTATCGACTTGTTGCGATGTTTTTACTCGCGATGACCTCGACTGAAATCTATGCGGGTATGTATTAATACTGCCTACTAATACCAACTGCATAAATCATGTATTTTCACACGTTTTAGTTGGTTCAAGATCGTGCCAGTGTCGTTAACGAAGAAACAGCGGATGGAGTCAAGCTTCCACGCCTCACACCACGTGTCACGTGGAGGACCTATCGCAGTTGGAAACTACAAGGCAATGACCTCTATATTGGCCGAAAACCTGTGCTTAAACTACAAACCAATGAGATGAAACTCAATGTCGCCATGGTAATGCTCGATTTTTATCTCACTAACCTCACTTGTAGACAAACGAAATCGACTTCAATATCACATAGTAAGTTAAAGTCACTTACCATGACTTATAAAAGTAAATAGGTACTGACGTTTTCATTTTTTTTATTATTATTCATCCTTTTTCCAGCCTCTTGGACATGTTCAAATGTTTCTCACCTCTTCGTAAATTTACGAAACTAGACGAGACTATTCTCTCCTCTCTTCCACCGGGCTTTCCCGTGCGAATCGGTATGTCTACTTACATGTTTTAGCAGCTAGTTGATTTTGGTTTATGGTGAGCTGAACCCTATATCTTCTGCAGAAAACCACTGGTTGTACGAAAATTTTCTTTTTACATGAATGTCATATTTCGATTTGTAAACCGTGAAGTGGCATAACGCCTATTATGTGATGTGCATATATATGCTGAAGTATTTGATGTTACTGAACTATTGTGACGCCCTTTAGTTCCAAGCTCACCTAATGTCCCCCATAAATTTGTTTTATTGCACTACTTTAAGGCCATGCCGTTTATGTGCCTACTTTAATCATTCACTTGTACTATAATTATTTGTCCATAAACGCTCCTCCGTCTTTATTTTATGAATATCCATATTGGGGTAATTACAACCCCTAATGATTTTCAAATTTGTTATGTCGGCTTCAATGTTTAGCGTCAGGCGGACGTACTTTATATTTGTAACTTCCAAAATGAGTCGGGGGCTAGACGACTTAAACTTTTCAGAAATTTACAAAAGAGTGCATTTTCGGGCATTAATTGTGGGATAATTATTAAGCCATTCAGTTATTCTGGGGGGTATTCAATCAAGTGTAGAAAGTTTTGGTTCTCCTTGACTAATCTACCCGTAACATGGGACCAAACACTTCCTTCCCATTTACTTGAACTTTCTTAGAGCAGGATTGTTTTTTCTTCCTTAGTTTCTCTCTACAAGTAGTTAATTGGGGAAGAGGATGCGTAAATACACTTCTTTCAGTTGTTTGGCGAACAGAGGTCGGAATGGGCGCAGGAAGTGCTCCTCCCCGTTAGCGTTACGAGTCATCACGCTAGGATTGAGTTAGTCACATTTCCCCTTTTTGGGGATTCAAATTGCCCGAAATCTGGGGGAATTTTGTCTAGAAACGACTTCTTTCAATGTTATTAGATGCTTATATCTTATAGCTAAGTCAACGGCAATTTTAACCAAGGATCATTTGTTTCCCTGTTGTTTGTTAATTTGTGGAAGAGGATCTACAGCAGTGGGTGCTGCTTCTCTATTTTTTGCGTGTTCTTTACTCAACTCTCCATATCAGGACACTAACTTGAGTGGAGGCTTTCATTACCTTTGCTGATGTGGATTAGTCCGTACTTCCTCCCCGCCTCCCATTCTCAATTGCAAATCTAATGGGTCAGTTTGGCGGCTATAAGAAACATGAATGGGATGTTGTGCTGCCTTTTGGGAAAGGTGTTTTCTTTTCGCCATTTGAATAGCTCCGGCTGTTGCAGTTTAATGTGTTTGGTCTTTAACGGGAAGCCCATGCTAGGTATGCACGCCTCCTTAACAAGGGTCGGAATAGACGAGCCCAAAAGCCATTCCTCGTTACAGGTCAGTCACCAAACAGCCCTTTCTCACTGCTCAAAAAGTCGGGTCATCTACTGCCAATGCGTATGAAATGTAGAATCCTCTCAGCCCTTAACCCTAAAAGGCTTATAGACCCCAAATTTGGCTTATTTGTAAATCACTTTCTCTTGCCCGAAACTCGTACTATGCAACGATGGCACGTTACCGCAGACAGCTTCGAGACATCAACAAAATCTCTAACTCATAAGCCTAATGTACAGTGCGTTGAGTGGCAATTTTTTCCCTCAGTAGGCGATCGTAAATTTGAAGATAGTCTGCCTCTACACTTAGAACCGCATCGGTAGTGTAGCAACTCCTTTTATAGCTATGCAACACAAGAGTCTCGTTTTGACTTAGACGGGCCTTGTAACTACTTCAACCAAGTCAACTTATTGTTTGTTTTACGCAAAAAAGAAGTTTGTTGTTATGATCTTTGCCAATGAGCTCCATCATGGGAGAGGAGAGTGATTCTACTACCGTTTTTTAAACAAAATTAATTAATGTCCCATTCACTTGGCCGGATGACCGTGCGGTCTGGTAAAAAACTCACAGTGCAGCGGCTTGATGATTTGGATAAGAATTTTTTTGTTTTGATGGGCAAATTTCTTTACAAAATAAATGCAACACGCTACTTGTTATGTGACAAACGCAAGGCAAACTATTTCATCCACTTCAAATTAAACAATCAATGTGTCAGGTTGGATGACAACAGACTACCAATTCGCTGTCAAAATGACATTACCAGAAAGCGGTAGTTTTCAATGGTGTGATTTTTTGCCAATCGGTCAGATAAAGTGTTTTGTCTGTCTTGGCCAATTTGCTGCTCTACTTTTTTGTGACAGTAGACCAGGTAGCAGTGAGGAGCACAAACTCTCAGAAGCTATCAAGCATGAATGCAGCAAATGGCGTCAACCTCCCACAAGGTGGTTGTAATTACGGTTATCAGTGGCTCCCCCAACCGTGATGACTCCATTTCCAGCTCTCCAACACATAATCGCCTGCTGAAATTACTCATAAGGTGGACAAATGTTTCTTCATTTCCCGCTGCTTGGAAGCTCCTGTTTGAGCGTATTCCTGGTTCTTTTTGATCAAGAAAAGTTTTATCACCTTTCTGAATCAGTTTCATGCTTTTCTTTTTTAAATAAACTAACTTTTTCGAATCGCTTCACACTCAGATGTTCCTGTATCCCCGGGCATCACCGGTCGAGTGACCTTCAAGAGTGTTGAACTCTGTGAGGGAGACAAGATGACTAATTCGGGTTTTGTGCTTCGAGATGAACTCTTTAAAATACCCATGGGTTATATCTCCAGTGATGTGCTCTAAATCCATGGCGCCTTCTTGCCCAATTCATAACCTTACAAATTTGTCTTCCCCTCTATTCCCTTCTCCCCTCTCCTCCCCCTACCTCGACTAATGCTGTGATGACTATTATTTCTTTCTTCTTTCTGTTTTTTTTTTCACAAAATTTGTGTATTTTTATGTAAGTTCTCCTTTAACAGTAGGCCACAAATTGAAAAATAACCATTTTTTGTAAATAAAATGAACCAAGGAACAAAATTGATCTTAATTACTGCCCAAAGCGGTGTTTATGATTGCGTGTTACTCTCCTGCTCAGGTTGGCTCCAACGAGTTGGTTTAAAATTAGGAAAACAGAAAAGTTCGTGAAATATTAAATTATTTTCTTAGCTAATTCTGTTCACTTAAGTTGGGCTTACTTAGTGACACAAAAAGGCCTTGAAATTGATGAGGTTGGGTGGATGTGGGGGGAAGGTATTTACGAGGAACGTGGGAAATCGTAATTCATTGTGTCTGCGCCTCCTATCGGATGTCTACTTTGATCTGGTAAAGCGGCTGCCTATCAGCCTGGAACTAATAGTACTGCAATAATTTCAGCGGAAATTGCATCCCCAGGAGGTCATTGGGAGCTGGTGTCACGTCCTTGTGATAGAGCCTGTCTGCGGGATAATGCTGTTCCCTCCTCTTTCATAAAAGTGGACGCCACAAGGGTGGGTTGCTTGCCAGGCAGTGGTATTCACATGACTCTCTTTTTAGGGAAAGCATGAAAGTCGTCAGTAAAAATTTAGGCTTAAATCACTCCCGTTTTTTTCCCACTTGTCCACCCTACTTTGTATAGCATGAGCTGATTGTCAATTATTGAGAAAGGAGTTTTGTCAACACCTAGAGGAATGCGGAAAGTGATAATGAGAATGAAGTAGCGTTTCTTCCCCCATCTTCCATCCTAAGTTGTATGCCTTCCCATGGGTCAGTGTTGCGGTGAAGTCTTTCCTTCAACTAGTTGACCACTTCAGAATGCTGCCTAGGTCCCAACTAGAACAGAGCGGCAAGTACTTCCAAGAGTGGGTCTTTATATACCAACGAGCATGGATGATGTTGATTAATCAGGCGAACTGAATAAGATGGCAAATTTTGAGCCACTCTAGAATGTTTGGGAATGAGACACGACTAAAGGAATCTCCCAAAAACATCCCAACGGAAACGCTTTATGGAGTTGTGGACATCTCCACCCGGTGGTCAATTCTCGTTATATGTCAGTCGGCAAATAAAAGCTCCTGAGAGAGGTGCATTAATCGGTACTTAATGGGGGTTCACAGATGAGGATACCGTACTACTGAAATGACACATGTCCGTCCTTCATACTTCACACGCTTGAGCGCTCCAGGCAGCCTAAATCCAGAGTTACATAGAGGCACGAACTCCTGCTCTAGTACCTCCACATCCTTCATTAACGCTTGAACGTTGCCTTGCTAGTAGGCGAGGGTAAATTTTTTCTTCCTTTTACGAGCCAAGAGTTCACCGCTCGACTTAATCACATCTGCGATGGCAGTATTAACTCCTTTTTCTTTAAGCGATTTCGTATTTTATCAAGCAAATCGTTGGAACCACACATGACTGAGGATTTTCAAGTTGATCGGGTGGATATTGGACACAAGAATTCGACAAGCCCTTCTAAATATACCTGTGAGTGAATATGCTATATGCTCATGGCGTACCATGCTACTGAAGTCGGTGACATTAGTAGCACCTCAACATACGCTTCAATTCACTATCACAATTGGTATCTGTCACCCTATCTTCACTTTTTTGATTCGCAGCTTTTTATTGCGAGATAAAGTAAATAAATAAGCGTATTTGACTGACATAATAAATCAGAAAAATATTCACCATTTGACAACTGCCATTATTGTCCAATCCTAAAACAGAGGAAAAATGCTTTGATTGTCGTTTTTAAGAGCTTAAGCAAGCAACAAAACTCGAAGGAATTGTTAAAATTCCCCATATAGTTGTAGACAGATGAAGGTTCAGAGGGCACCGCAACCGTCCCCCCCAATAAGTTATTGGAGGTCAAATGGTTCAATAACCAAGCATGATCTTCCTTGTATTTTTTTTCAATTTTGTACTAATTCCCTAGAAATTTTAATTCACAAACTTATAAATCGATTAAAAGACTAAACTTTTCCAGGACCTACCTTTTAAAAATCAAAAAGACTTTTAATTTATTTACTTACATACTAAATTCCCATTCACTGTTATCCAATGGACATCGAGGGTGCGCACTACTTTCCAGCCACCTTTTTATGCAGTGCAAATGATATGCATGCTAAAACATACAAAAAATGAAGTACAAAAATAGGGAAACAAATTTGAACTCCTTTATTTTGACTCCTTGAAAAAGCATAAAATCTAAGGAAAAGGGGCAGTATTTCCTCTTTTAATATGTGGTGACTACCCCTTGTAGCCACTGGTCGCGGGACATGCATGCCTCATGTTATTATTAGCAGTGGAATGTAGAAAGCATTTTTCTTCGCATTTGTCAAAACGGAGAACTGTCAACATACAAATAAATTAAAAGGAAGGCGGTGTTTATATCGGAGCGTGTGAGAGATGGAAGGAGAGGAGAGAGAGAATAAATTTCTAAGCACACTTTTACCGCCTTTCCTTCGTAGCATTAAAAATATGCTCCACGAGGAAAGAATGAGAAAAGAAGAGCAAAAAATTAGAGAAAGCAGTGCTCTATTGTTTAACTAATTTTTCGCTTAATACATAAAAGTGGAAAAATTGCAATATTTACCTTCCTCTCAGTGCAGAAAGAACTCATCAGAGAGAAGAAGTATACAATTTTCCTTCGACAGGTTACAAGACAAAAGCTTCTTTCCTCTCGCTCCCTAACTAGTGAATTTCACTGTTACTTCTGCCATCTCACCTGCCTATTCTGTCTCGCATATGATCGAAGGGGGATGGGGGTCAAGGTATTAGCGAATACCAAGAAAATGGGAAATTAGCAGAGGGAGTCAGTATCCGTCCCTCCTTCTATTGTAAACTGAGAATAGTATGAAACCTTGTGCTGATCCACTAATTGATAACTTTCTAGTAGGAATGGCTTAAGAAATCAGGAAACCTGTCTTCCTGTCCTTCCAGCAGGAAGCGATGCCTGAGAAGTGTGAGCTGAGAAGAGGGTAGATAATATGTCGAATCGACTTTAAGTCGCCGCGTGGAACAGACAGACTCCATTCACATCCACCACACCCAAACAAGAGTCAAGATCGCAGACATGGCACAGAGTAATGTAAGCAGTCTTGCTTGACCAGCCATATCTATGTTCCACAAGTCCCCGCAGAGTTCCCAACAGGCTCTTACAACGAGGTAATCTGAAAACTCAACTTCACAAACCTGTTTGTTTAGGCATCTCATATCGAGACAGTCTTCTCTCTAATGCTCACTTTTCATTGTCAGTGAAGTAAATTGAAGTAGGCACGTAACCACCGATTGATGCAGAAAGTGACAATCCCTCATATTGTCATCCCATCCTCTGTCTGGTGAGGCAAAGTAAATGTTGCATATTTTGTTAAAAGTTGATTAGCAAACTAAATGCCTGACACTAAATTACCCGACTTATCGGTTGACCGACTGGCTGACAAACCAACGGTCAAAATAAGATGAGAGAAATCACCTCAATTACATCAAATATTAAGAGACTTAATCAACCCTCTTGACTCAGGAGGTATGCTGAGTAGGACCTAACGCATGCGACGAATAAACGTGCTGTCGTCAGTGTAACTGCTTCGACACCTCGGATGACCTTTGAATGCGTCGCTTCATGGAGTACACCATTGCAAATTCACTATGTGGCAATGTAGACAAACAGTCAGGCGGGCAGATCAACAAATGGGAAGAAATGTCTTGAGCTATCTGATCAAAAAGTGATCCCCGTGATATTGATGAGGAGGCGAATGTGGATGAGGCTAAAGATGAGAAATGGTTGCACAAAAGGTAGCAGGTATGTTTGCCTCGCAATTGGAGAATTCATGAGACCTTGTCATTTAATCGACAGCAGTGTTTGGTTAATTAGTCAAGTGATTAATTTGACTAGAGCGGTGGCAGTAAAGACCAGATGGAATCACACTAGGTTGGAGCAAACAAAGTCAAATCGAATAAGGAGGGGCATACCTGACCATCAAAAACGCGGGTGAAAGTGCTGTGTAAGACTAAACTTGAGACTAACCCGTTCTGGTCGGCAACGTTCACCACCCTTTAACGATTTTACATTGTTCTTAACTCTGTTGCTGATTGGAAATATGAGGTAAATACTTCTTTCCCTTGTCACAAATCAAACGTGAGCTTTTTGCATACTACGGGTGTCAAGTAGACTTTTCACAAGCGACTTTTACGCTGGTATTTCTCGCTGCCTCTTATGAATCAATTCAGGTGCTACATTATCCCCAACTCAACAAAATCTGCCAAACCCACTCTCTATAAATTCAAAAACTTAGTGGCTTTTGCCCAGAGACATTGGACTTTTCCTTTGCGCCATATAACAATTAACCTTAACAACCTTTCCATTAGATTGTGACGTCTGGATTAAATTATCGGATCTGAGAGTCACAAATACGTGACATGAGTACTTTACCAATTGAGGCGACTAGTTGTGCCCAGTAGTGTGTTAATGAGAGATCTATTTATTCAAAACAATAAGAGTCAGTGCCTTCACACCGGTCTCATGGGTGCGTTTGCATAATATGGCGCATGCGAAGAAGGTGAAGAATAACTCCTACATGATTTTTTTCTGTTGGCCATCTTCTCTTGCAAATGTTCATGTTGCCCAATCGGTTGGTTTCTACAGCTTTCGCACTCACGTCAAACATGACTGTTATGCCTCCGTATGTTCATTTCCAAGGGCATACAAAGCGACTATTCATTCATAGGACTTAGGTTATAAATTATCATGCACCTCAGGCTCCGCCCTCTCCATGTGCAAGCCAAATGCGGTTGCAGGGAGGAAAAGTTACAAAAACATCCGCCAGATCCACTCCACATGGAATGAAAGGGCAAATAAAGGGAAAGGAAAAGAAGAAGAGAGAATATTCAAGCGTACTGTGAAGATGGGCTGATATATGTCTACCCATGAAAAGAGACCACAATGTTAGTTAAAAGCTGTGTACAATTGACAGGTACGCAAGAAACACTAGGTCAGCTCAGGCTTCTCTCCATACAATTTACCCACTATGTCAGTTGACATTGAGAGAGTAGAGGCAAATATCAGTCCCCAAATCGAGAGACCTGTCCATTT